CATCTTATTCATTTTTACTTCACTGTTTTGATATGGTTTGACAACATGGTAATTTTCTTTTTTGCGGTACCTATGTTTTCATCATGATTGGGGTTACGGCTGCGTTTAGCGTTGATGTATGAAAAAGCCATCACTAAGAAAAGTGTATCACTGATCATCCTTCAGCGTCAACCGATTAAACTCTAGTGTTTCAGATTATCAAATTTTTTGAAAAGACAACCCCAATGCCTTCAAATCTCTGTGCAAACGCTCAAAAATTATAACCACTACTCTAAGTTCATTAAATTTATAATATAGAGTGAGTTAATTATTCAATCTTATTGGTGATCACTGTTCCACGCTCAACATATTTCAACGTTGACCATAACAATTTCTCATTAAAATTTCACAAGCTCATCTTAATGATAAAAGAAGTCACCTGTAAAATTAATTAAAGGGATTTTATAGAAATCGGTTTTATTGATAAATTTTAAACAGATTAATAGTTGTTATAATCTTAAATGAAAAGATGTATTGTTTACCTATTTCTACTTCTTTTATTCAACATAAAAATGGTATGTCTTGTTTCTTCAGTAGATTAAATATTGTTTACCTATTTTCTCTTCTAAATAAATATTTAATTTTAGCGTATTCATTGGATTACAATAAATCTACAAGAACAATTAGAGACACGTTTAAAAGAGAGTTTTGCAGTTTGTCATTTAACAAGCATTGATACAAATGTCGATTGTACAATATCGAAACATTCCATTGAACAATTAAGACAAATTATTTCAATATATTTATCTATTGATAAATTATCTGATTTAATGATGTTATATCGTAAATTTGTACTACATGATCAACTTAGTCAGGTTTGTCTTATTCATACTACTGTTATTATTATTATTATTATTGCTATCATTATTGTTTTTTGTTTAATTAAACAATAGATTTTATATTCTATTAACAAAAATCATTAAAATTTTGAAGATGAGAAAAGAACAATCATCAGAAAGCTTTATTTCTGATTGAGTTTATGGTGTTGTTGATTAACGCTTATCACATTATAGTTCATCTCCTCCGTAGTGGGGCTCTTTTAGTTAAACCTTAACAGAAAACGGGCCATGATTAACATTAATTTTTTCTCAAAAGGGCAACATTGGTTTCTCACATTTTGTAAACATGGACCATTCTATCGAAACAGACTTAGCGCTCAAAATCATGTACAAACTAAATTAAAAACTTGTCAAAAATAGGGAACTTTCGTCTGGTTAGCATTGTCGAAACATTCTCTATGAGCTAAAACACTGTATATTGAAACAAAAAAATTTATTCAGCCTCTTCTTTTACTTGATATGATCTTAACTTCTAGCTTTTTGAAACCATTGCTATCTTCTTCGAAACTTTTACTCCCAACTGACTTGCATCATGTTGGGGACGTTAGATACCTGATCAGTTGACCTTGAGGTCACATTTCCCACCAGGAGAATCCTTGCCGTGTTATTTTAGTGTGCTATTTTTGTGACTCTCCCAAGGATGTTACTATGATTTATAAATAACGCTATTTGTGTGCTCGAATTCATTGTGCTTGCTGCATGTTTGTAGAATACACTTTCTACGCTATATCAAAACTTTTTCGTTAGTTCCTTTGGGTCAACCAATCAGAGTAGCCTACCTGGACCACTGGTTCATTGTCTCGTTCTCGTTGATGGACTAAGGTGAACTCGTTATAGTTTAAAGCATAGCAAGTCACTAGCAAAACACTTCTATTCCTATCTCCTTTCTAATAACTTTTCATTTCGATTTTAACATATTATCATGTCACTATGAATGATACTACTACTTTTTACATAACTACTTATTGTTCTATTTTAATTCTATGATATATTTATTATTCTTGAATGAATAAATATTCAAGTTTTTTTGCATCATCATTACATTTTACGTATTTCTATTCTTTTCTTTTTTTTCATTCTGCTATAACCATGACGTTCGGTAAATTATTGTTATTTTAATTATGAAAATGAATTCATTGAGAGAGAAAAAAACTGAAGAAAAACTCCTTCACTGAACTAATTTATTTTATAAAAATCCTGTTAAATTTAGTTGTGTTGTGTGCGTTTTTTTTCATACAGAGATTAATTAATTGATTGGATTTATTGATTAATAATCATTCAATTACAGTCAATAGTTTGTTTATATAATCATCAAATAATTTTTTTTCTAAAAAAAAAACACTTATTCATTTTATGGTACTATTTTTTTTCTAAAAAAAAATTTGATTTTAAAATCTACACACCATTTTATTAGCTTACCATCTTTTTTTGAATTTTATCACAATTTAAATTATGAATTGATCTTAAATAGTAGTAGTAGTAGATCACCACTGAAAAACTTGATAGAGCATTGAACGACAGCTTTCTCGTCTAATATTTTGGTTTAATTCTATAATTTATTTAATATAGTATCCTACTAACTAATTCTAAATTATTCAACGTATTTTCACGTCGTTTTACTTATTATTCTGTTTCTTTTTTCTTTATTATTGTTAGTAAGTTCATTACACAACAGTAGTACATTAACTATTTTGTCAGACTAGTTAAATAGAGGAAAAGCAAATGATTCGAAGAATATGTGTTGATTTTCTTTCGTTAATTTCTTATCAACTACTACTTGCAACCTACAATATTTTCCTATTAGAATTATCATGTTAGTAATGTAATGTAATTGTATATATGAGCGAAATAGAAAATATGTTGCAATTGCGATCGAGCAACCATCCCATTACCAGTTAATAAGATCCCAAAATAACACACTTGTTTCATACAAATATTATGTGAAAACAATTCTAGAATATCAAAATAGTAATTCAATTCCATACTGGTGACAAATTGATTGCTTAATGAGGTAGTTAAACACGAATCATTGGTAGAGTAATAATCAGTACAAGTTTAAAAACAGTTCTAAACTTATGAATCCAAAAAATAAATAAAAACAATGTGATCAAAATATGAAACAACTTGTTCTCTTGAATCAGGGATAAGTCTTGAAATAGCACTACTGAAAGTCTCTAAACCATGTGGTCTCACGCTTTATAGAATTTGTCCTTTGAATCTAACCTGGTGTCGGAGTAGGTTGGAAGAAAACTAGGGGTGGCCAAACCAAAACATGGCAGAAATCCATAGAGTCACTGATAAGTGGACTGAGTCATGTTGGTAGATGTAGGCTACCTGATTAGGGTCCACGAGACGTAAATCACCAATGGTTAGAAACCTTGAAGGACATGGCCTAAAATCGTTTGCAGTGGTGCAGGTGCATCCACTCTTTTTGTTCTCTCAAACATGAGTGGGGTACGTATTGCATCAAGCAATCAGTATAATTACAGAATATGTCCTGATTGATTCAGATTTTACTCATCTATTGATTTTTACTGAAATATTATCACCTTTGAATTCAGGTTAAATAAAAATATTCCCACTTAGCTTACAAATATTTTTTATAGTTCTTCCATACTGATTACTCTTTTCATTAATCTTCGCTGATAAAAACTCTTCTTATATTATGATATAAAATATGTGCACTGGTTTTAATCTATTAGTACTATTATTTTTCGGTTGTAAGCATCTGATGAGAAACCGCGAAATAAAGTAAATTCATGTTATTTTGCTACGTTAATTGTTCTTTCTGTGACCAAAAATAGTGTCGTTTCGTTGGGCTTTTTTTTATCTTCACTGTTTTTGGATTTCTCAATAAATTTTGTGGATGTCCGTTTTCATATACATTTCCCAACAGTTATTAATATCACTTCCAGCGTATGAGTAGTGCATATCGTTGTTGTCCTATGAACTATGCGTCCTATGAACATTTGCGTCTCTGTGCTAATAATGTGGTATGGCAACATGAACTTATGTACATACGTACGAAGTTCTACGTTGCAACTGACTGACTATGAACTAGTGTTTTAGCCCAGTGGATTTTTGTAACTGACTAAACAGAAACTATTAAAACTCAAATCAACTTCATTTCATGAGACTTTTTCAATTAATTGAACATTGATTTGTGTTATCGTCCCTTCATTGTACTGCAATATAAATAAAGTGGATTTTGTTATTATAAAAATAACTGTATGTATTAAACTTACTAATAATTAATCGGTTGTCTTAATATTCCATGTTTTGTTTATCATCATGTATTATATTTGCTACCTATTATTATTGTTATGGTTTTCAACTGAAACTACGAATAAATGAGTCTACTAACGCTGTTGCTTTAATCGACGCTCAAAGAAAATCCCACTTCCTCAAATGTACATCTAAATATCATAAAAGCACATAACTACTCTCATACATTAGTGACTCATAATTTCTTCTTTATACTAATAATAATTCGTGTGATAATTTATTTGACAAATCTAATAAGTGTACATTGTGAGTACATTTTTGTCCATACTTAAGCTTGTTACCCTTATTGGAGCATACGCCAATCGACCAGCATTCTCCAGCCACCTCTATCCTGGTCCTCCTTTTACAGTTCTATCTGACTGCTGTTCATTTGTTTGCTTCCGATTCTCGGCTTAATGTGTTCTTTGGTCTTGAGTATCTCATGTAAAGGCTTTTCTTGTGACGAAATTAGGTGCTTTCCTTAATGTTTGTCCTATCCACTTGCAACGCTTTTTCCTGTTTTCTTCCTCCACTCGGATCTAGTTTATTCTTTCTCGCAGTTTGCTGTTGCTGATGCTTTCCGGTCAATGCATCCTAAGTATCTTGCGTCGACAAACTGTTAATACACACTTGTATCTTCTGGATAGTTCATCAACTTTCCAATCCATACAGTAGAAGTATCTTAATATATATTCTTATTGAAATTTATAATTAAATTAATTAAATAATCTATAAATAGTTCATGATATTTCCATTAAATAGTATCGGAATTAAAAATTAAAAAAAAGTTTACTGGTTGTTGTTGTTAGATGTGTGTATTGTGAAGAAAAAAAAACTAATCATCAAAAAATCAAAATATGCAAGAAAATAGTCACATTACACTTATATATAAAAGTGAATTTATTCAAATCATATTTTATGCTTTAATTTCTAATTTCCACATCAGTTTTCTAACCATTAAGTTTTTGTAAAATAACAATGGAATTTTTAAAAATTATTTTACAAACTAATTCTATAGACTATTTTTTTTATTTATATATAAAAAAAAAGAAAACTGTTTTATATGAGATAGATGAGTTAGACTTACACTGATTTTGTGTATTTTCATGTGTATGTATAACATTGTAATACGGCACGGATGATTGGTCTTTTATCATTATCATTATTATTATAGATGTGAAATGATAAAAAAAAGTAAACATTTTAAGCTTAGTTAGTTGTTATCATTAATTAAATACTTTTGATTAAAGTTCGAAATCAATATTTTAATGTATTGTTAGTGAATTTTAACAAATCACCAATTTTTCTTTATAAATTATATGGTATAGAATTTTTGTCATTCTAATTTGTGAAATAATCATCAACAAACTGACAGTTAGAATGAATAGTATCGAATATTGCTGAATCATAAGTTATGTGTGTGTGTGTGTATGTTTTGAAAATAGGTTTACAGTTTTCTTCAGACAGACAGATACAACGCAGAACTTCGCACGTAAGTACATCAGTTCACGTTGCCATGCCTCATCGGCACAGAGACGCAGCCTTCAGTTCAAATCCAAGAGTGATAGCAATCATAGAAGTATTAGCAGTAATGGAGAAGATTAGGGAGCGAAGATATGATTCGAGAAGTATAATTCAGTAAGATAAGTTTAGAAGGAGAAAGGTAGAGATTATGAGGGATGCAGAAGCTTAGAATTTCATAGAACACAAAGAGTGGATGCATCTGCGCCATAGCGAACGATTCTGAGCCATGTCGTTCAAGGTCTCTAACCATTGGTGACTTTCTTCTCGCGGATCCCAACCACGTAGCCTACATCTACCAACATGACTCAGTCCACTTGTCAGTGACTCAGTTTTATTCAAAAAGGATGATCTCCTTTATTTGTTTATCATACTTTTTTTTGTTGAAATAGATATTTATCCCACGACCTGAATTGACTCATTCAGGTTCTGATAAGGAAATAGCTGCTGAAACTTTGAACTCAATGTACAGCAAAGCATTGAAGATTCTTGATGCACAACTTTATCATGTAAAAGAACAGATTATTAGATGTTCACCTGAAAGGTAAGTAATATTTATTGTTTGTTGTTCAATTGTTGAAAAGATTTCAAATTCGATTATCTCAGTCATCAGTGTGTCTAACCACAATCGGTAGTTCTAACTACTTCTACTTTAAAACTAGTGCCTAATTGATCGTTTGTAACATGTTGATATATCGCTAAGAGCCAACACATTACTCGAGCATGTTTAATTGTGTACAATTTGTGTGTTAATATATTTATATATATATAATATATGTTTCCTATTTACAACTTGACGTTCAATGCTGACTGTGTCAGAAGTGAATTCGAAGAAAATTAAGGGTGTTCAAACCTAGGTGTGCTGTCAGTCCATGAAGACAGCAACTTGTGGCAGTTGGTATTCGATATGTTCCTAACTTCGTATACTGCTCAACCTGCTAACCGTTACTAAATAACGCTCAACGGTGTATATATAAGAAGACGAATACGAAGCATGGATGTCGTATATTATCGCACCACACCGATCACGAAACCACAAGAATACAAAGCGAAAGGGAGATAATATACGAGTCCCGAAGAGAAAGCAAGCGAGTGGGTGAGCGAATGAAAAGGTTTAAAATGTACAAATATATGCATAATGAGTCATCGGGTTATTTAAGAAGTTAACATTTAAGCGAGTAGTATGAATATGCACTTAGACGATAAGCCATATTCGAGCAAAAAGACTCATACAGGCTCGACAATAATAAAATTACAATGGTATAGATAAGTTATTCCTGTTCTAAAGATTCTGTCTCTGTCATACGAGTTAATGAAAGGGCTTAACGAAATCAAATGTAAACAAACCCAGGCGTATGTTAGTTGTTGTAACCTGTTAAACTAAGCCAAGTGTAGGTGAAAATAACCGAGTTAAGATCTGCCCGACTATCTTAATCAATAGTTGAAGACTTTGGGTGACAGCTCAAAACCTTTCACCATGGCTCAGGTGCATCCACTCTTTATCTTCTAAATTCCTGACAATTTTTTTTATTAATTTGTAATTTCTCAAATCGTATCTTCTATGCCTCGTCTCTTCTGTTACTATTACTATTCTTACTGACTTTACTACTCTTGGATTTTTTCTGACAATTTCGTACCACTGTGCTTATGTGGTGTGTAATAACATGAATCAATGTATCCATGTGCCAGTTTCTACCTTGTGTATAACTAGTGCATAACATTTATCTTTAATTTCAATATGAGAAAAAAACTTTTTTCAACCAGAAATTTTAAATGTGAGCTGCTTTTTGTTTATTTCAGAAATACTTGTCTACATTTATTACCGATTTCTCTTTTACTATTTAGTTTTATATTGAATAGGTGATAAATACTTTTGTTTACAGATATTATGTTAATTTTTCGTCTTTATCTTCTTATTTGGTCAATTAATTACTAATAAACTGTAATGTAGGATCTAGAAAAATAAACATCTGTCATTCATATGACCCTGCTCTATCAGCATAGAAAGATGAAATCAAAATAGTCATAGTAACACTGATAGTTTAGAAAATTGTACAAAGAAAATTAGTGGAAACCAAAGTTTCTTAACTTTGATTGTTCACTGAATAATGGTCGATGTCATATTTGTGCTGTTCTTAGTCCCAATCGAATTCTGAATCATTACGTTTTGATATGGCTGCTAGTCTAAGTGATTTGACATCATGTAAAGCGAATTCCACACGTTAAATGATTGGAAATATCAATGAGCAACTCAGGAACTAGGATTCTTGCTAACTGTTACTTTCAATCCAGGTATACTCGAGTGACCCAAGTTTGAATCTTTCAGTGAACATCAGTCCTTTTACACTTTTCTAACAAGTGCCAACTTGCACAAAATCTAGCTTCAAGACCTTCTGTTTACCATGTTCAACCATCCATCGGTGAAGAGCTTGAAATAACACTCAGACTAGGGTTATGCGAAAATTGGATTCATCTACGTCAGTTCAACCAAGTTTAGCCTATCTAATCCAATGTATTTAACTATTGATTATAGTTACTACGTAAATCTCAACAAGATAGTCTCTATCTACCAAAATGGCTCAGTTCAACAGTCAATGATTTCATAAATTGATATCATGTTTTGGTTTGGTCGCTTTTATTTATCTTCCGACCTACTCCTATATCATTTAGAATTATACATCGGGGTGGATGATGGGTAGATTATACGTAGTATCACTTAATCTTGCTTGATGTAACATATTTGTTTTGACCATAATATGATGTACTATTCTCATTTTTTTCTTACTAAAATTCAATTATCCAGCTCAGAACCTTTATCAGATTTTGATTGTTTAGTCGGTGGATTTTGGCCTGAAACAATCGATCTTATTTGTAATAATCTACCGGAAATATTTTCTCCAGGTCATCCAGACAGATTTTATTCAGTAAGCAATTTTCATTTTAATCCATTGTGTTGTGTTGTGTTGTTGTGCATCATTAAATTAAACTTTTATTTTATTACAAATTAATTTGTTTGAACAAATAAAGTAGTCAACAAAAGATCGTCATAAATCATGACACGATGTCTATTTATAGCATTTTTTTCTAAACTACCTTTTATAACGCGCGATATCTAAGATCTTGTACTAATACGCTAAATTCTTTTATTCAGACCCCAGTCGGCTGCTTAGTCAAGAAGGGAGTTTACTGGGCTAATTTGATTCACATACGTGGGTATATATATATATATATATATCTTAGCAAGTGGAACCATACACTTGTCATTAGAAGACTTTTGATTTGCTCACTGGATCACTATTGATATGGGTTTATAAGAAGAAAAAACTAGATGTTATCACTATAGATTTTAATTCTTATGTTAAAAATTTTATTGAAAGTGGTTATGTGCTATAATCTGGGATGGTTGTGGAGAAAAAAAACGTCTTTTGAGGTCAACATGTGAAAACCAAATCTGTTAGTAACAATCTGTAATGCTCAAGTAACTGATCAACGCGAATAAATTTTCAACTTAATACGAATCGACAATCTATGTGGAATACAATTATTTCATTGTATTTAGTCTCGACCACCTTAGTTTACATACAAGCTACTAATTTTCGTTAGATCTTTGAAGTACGTAAAATGTTAATAAGTGAAACATTTATCTTATTATTCTGTCAATATACTGGATACCCAACTGTCGAATCCCAAATAAGGACAAAACGCACATTCTCTAAATCCCTCTGTTTGCCACAATTTATCTATTTTACCACACTTGTGATAAAATAAATGTATCGACCGTATCCACCCGGGATACACCAGTAGTAGCAAGCCCTGATTTAATTTGTACGACAAGAAAAAGTTTGACATACTTTTATTATCTACCTACTGTGCATTAAGACATTTAATCCATCATGTCCAACCCTCCTTTATCCTGGCTTGGAATTAGCAATAGCCCTAGAGAGAGGCTCCAGGCGGAGTTAAGTGACCCACTACATTGCATCATTAACAAGACAATATATTAGGGTCAGATATATAGAGAAAATAGCCTCTGCGCATCTACGCTAAGATTCACCAGAATTCTTTCCTAAATATCAATAATGGGATAATTTAAACAGTTACAATTAATATAAACGACATACAGGTTAAGCAAGTTAGTGGTCATTTGGATTTTGTAACTCAACAGATAACTCTCTGTTTGAATCAAAAATTCCTAGGTCTCAATTAAACTATCAATACTGGTTTTCAAATACATCCAATTGATGGCTCCTAAATGGGATAGAGTTGGTTTTGGATTCCACTACTAGCCACAATCTACTTCCTTTACTGTTTTTCTTACCTGGGAAATTTGCAAAATGAAGCAGTTACATGAAAGTTCTAGTCTTATTTAATATATGCACAAGAATATTCAGTAGCATGGAATCTCACGTGTAATATATCTGTCATAATTACTCTACTTGAAAATGTAAATATTTTGATGATGACTCAGTGGTCTAATTGGAATAGTCATAGGGTACTGGGTGTAATATTTCATAGTTGTCATAATTTAGTGACAATATGAATAAGAGTAATAGTACCACCCACGACAATACGATAATAATAATAATCATATAGTAATGACGATAACGATAATGGGGTTGTCCGCGAAATAGATCAATGAAACAAGTTTATACATAAACAAAATAATGACAAGATAATACGATGTTTTTGTATGTGAATATAATGGCCGAACTGGCTTCGCTGCCTACGTCAGATTCGAGATTGAGTTGTCGGCGTTGTTTATTGAGCTAGATACATTGATCCAATTCCTTGAATACAAAGAATATGGAAGGTTCTGTAGGTTGTGTTAAATTCAACGTCATGCTCACCATTTTAGTGGCCCGCGACCTGACTACAATTTTTACGAACAATTAAATGTTCTGTGAAATGAATCTTCCCCTCCATTTCCGTACATCATACTTAGGCGAACTCTGTTTTGTGCGATGGTGGTAATGAGAAGCCGAATACGATTTTGTGGATGGATTTATTTCATGCAATCGTCTACACACACAAACATGAGAATACAAAGCGTAAAATCAAAGAGAGGTTAAGCAGAGAAGGCGAGTGAGCCAAATCATTGCAATGACGCATAACTAATCATTTATAGTCAGGACAAAGTAGGCTAGACATGTGATTAGCAAAATAAGCATGCTCACACACTCGAATAAAACAACCAAAATATAAGCGAATAATTGGCAAGGTAGAACGACAAGTAAATAACGTCTCAGGGAGAAAAGGTTAATTAGTTGATTCGAAAGCGAGGACAAGCCCTGTGGGTTCAACATTGGTACACACTGCAGTACCATGTAAAAATGTAAAATCAGTTATCGATTGAGTTACTCAGACCACTTATTACGTATACCCACTCATTGCTATGTTTACCAATGTAGGAGTAGTCTGAAATAAATTCAGAGAGAAGGTAGATCAAAAAAGTACCATTAGCCTATGGAAACATTGACAATCGACGTGGATTTTGTAGGTAGGGCCAAACTACGTAGTTGGAATCCGTGTGACTATTTTAACAAGCGACTGGAGGCATTAAGAGAAATCTGTCAGAATCCAATTTAGTGGACCAGACACGTCCTCTTGTAGTTTTGTGTTGACTTCTGAGTCTTGAAATCTTATACCTCTTTTTCTCGTTACACCTAATGGTTTCTGCCTCTACTATAGTATGAGATTTGTCTGTATAATTTGCTGATTTGCTGTGACAAATTGAACCAATGCTCATATATACCGGGTACTGCTTTGCATGTAACTGTGATAGATAGCCTAAAAGTCTTGAATTTGATCTCTGCAATGTTATAGACTACAGTGTAACAGCTATCTGGTGCTCCTTAGTTATTCAAATGATTGTTCATGATTTTAAAGCCAAAAAAAAGATTCTCAAATATGATAAATGTGCATCAATTAAAAATTAAAACTAAAAATAAATTTTCCTCCTTATTTTATCCACTTTTCCAGTTATATACTGTAAGTATGAATTTTATTGAAGCGGTTGAAACAAAAACCTGGTCAACTAAACAACTTGTCAATTTACGTAATCATCCATCTTATTCAATGTTTATAAATAAATGGAGTCTACCAGTGTACTTTCAAATCAGGTAATTCAAAATACTAAATATATATATATATATATATATATATATATATATATCGTTTAGTAGTTTGATTTCGAATAAGTTGTTGAATATTAATGCTGAAAATGTTCAACTGTTTTGTTTAATAATTTTTTTGCACAATTTAAAAAGTTGATAAAATTTATCATGATTGATTAATGACAAATAAGAAATACTGATTAGTTTTAGAGTCAGTTGCTCTAAGTGCTTCATCTCAGCTAACAAAATGAACTAATATTATCAATTAATAATTTATTTTGTAATTGTAAAAAACATTCAACTATACATAGGTTGTGATATTTAATAAATTAAACAGGCTTAAGAATTAAGAACTTTGATATTATATATATATATATATATATATATATATATATATATATATATATATATATACTGTTTTGTTTATTTTAGTGCCAAAGAGCTTTTGAATGATATCCAATTATTATTATTACTATCATTGTTGTTACTATTATTATTTTTGTCCAGATTCCAAGAAATAGCCGCAAATGTTGAAAATACTATGAAGAAGGGTTTGATAAAGATTGAAGAAAGTCGAAACTGTAAGTTTTTTTTCCTTAAGGGCGACAGGAAATGGTTATACTCTATCTTTTCCTTTAAGACTTCTGTATCACACTGTTGATATTTTTAAACTACTTGCAAAAACTCCAATTTAGCCTTTTATAATTCACTATATTTCTCAGTCAGCCTTGCCGCCCCAGAGACAGAAATCCGTGGGGTAAGATGAAGTGTGACATTTTTAAGGTTGACTCTTCCTAACTCCTTTCTGTTGTAAGATGCCAGTTGTCCGAGTGATTTTCAAAGTTCTCTACGATAAGCAGTATAACCTCGCCATCGGACCGAAAGTTGATGTCTTTAGTCTTATCGTTCTCCTACCGATATTTCTGGTAAATTAAGACCTAAAGAAAAAATTTTTTCAGCAAATATACCTTGGTTGAATCACCACGTCACGACATAGCAGCTACAATCGAAGAGTTTCAACAATCTAATACGGCACATAGATTTAGAGTTTCTTTCAAATGATCTTCAACTACCTAACACAGCTAAGCTGCTTATATACATGCCAATATGCACTTTTGAAAAGCATAAATTTATCTTTGATATTTATATATGTTTATTTGTTCTATAAATTTTACAGCTTGTTTAATTGAAGTTACCGAAGTAGTTATCTGTCAATTGAATCGTTGTTGGGAAAAAGGAATTTACGTAGATAAGTTAATGCATAGATTTTGGAAATTAACTCTGCAAATATTAAGTCGTTTTTCAAGTTTTATTGATGAACAAATAAAATCTGCTCAAGAGGTGAGTATATATATATATATATATATATATATATATTGTGAACTAAAACTGTTTGATCTTAATTTTCAAATACTCTAGTGTTTTTTATGTAGAATATGCTAGATTTTAATATCCAAAATCATTCAACTCTATTACTATTGGATAACAGGTTCAAACCTTACTCTTTACCTACTTCGGTTTGAGTAATTGCGTAGTACTATCCACTTAACTTCATATATCGACTCAGTGATCTAAAGGTCAAGCCATCGCCACAAAACTTGAAGATACGGAGTTCGATCGTGAACCTGTAATGGTTAGTACAGAAGAGTTTCCCGGTACTTTCTGGTTTTTAATGAAAGCTCAGTAACACAGGTCATCTATAAGTTGTTATTAAATTTAGTAAAACTTGAGTATTCACCTAATGTGTATTTATTTTACAGAAGAAAAGCGTTTGTTTATTACAGAGTTATCTAGTCAGTTTTAAAATTGATACTTTTCACCCTTTTTATTACTTATACCTTATTTCAATTGTTTCTATGGTTATTTTCCCTATTTCTCCCTTCTTCTTACACACACACATGCTCACTATCCTTTTTTTCTCTTAACTTACTTCCCAATAATGAATACTTTTCCTGAATCTGTTGTGAACAAGTACATGTTTTTCCCCTAGGTGATTTTTATTTTTCTTTTTAAAAATTTGAATAACTTTTCAGGTCTAGAATTGCACCAAGTAATTTTCTTCATCTATGCTATTCAATGATTTTCCATGTAAAACAATCGGTTTAAAATGTCTTAGTGTTTTTAGTACAATGTTCTTGTTATTGTGACTATTTAAATTGTTATTTTAGTCTTCATTTTAAAATATAAATTTCTTGCGTGAATGTTTATATTAGTAGTGCCGTCTAAAATATGTTGTGTTTTTTCCTCATACTATTCATACTTACCGTACTTCATTCAATTGAATATGTTTATTCTCGTCAAAAGTAGTATACTGTCATAGTCGACGATTTAAAAAAACTATTCCCGAAGTAAAACAGAGTATATCATTTTCAGTTGTTTTGCATTACAGACTAATGTTTATTCAACCAATTAACTGGTGCAAGACAATGTGTACTGGATAGAGCAATTGTTTTTTATTCTAGTTCAGGACTCGTCTCCGTCATCATGTTTGTATCAAAAATTTACACTGTAGTTCATTCTACGTAATAAATATTCATATTGATTTTATATATTTTTTTCATTGAATTATCTGTCGATGATATGCTCGTCAAGTTATATTCTTGAACGATTACGAGTTCATTTTACTCGGTAAATGGGACGAAGCAATTACTCAGTGACACGATAGGCTACTCTAGTCCGTTTGTCCCTAGCCCGGCTAACTATATCAAGAAAGTGTATTCTACAAGCACCCAGAAAATACGAGGTTGACAAGCACACAAATCGAGCTTATTTATACATGATAGAAACGTCTTTGGGAGAGCCACAAAAATAGCGTAGTAACATAATCCATCAATGATTTTCCGGATGGGAAATGTAAACTGAAGTTCAACTAAGCAACTTATGCGCGAAAACATAAAAATCCGAAATTCGGACCTTTTCCAAGTTATTTCTAGGGATCCAACGTCCCCAACAGTTGATATATATCAACCTGTAATTATTATTAAGATGTTTTGATTTGTCAAACTGAATCGAGTTATAGGTCAGTTGTTATATTATTATATATATATATATATATATATATATATATATATATATATATATATATTATTATATTATTCCTCATTTTTTGTACGTTGGTTAACCTTCAAAGTAAATTTCCCTACATAATTTCCACCTTTGGTTTTCTGTTTAGAGTTTTTGTGTACAAACTTTCTACGGGGTTATAAAGCGATTATACAGAAGTTAGTCAGCGGTGTCTAAGCGTTCAATTGTCAGTGATATAGCTATGATTTACCATACTTAAAACATGATTGAAAAAGAGCTTTTTACCACTTTTTTGTTTTGTGTTGATTTAGAACAAGGCTAATACTTCTACTACTACTACTACCACAAGTCCAACGTCTGATTCAACTTTACCAACAAGATCAACCGATTACTTTCCTGAATTGTTAATCTACTTTTTTGTTGATTGTTTTCGATTGGTCGATTATGTTCGTTTAGAATTGAAAGAGCAAATTTTCACTTGTCTTAAGCAACGCCTCACAACACAGACGATGAATAATGATGACAGTGTAAACTATGAAACTACATTAAATGAGTGTTTGGAGCAATCATGTGAACGTCTAATTAAATCGATCGATTCGATAATGGATCTTATCATTCAAAAAATTCAAGTAAGTAAGATGTATCAAGATTAAAAAAGAAATGTTTTTTTTTTCTGTACTGATTTATAGACATATTAAAGACAGCCCATATAATTCTATATATTTATACAAAAATCAATAAACTAACAGACTGAAATACAACCACAATTTGTCTACGAAATATAAACCTAGTCTTCAATCCAATCCAAGCACATTATTGAATTTCTTCTTCGACTCCTCTTCTGATCTTCAAAATACTCTGAATACGTCATGCACTCCAATTTCGTGATATTCTTTTCTGTAACAGTAACTTCTAAACGATTCTCCTCTGTAAACTACCTACAAGCCGTCTTGTAAGTAAGGACCCACCCAATCACAATAATGATAATAATTTGTTCACTGATACATTTTTATGTAACCGTGGATTCACTAATTGACATATCAATCTATCTAATTTATCCTTGAGACAGGTCCACTTAGTAGCTATCATATGAATGACGTAAGGTTTTAGGATACTATTCTGTTAAACAAAGTAAATGGAGTCGTCTAAACGCCTTGAATCTAAGGATATTTAGAATGAATTTTACGCCTGTCAAATATTTCTTATATAGACTCTACTTCACTAACATGTTTATATTGTGTAACAATCTACATGACATTTCGTTTGCCTGCTTCTTCTTCTTATAAAATTATCATATTTTGTTTTTAGCAAATTTGTTCGAATAGTATTCGTCAAGTACTGGATATACCACGTCAATACCGTTGGACTAATCGAGACTTTCCTTCGCATGCATCTTCATATGTATCAAATATTATAAATCCTTTAATGAAACTCAATAGTTTAGGCTCATGTTTATCTCAGTCGATTCCTAATGCACAACCAGCTTTATGTACATTAATACAGAAATGTGTCACAAAAGTTACGCATGAGTAAGTTCTTTTTTAGAGTTTCCAGTTTCAATTATGATTTGTATCGTTGATGGAATAATGAATATTGGTAACTTTGGAGTTAATTAAATAAAAGTTATAAATAACTACGAAATTGATTCTCATTGAAAATGCAAAAACACTTTTTAACGTACTAATATGCAGATAAAATAGAACAATATCATACATTTTATGTTTAGAAAATCACTTTCTAGGTATCTACTATTCTGTAATGATTTCGTTAATTTTGACCATATGATTCTTAGGAAGAAGATATCTCAGCTAAGATTTTATGTATTAAATTGTATATTAGATATATAATATGCCACACAATGAACATAAAAGACCTATTCATCCAAATATCATCTTTGTGTCTCAAACAAAATAGTTGTCAAGCTCTAAATCTGTTAGACGAGAAATTCAATTTAAGTACAGGGACATTTAATTTGTATAAATTAATTAAACATTAATCACATGAATTTGTTTCCTTTTAATGCCTAGTTAATAACAAATATATCAAGTATACTAAACTATTGTCGTGATATCATTCATGTCGAAATTCAAATGTCTTCTGATATGATTTTTCCATTGACTGATTGAATATTTAGTTTATCGAATCATCATTGTGAACTATTAATGATGTTATATTTGGGTGATAAACGTTAATTAACTAGTAGATTTAATAACCCAAAATATAATTAATAAATCTTTTATTTAAGTTTATCAACAGACTAAAATACATGAAATCTGAATACTATTATTCTATGTAAAATAAGATTGTAAGATGAAGAACGATAATATAAAAACAGCTTGAATCTGTTAAACAGAGATTATTTAAAGGTGATTGATGACTGAATTACTGTGTCATAAAGTATTTTTATTTTGTATACATTTTTTGAGCTCTTAAATACTTAGAAGTGGTCAACGGAATACCCTGGTTATTCTGGTCTTCTTGCTAGGTAACACTGAAGCAAGGCTTAAAGTTCAGTCCTGAGGAACCTGATTCACCCTACCCCCATCCACTTTCGTAGTCTGAGATATTACCACTGAGCTGTTTAGACCTCGAAACATCCAGTCGACTAGTCATTTATACGCAACATAGAATATGATACCATATAATAATAATAATAATAATAATAATAATAATAATAATAATAATAATAATAATAACAATAATAATAATAATAATAATAATAATAATAATGGCTTTATGCATTATTCTAAGTTGAGTACAATATTTCAACCATTATCTTTTACATGACAGTGATCTGAAGTTGGAAGTAAGCAGTTTAGGATTTTACTTTTTCGAACCTTGTGAAGCAATAGCTCGTAAACTTTTTATTTACACGCGTGAATCGATTATGTGAGGTTATTATTATCGATTATTTATATGAGGTAACTTGTTGAAATAATTTGATGTTAGGAAATTGGTAGCCCAGATTTTCAAGTAGGCCGGCTATATATGCATATGTTTAAGATGCTATGTAATGTCGAATCATTTTGACCAATGGGGTCACACTGCAATTCGCCCGACAGAATTCGACTAAGACTAAAGTACTAGACACACATTTAGTAATCAATCAACTGTAAAAATTATTGTGTAAAATTTCATATATCTGATATGAACTAATTAATTTGCTAAATTGTTTTATTTACTAAGTTTAATTTTCCATGTATCATTTTTCTTACTTTATTAAATTAAGCTATACAGTTCAACTATCTGAAGTATCAACATCAGTAAGAAAAATGGAAGATAGCTTACGACGATTACGCAATGTTAGACATGGTAGTTCACAAATTTCCAACCAATCTCAATCTGTTAACGATAGTGGTAAATTTCACTCAGATGATAAAATTCGTCACCAATTGTACTTGGATGCTAAAGCATATAGTGATCAGGTTAGTAATATAAAATATTTCAGGGTTTTGCCATGATAATACTTTCAAATCACTTATTTCTTGTCCGTTATTGGTGTTGGTAGTCAGTCAGTCATTTACAACATAGAACTTCGCACGTACGTACATCAGTTCAAGTTGTCATACCACATCAGCACAAAGATGCGATCGTCATTTCAAATCCCATAGCAGTAGAGGTAGTAGAAGCATTAGCAGTAATCAAAAAGATTAAGGTTTGAAGACATTATTCAAGAATCACGATCCAGCGAAATAAACTTAAACAGAAAGAGATAAAGGTGATGAAGAACCCAGAGGATTAGGGCTTGAGAGAAGCCGAAGGATGGATGCACCTGCGCGATTGCAAATGACTTTGGGCCACGTCGTTCAAGATCTCTAACAGTCGGTTACTATCATCTCGCGGACATCGACCAGGTAGTCTACACATACCAATATGGCTCAGTCCACTTGTCATGGCTTCATGGATTTGTGCCAAGTTTCACAGCCATAAAGTAGGACGGAGCGAACTGCTGAGCAGAAGACTCGTCTTTTTGTTAGCAAACGGATATTCCGCTTACGCCATAAGTGATGCTACTTGGCAATAGCCAGTCAGGCCTTGTGTATCCGCCCTGAAATTAAATTCAAATGCCTATTATATCAAAGTGCTTCCGTTAGCAGACTGTTCCCATATCCTAATCTATTTGTAAAAGATAATCAAGTCTGTTGAGTAAGAAGCGTGAAAATCAGATGAGAAGTTATCACGAACCAGATTATAAACAAACGTGGTTTTCTCCTACTAACGTGTGTAGCATAACGTACTGAGATTTTCGTTGAACGACATTCAAACTATGCTAATTTTGGGGCTTCAACGATGATAATTTTTGTTGCTTATATTAGTTACAAACACGCTTCTCGTATACCTACTATTCAAATGTGACAAAATAGCAGCCAAGATTGGTTCTACACTAAGGCTCTCAGTAAAACGTGTAGTGACACCACGTGAGGCGTACTATTATTAGTCTACGCTTTAAGATAATATCTAGTCAATAGACTTGTTTTTTCGAATTAACGGCTTACTGAATTAGATCGCTCCAAACAAGCACGACGTGCGTAAGGCTTTTGCGTCTCTATTGCAGTTTTCTATATAATACAGCTATATATTTTATCTCGATCGAATTCCTAATGTTTATTTCTCGTTTTCAAGGTAAAGAATTTTTGGAGTTTAGATCGTGAATGTACCTGTGAATTGGATGATTTTATGGGACAAATAGACACAACTCGAACAGAAGCAAATGTTTGTAATATGAATACTATCCTAACAGTTAGTCAAGAGTGATTTCTAAAATAAACTGGAATTCTGTGATAACTTTTATGTACATTAGATAATATGGGCAAATATTACTTTGCAATATTTTCATGCTTTGTTAACTAAGTAAACTTTATCTACATTTGTTTCTTCGTTTTGTGCTTCAACACACTTTTCACTTGTAGATATCAATTGTAAGACTTTTTCTTTCGACTGATCAGGCAGTTGACCAATGTAGTCTACACCGTCAATGTATAATTTCGGTAAATGATCTTCGAGTAGAAGGCAAACTAGTTCCTTGTCTTCAATCTGTGGATTTCCACTCACTATTAAGCGGCGTAAATCTCTAGGAGAGAGAAAACATAGGTAAATAGCTTACTGAGTGAAAAACATGATTTATGGTACTAATAATAACTCGTAGTCTTTTTAAGATTATCAAAATCTCGTTGAACCACTTACTTCAACTGCGCCAACGTCGCTAGGCCTTTCGAAGTGAGACTGGCACATTCACTGACATCGAGAAATTGTAATCCTTTGATACGTCCAATCCTTGACATACAAAAATCATCAAGATGTAAACATCTTTTCATTTTTAAGTACCGCAGATGGGTTAAACAGGCTATAAAGTAGATAAGTAATATTTTATAAATATTTATACACCAAATTATAATTCAGACATATTTATGAAGAATGTCTGTTTTATAAAAGGCCTCTTTGTTCATCTACGCTAAGCATTACAACCTAGAATTTGTATGAACACTTGTCGAGATTTGAATAAAGTTTGAAAACCAACTTTCTAACATCTAATAACTCATAGTAAATTTACCAAAAATCTTCACCTTCCTTTTCATAACAAACCTGAGATCATGTCAGGGTATATCGGAAGAAATATCCGTTTTTTAAAAGGGTTTTACGTTTATGAAATAATGCTTTCAGAAGCGCAGTCACAACTAACATAACACCTGGCAGAAATGTGCATTAGCCTTATTAGGCACACTGATTCATCACAAAATGAATAGCAAAAAAGTCATTACAATAGTAATTCTAATCGCAGTAAAGCTAGACAGCGAATATGGCTTGAGAAGTAAAGCAATAAATAGCATTAAATAATAAAGACCAAAGATTTAAGGTGAGAAGGATAATGCGTCTGCGCCACTGCACCCAATTCTGACCCATATCAATTACGGTCACTTACCACTTGTTTTGATTAGGTATCATAAACGGGCATTAACTTCACGGCGGACAGTATGCTTACTAGCGTTTTCATAAGTACTAAGAACACTAGCGACACTAAGTGAAGTCAATAGTATTAGGTCAAGTACCTTTACAGACACCCGACCTTTGCGGCTACCGTGATCACCCAACTGAGTTAAATTGGCTGGGACATATGTTCCTTTAGGTCCTACCATACCAGGCAGGTCGACTGGAGGATGGTAAAACTAAAAGCAGCAACTCAAGGTCTAAGGAACTCTGCCTGTAGACCCCTCGAGGCCACTGCCGGTCCCAAGCTCGGGTAAAGGGGGGTTGGGGTTGGCGACCCCATCCCGCAAAAATCTAACTCGCTTAAAAAACGCTAACAAGAAAAAATAATCCAAGCCATTTAAACTCAGCTCTGGCAGTTAGGTCTTCATTTAGAAAAGTTGTGACGTCTCGCGATGAAAACCGAGTTCCTTCGGAAGTCACTAGGCCGGTGCCCCTCCCGACAACCAGAACAATTCCACGGTGTGGGCAGCCGGAGAATAACATTCGCCCTCATACCTATAAAAGCACACGAGACCGATTGGTCACAATCAAATCCTTTCCACATCTAATAACCTCTTATCTGCACGAACGATCCTTCTTTCGATCGTTTTTCGCCTCGCGCCGCTGAAGCAAACGGTTTGAGCTTACAAAACGTCATTCCTGGTCTCCCGAAATCCCGCTCTAAACTACATATTGGAACTTTTAATATTCGAACATTGTTCCAAATAGGTCAACAAGCTTCATTGGCCAGAACTCTGGAATTGCATGCAATCGATGTATGCTACGTCTCCGAAACGCGCGTACAAGATCCGAGTAAAACTATCAATTTGATTTCACCTTGTGCAGATAGAGAAACAACACGGTTTACGCTTCGTGTATCTGGAAACCCTGCTACTGCTGCTTCCCGTGGCGTCGCTGGTGTAGGTATGGTATTAAATCCTAGGGCAGGACTAGCTCTCCTAGACTGAACGCCAGTAGATAGTCGCTTATACGCTGTCCGACTAAACGGGACAGTAAGGACTCGTAAAAATAGGGAAACTCGCCGTTGCCTTTTTTTGTCTCTACCTACGACCCCACTGACTACAGCTCGGACGAGATAAAAGATGAATTTTACAGAAACCTTCCTAACCTTCTTCAAAAAGTTAAGCGCTATGATATAGTAATGATGGCTGGTGACTTCAATGCTCAAGTAGGTAGAATAAGTGAAAAAGTGGTGTGTGGCTAAAGATCAGATAACGGCGACCGTCTGCTGCGGCTGTGCTCAGATAACCACCCATATCTAGCTACCACTAACTTTAAGCGTGAAGAAAAACATCACGACCTGGTGTCCGACAATAGTTGTCTTCCTGGACCTTAAGGTAGCATTTGACTCAGTGGATCATGAGGTTCTGTGGCAGTGTCTGTCAATGAAAGGTGTACCAAAGAAGTACATTAACCTTATACAAGCTCGAACAACACAGGTCGAGTTAGAGTTTATGGCGAACTGTCATCGGAATTCTCTACTTGAAGTGGTCTCCGTCAGATATATATAACATTATCTTCGTTTGAATTTTCAGAATTAGACCTTCTACCAGGAGATTTATTGATTAACTTAGAATATGCCGATGACAGTCGTATTCAGTGAATACGCTGACAAAATGCTGTCATCAGAACACCTTAAGCAACGATGCAAGCATGTTCGAGATGCAATTCTCCACGTCGAAATGCAAAATGGTGCTTCAGAATCGGCACTTGAACTAGCGATCGAGAGTGGAGTAGTTGAGCGTGTTGACCGCTTTACTTATCTCGCGAATCTTATCAGTGCTGATGCCTTGGTGTCTGACGAAATCTCAAGGCGGATACAGAAGGCTTGATCGGCTTTTGCCAACCTGCGTCACTTATGGCGTAGATAACATCCGTCTACCAACCAAAGGACAGGTTTACTGCACAGCAGTTTGCTCCGTCCTACTTTATGGCTGTGAAACATGGCCAGTTACGGTAGAAGATATTCGTAGGTCACTAGCTTTCAATCATGCGTGTCGCCGAAACATTGCTCTTTTATCCTGGGACCACCGAGTAAGCACTGCTGTTGTTAGGGGACAAGTACTAGGAAAGGATGGAGGGTCAATAGATGAAGTATAGAAGCTTCGTTAGTTGAGGTGGCTGGGACATATGTTACGTCCGCCCAACCACTGACTGCCTCGACGAGCTGTCTTGTGGTGTAGGGGTAGGCTAAGTGCGGCCAAACTAAAACATGGCACACATCCATGAAGTCACTGAAAAGTGGACTGAGCCATGCTTAGTATGTTTAGTACGTATGCACATCCGTTTAAAGTTGCCATATAACATTAAAACAATGAGATGAAACTTAGGCTATATCCCAGACTAGTGGAGGTAGTAATAATATCCGTGGTGATGGAGATGATTAGATATTAAAGATGTACATATAAATTATTGTAGTCGAAATAAGAGATTCAGAGGCTTAGAACTTGGCGGAAAACAAAGAATGGATAGAGCGGCGTCACCGCAAACGATTTTCAGCCCTATCATTCAGTCTCTAGCCTATGAGTACGGTAGTCACGTAGATCGCAATCAAGTACTCTACACCTTTTAGCATAACTCAGGCTAATCATCAGTGACTTCGTGGTTTGAGAGATGTACCTGATTTGTGTAATACTGACTTGTAACAAGCATGACATAGAAGAATGTGAAACAAGCAAAATATTCTTAGGACAATTTAGTCAGACCGTTCATGGTTCAGATGTACTTGTACAATTATTGACTCGAAAGAGATACGGATGTAAATTCGACACATACCACGGATTTTAACTTAGTTCGATGATTCTCAATAAAACATCACTCCTGATAACTAACAATCGACAAGGTTACTGATACTGGCACTAAACGACCATTTTTTGTTTCACATAAGCAGCTTAATGTTACCGAGTATACAATCAAAACCATTAAAGCATTTAAACTGTAAATGTGGAGATAATCATTATCAAAGCTTTTGCTTACGTAAGAACTCTAGTCCCTCATAGACAATATTAGTGCCTGACAGGTCAATTGTCTCGAGCATGAAGTCATTAACGTACTTCTTTGGTAATGTGGGAGGGATTCCAGCATATGGTTGAATCCACTTAGTGTGACCGACAAGCTGAACACGGCCACCTAAACGACATACCATATGAGCAACAGCAATATCAACTCCAAGATTAGCAACCTCTTTATCAGAAACTCTGTAAATAAAGAACAGAAGATTTACATTTGTCTAATTCGGTTGCGTTCCTTCATTCGCGACAGTAACAGTGTCTTGAGAGTATCCACTGTCATCGTTTCTTTACCCCATACGCTGCGCATATACGAAAATATTTTATCAGAGAGGGGAGTGGGTGCCTCTGCCACCAAACCAGTATAGATTTTTACAGATTTACCATTACGTATAACATGTTTAAACTACGTTACTACAATATAACATTTATAACTGACGCACCTTAGGCTTAGAGTAAATTGACCGTATGAATCCACCTTGCTCATCAGCTGTCTCACTGGAAATGTAACGGGTCAGTGGATTATGACGGAAGATAGGTGAGTATGACAGACGACGAGCTGTCACAATCAGAACCATAGCACCACCTCTTTGATTCCAATAAGACACTGGAAGTGCAGCTTTTCTCCCAACCCAACCGCTCTTCTTAATGCACGGCCTTGAACTTCCAATATCCAATATCTTTTTCACAAGCTAGTGTAAACCAACTGATTTCTGCGCTCGATTCTTGTTCTTTCAGTACATTTCCAGGTGTTCAGTAGTGCCCACTGAATGGGGTTCTAGCCACTGGACTTCCTGATTCTAGTCAGTTGTGAGTTTGAATGTCCTGTGATTTGAATGAAAACGTTTATTTCAGGGTAGTAGGACTCCTGAATACCAGTAGCTATCATATTACCAGGCCGGAAATCAGTTAGCTACATTGTAGAGAATAATGAGGAGAAAATTTCAGTCATAATAAAAATACGATTTCAGGACTAAGTAAGTGGATAATATAGTTTATTAATTTGTAGTGAATATTGTGAGAGAGGACCAAAGTGTAAGCAAGAGGGAGGAAACAAGGGTGAAAAGCGCTATAAAATCTGAGATGGCATTATTAACAACTAGCAGGTCCTAAGACATGCATCAGGCCCTGATGGTCCACGAGGGAGGTGATAATCCGTGAGTACGTGGTTATCGAGTCTCTTCTTAAAGCTGTCTACTGAGGGGGCTGTGGTCACCTCCACTGAGCGAGCATTCCAAGTTTCATTGACTCTTAAGGATAAAAATTGAGACGAACCTGATGGGCGATTTTTCGAGGCTTACACGGAGGGAGTGGTGGTGATGCATTGGTAAGGTGCTCACGATGGAATGGTTTGGCGTGCCTAATATGTCTTACGCCATAATCAGATCATCTCTGATCCTCCTGTAAGTTGGAGGGAGTAATCCCAGGTGCTGGATTCTATTTTCGTAAGTTTTATTTTTCGACCCTATCACCCATTTCGCTGCTCGTCTCTGCACTCAATCCAGGAGATTTATGTCTCTTTTAAGCAGAGGGGGTTCGATGACGTTGTGAACCTGAAGGTTTGGTCGTGCATATGTCTTAAACAACGTTAAGAATAATTATACGGTGATAGAACCATGTCGTCTTTCCATAAAAAGAAGAGTTACATTAGCCTTGGCTGCGTCTCCCATATACTTCGAACTGGTGTGAAGACTTTCAGTGTTTATTAAACTTTGGTCGCGCTCTGAGGAGACATCAGGAAGCAGACTTCGGTTGAGGGTGCAATCTCCTCGCTTCTAACGGGTCTTCAGATCTTTTCATCGTCTGCGTAGATCAATGCCGAGGAGCTAAATGTGTCTAACAGGTCGTCAATAAATATCAGGAAGAGAAGTGGGCCTAACATAGTCCCCTTTGAAACGCCTGCACTCTATTTACCTTAATATAAAACAGATGTTGGGGGCTTACAACAACCGTCAGATTTGTCGGTGTGATGTTTTGGGTTGTGGTTGCTTTGGTCACCTGTTTTAGTGTTTGAGTGTCGGGCGATTTAGGTATACCTATTGAGGTTTCGGGGCCTCAATTATTCTGCACTGTGAACAGATATACCAGAACGACGGACAGGGGTGACTCAGCATGTACACGTGCTACTCTCCATATACTGTAGTGTTGCAGTGACAGTGACCCAATGTACTACATAAGTTGCATTCAAAAGCAGAGTCACTGCTTTTGACTGGCATAGGGCAGGTGACACAGTTATGCTTCTGCGATTTCTGAACGATTGACTGTGTCGACTGAACCTTAGGACGACCTTTTCTCCTATTCTTATTTTCCTGCTGGTCTTTTAAGTAGTAGCAATCTGAGGACTGAAGTCTTGGTTTCTATGTTGAAGACTTAGTGGAAGTGTTTGGGTCGAGTGGTCCGAATTATGAACATTACTCCGAGGAATGCTGTCGAGTGACGGTTTTTTCACAACCCTGTCACTCGTGGCTTGGAGTTTCGACTCTCCCCTGACCCCTGAATTCAAAAACCTACAGGTTTTCCCAGTTGTTATAATGTAAGAGTAGTAGCAACCTTACTACCTGACTTGATAGCTGAGAGCTTTAGAGGTTAAAAACGAGATAACTGAAAGAGGAAAATGCGCGAAACGGGAGTTTTGAAATGAGGAATTTAGCAATATATAAATATGACAACGAAACAATTAAGCCTGATAGTACCCCAAAATTTTAACTTTACCTTTGACCATCCTAGTGAGCAGTTTCACGTGGATCCAGACATCTAGACCCAGAGCACAGTGGATCTGACTTGGAATGATTCTGTCCGTCCAGATTTGTACTCAGTTTGTCAACCAGTGAATGGTGATAACTTTCATATCACTGGCAGTGATCAAATATCCCAATGTGGTGTCCGGAAGTTACAGTAGCCATTCTGAATTAGAAGTTCCTGCCCTCAGTTATATGTGCATACGCTCAGAGTCGTTCGCTATGGCGCCAGGTGCATCCACTTTTGTGTTCTATGAAATTCTAAAGCTTCTGCATTCCCATAATCTCTACCTTTCTCTTATCTAAAACTTATCTTACTGAATTATACTTCTCGAATCATATCTTCGCTCCCTACTCTTCTCATTACTGCTAATACTTCTATTATTGCTGTCACTCTTGGATTTGAACTGACAGCTGCGTCTACTGTGCCGAGGGGCATGGCAATCTGAAACTGATGTACTATACGTGCGAAGTTCTGCGTTGTACCTGTCTGTCTGAAGAAAACTGTAAAACTATTTTCGAACCATACACACACACAAACATAACTTATGATTCAGCAATATTCGATACTATTCATTCTAACTGGCAGTTTGTTGATGATTATTCACAAATTAGAATGACAAAAATTCTATACCATATAATTTTATAATGAAAAATTGGTGATGTGTTAGAATTCACCAACAATACATTAAAATATTGATTTCGAACTTTAATCAAAAGTATTTAATTAATGATAACAACTAACTAAGCTTAAAAATGTTTACTTTTTTTATCATTTCACATCTATAAATAATAATAATAATGATAAAAGACAATCATCCGTGCCGTATTACAATGTGATACATACACATGAAAATACACAAAATCAGTGTAAGTCTAAACTCATCTATCTCATATAAAATAGTTTTCTTTTTTTTTATATAAATAAAAAAAAATAGTCTATAGAATAGTTTGTAAAATAATTTTAAAAATTCCATTGTTTATTTTACAAAAACTTAATGGTTAGAAAAACTGATGTGAAATGAGAAATTAAAGCCATTAAAATATGATTTGAATAAATTCACTTTTATATATAGTGTAATGTGACTATTTCTGCCAGATTTGATTTTATTGATGATTAGTTTTTTTTTTCTTCCACAATACACACATCTAACAACAACAACAACAGTAAACTTATTTTTTAATTTTTTAATTCCGACCACTATTAATGGAAATATCATGAACTATTTGTAGATTATTAATTAAATTTAATTATAAATTTCCAATAAGAATATATATTAAGATACTTCTAATGTATGGATTGGAAAGTTGATGAACTATCCAGAAGATACAAGTGTGTATTAACAGTCTGTCGACGCAATGATACTTAGGATGCATTGACCGGGGAAAAAAAAAAAACCCCCTACAGCAACAGCAAACTGCGAGAAGAATAAACTAGAGTCCGAGTGGAGGAAGAAAACAGGAAGAAGTGTTGCAAGTGGATGATAGGACAAACATTACAGGAAAAGCACCTAACTTCGTCACAAGAAAAGCCTTTACATGAGATACTCAAGACCAAAGAACACATTAAGCGGAGAATCGGAAGCAAACAAATGAACAGCAGTCAGATAGAACTGTAAAAGGAGGACCAGGAGAATCAGAGGTGGCTGGAGAATGCTGTCGATTGGCGTATGCTCCAATAAGGGTAACAAGCGTAAGTGTGTGTACAAAAATGTACACACCATGCACCTTATTTAGATTACGGTCTCAAATAAATTATCCACACGAATTATTATTAGTATAAGAAGAAATTATGAGTCACTAATGTATGAGACCAGTTATGTGCTTTTATGATATTTAGATGCTTTAATGGTGTTGAGGAAGTGGATTTTTCTTTGAGTGGTAATTAAAGCAACAGTATTAGTAGAACTCATTATTCGTAGTTTCAGTTGAAAACCATAATAATAATATGTAGCAATATAAATACATAGGTGATAAACAAAACATGGAATATTAAGACAACGATTAATATTAGTAAGTTTAATACATACAGTTATTTTTATAATACCAAATCCACTTTAATTATAGTGCAGCTACAATTAACGGACGATAACACAAATCAATGTTCATAATTAATTGAAAAAGTCTCATGAAATGAAGTTTGATTGAGTTTTAATAGTTTCTGTTTAGTCAGTTACAAAATCCACTGGGCTAAAACACTAGGTCATAGGACAACAAACGAGTATACTGTTGGGAAATGTATATGAAAACGGACATCCCAAAATTTATTGGAGAAATCCAAAAACAGTGAAGAGAAAAAAAAGTTCCACGAAACGACAATATATTTGGGGTTCACACAAAGAAGAAACAATGTAAGCGTAGCAAAATAAACATGCCATTTACTTTATTTCGGCTAGGTTTCTCATCAGATGCTTACACCGAAAAATAATAGGTACTAATAGCAATCTAAAACCAGTGCCATATTTTATATCATAAATATCGAAGAAGAGTTCCTTATCAGCGAAGATCTAAGTGAAAGAGAAAAGAGCAATCAGTATGGAAGAACTATAAATAAATATTTGTAGTGCTTAAGTGCTGAATATTTGTTATTTAATCTGAATTCGAAGGTGATGAGTAATTTAGTAAAAATCAATAGATTGAGTAAAATCTGAACCAATCAGGACATATTCTGTAATTATACTGATTGCTTGATGCAATTACGTACCCCACTCATGTTTGAGAGGACCAAAAAGGAGTGGATGCACACTGCGCCACTGCAAACGATTTTAGGCCATGTACTTCAAGGTCTCTAACCATTTGGTTGATTTACGTATCGTGGACCCTAATCAGGTAGCCTACATCTACCAACCTGACTCAGTCCACTTATCAGTGACTCTATGGATTTCTGCCATGTTTTGGTTTGGCCACCGCTAGCTTTCTTCCAACCTACTCCGACACCAGGTTCGATTCAAAGGACAAATTCTATAAAGCGTGAGATCACATGGTTTAGAGACTTTCAGTAGTGCTATTTCAAGACTTATCCCTGATAGCAAGAGAACAAGTTGGTTTCATATTTTGATCACATTGTTTTTTATCTTATTTTTGGGATTCATAAGTTTATAAACTGATTTTTTAAACTTGTACTGATTATTACTACCAATGATTTCGTGTTGAAGCTACCTCATGCATAGCAATCAATTTGTCACCAGTATGGAATTGAAATTACTATTTGCATATCCTAGAATTGTTTTCACATTATATTTGTATAGAAACAAGTGTTTTTTTTTGGATCTTATTAACTGGTAATGGGATGGTTGCTCGATCGCAATTGCCAACATATCTACATTACATTACTAACATGATAATTCTAATAGGAAAATATTTTAGGTTGCAAGTAGTAGCTGATAAGAAATTAACGAAAGAAAATTAACGCATATTCTTCAAATCTTTTGCTTTTACTCTATTTAACTAGTCTGACAAAATAGTTAATGTACTACTGTTGCGTAATGAACTTACTAACAATAACAAAGAAAAAAGAAACAGAATAATAATTAAAACGACGTGAAAATACGTTGAATAATTTAAAATTAGTTAGTACATATTATATTAAATAACTTATAGAATTAAACCAAAATATTAGACGAGAAAGCTGTCGTTCAATGCTCTATCAAGTTTTTCAATGGTGATCTACTACAACTACTACTGCTTAAGATCAATTCATAATTTAAATTGTGATAAAATTAGAAAAAAGATGGTAAGCTAATAAAATGGTGTGTAGATTTTAAAATCAAATTTTTTTTTAGAAAAAAAATAGTACCATAAAATGAATAAGTGTTTTTTTTTCAAAAAAAAATTATTTAATGATTATATAAACAAACTATCGACTGTAATTGAATGATTATTAATCAATAACTTCAATCAATTAATTAATCTCTGTATGAAAAACACACACACACACAACTAAATTTAACAGGATTTTTATAAAATAAATTAGTTCAGTGAAGGAGTTTTTCTTCAGTTTTTTTTCTCTCAATGAATTCATTTTCATAATTAAAATAACAATAATTTACCGAACGTCATGGTTATAGCAGAATGAAAAAAAAAAGAAAAGAATAGAAATACGTAAAATGTAATGATGATGCATAAAACTTGAATATTTATTCATTCAAGAATAATATATCATAGAATTAAAATAGAACAATAAGTAGTTATGTAAAAAGTAGTAGTATCATTCATAGTGACATGATAATACGTTAAAATCGAAATGAAAAGTTATTAGAAAGGAGATAGGAATAGAAGTGTTTTGCTAGTCACTTGCTATGCTTGAAACTATAACGAGTTCACCTTAGTCGATCAACGAGAACGAGACAATGAACCAGTGGTCCGGGTAGGCTACTCTGATTGGTTGACCCATAAGAACTAACGAAAAAGTCTTGATATAGCGTAGAAAGTGTATTCTACAAACATGCAACAAGCACAATGAATTCGAGCACACAAATCGCGTTATTTATAAATCATAGTAACATCCTTGGGAGAGTCACAAAAATAGCAGGTTAAAATAACACGGCAAAGATTTTCCTGGTGGAAAATGTGATTTCAAGGTCAAACTGATCAACCCATGAATCAAATCCAAAATAAAGACATTTATCAAGCGAGTTCTGAGGATCTAACGTCCCCAACAAGAAGCAAGTCAGTTGGGAGTAAAAGCTTCGAAGAAGATAGCAATGGTTTCAAAAAGCTAGAAGTTAAGATCATATTAAGTAAAAGAAGAGGCTGAATAAATTTTTTTGTTTCAATATACAGTGTTTTAGCTCATAGCGAATGTTTCAACAATCCTAATCAGACGAAAGTTCACTATTTTTGACAAGTTTTTAATTTAGTTTGTATATGATTTTAAACGCTAAGTCTGTTTCGATCGAATGCTCCATGTTTACAAAATGTGAGATACCAATGTTGCCCTTTTGAGAAAAAAATGAATGTTAATCATTGGCCCGTTTTCTGTTAAGGTTTAACTGAAAGAGCCCCACTACGAGGAGATGAACTATAATGTGATAAGCGTTAATCAACAACACCATAAACTCAATCAGAAATAAAGCTTTCTGATGATTGTTCTTTTCTCATCTTCAAAATCTTAATGATTTTTGTTAATAGAATATAAAATCTATTGTTTAATTAAACAAAAAACAATAATGACTAGCAATAATAATAATAATAATAATAACAGTAGTATGACTAAGACAAACCTGACTAAGTTGATCATGTAGTACAAATTTACGATATAACATCATTAAATCAGATAATTTATCAATAGATAAATATATTGAAATAATTTGTCTTAATTGTTCAATGGAATGTTTCGATATTGTACAATCGACATTTGTATCAATGCTTGTTAAATGACAAACTGCAAAACTCTCTTTTAAACGTGTCTCTAATTGTTCTTGTAGATTTATTGTAATCCAATGAATACGCTAAAATTAAATATTTGTTTAGAAGAGAAAATAGGTAAACAATATTTAATCTACTGAGAAACAAGACATATCATTTTTATGTTGAATAAAAGAAGAGAATATAGGTAAACAATACATCTTTTCATCTAAGATTATAACAACTATTAATCTGTTTAAAATTGATCAATAAAACCGATTTCTATAAAATCCTTTTAATTAATTTTACAGGTGACTTCTTTTATTATTAAGATGAGCTTGTGAAATTTTAATGAGAAATTGTTACAGTGGAAGTTGAAACATGTTGAGGGTAGAACAGTGATTACCAATAAGATTGAATCATTATCTCACTCTCTGTTATAAATTCAATGACCCAGTGGTTATAATTTTTAATCGTGTGCAGAGAGATTTGAAGCCACTGGGGTTGTCTTTTCTAAAAATTCGATAATTTTAAAGCACTAAAGTTTAATCAGCTGACGTTGAAGGATGATTAGTGATACACTTTTCTTAGTGGTGGTAAACGCAGCCGTACCCTCAATTAAGATAAAAACATACGTACTGCAAAAAAAAGAACATTACCATGTTGTCAAACCATATCAAAACAGTGAAGTAAAAATGAATAAGATGAGTAACAAAAAGAAGTTGACAGAATCAGTCAACTGGTATCTTTTCTCTAGTCAAGGCATTTGAGATTCAGTCGATAAGTCTGAGTTTAGTAAACAAAGCTTTATTGGAAGAATACACAGTGTACTAGCGAAATATGTGCACCTGAAGATAAGGTGTACATATTTACAAAACAATCAGATTATTGGCTGTTTTTTATTTCTACACTACTTTTATTCTTCAAAACGCTTCGATCGTATCATACATCCGGATCCTACACTCTTTTCTTCTGTTGGGAGTTTTTTTTAGTTGGACAGAACAGCTGTTCAAGACTTCCAGATTTCCAATAGATGTCTAACTCGGTTCGATTGTAGTCTTAGCGAAAAACAGCTATTACAGTGAATAACAAAAAATTCACTTGGGTGTTGTGCTTTTTTAGAGATGAGTCAATTCGGACAGTATACAGTAAAATATTCAAGACTTGAATGATTATTAAATAACAAGATAATACAATAATAAAATTCTGTATAAAATTAGAAAGTACTTATAAACACGTACTGGTTTTAATGAATTTAAAATTGGATGATCATGACATTTTTTACTGAAAAATTGAAGTTTAATATATTCATTGGCAATTCGATCCATACGTTGTCCAATATCTTCATGAAGACTTAAAAAAAAAACAAACGAACAACAGAAACAAAGAAACTCTTATTGTTTTATCAATGTTTTAGAATAGCAATTGTCTTTTTGAAAGCAAATAATTAACTCAGTAATCCAATTGAATATTTGTAAAACTATTTTATAAGCATTTATGAAGAATATGTGATATGAAAGTTCTATGACAAAAGCTGACAATTGAGTTTGTTCATTTACTCGAACATCAACATTCACAGAGTTGAATTAAAAATGAAATCTTAACAATAATCTTGGTTAAACTCAAGTCTCCAAATTCTGTCATTGTTAATTTAGATTCGATTTTTAAAGTTAATCAGTGTCTATAGGCATTGATAGGATATATTCATGTTATAATGTATAACTACTCATTTAAAAAGTGTAGATTCATTTAATGAGTCACATTTTCATGTGACAGTTAAGTAACAGTATAAAAATACACTTTAGAGTGTAATACACCTTAATTTATTAAATTATAATTTCGATTATCAGATTGTCCTAATCTAATGATTGTCATTGTAGTGAATGAGAACACAGGTGGGGGCGCAACCGAATTGTATTTAACGAAAATTACAGAGTTAGTCAGTAAAATCGGAAAAACCATATCGTAAATCGTTCATTTGCAAAAGATCAGTTCATCCTATGGAACTGGACTGTTCCTGTTCGCCAAACATCAAATCCCATTGTCACTCTTCATGCGTTTCAATACAAATTCCATTGTTTTCTGACTCTTCCTTTCTTGATCTTCCCCCCATATTATGCCTACCAGACTTTACGTTGACACTCACGCTATATACTACTTATAAGTAGTTCGCAACACAGCACCAGACTCGTCCCTCCCTTTTAATAAGCCTGTCGTCGTGGTCCTTCAAACAGAGCTCCCTGCCGTCAGTTAATATCACCTTCCGTATTCCGTGACACGCCTACACTATGCCGGATTACCACTTCGGTCATCGTTCTTGATCACTGGTCTGGACATAGGATACGGCCATCTATCCAACGTGTAGCGTCCACAAGTTCCCGATGCTGGAACACGGCGGCAGGCACACCCTCGATAAATTGCGACGCCAAAGGACTGTGCCCGTCTCCACTCCTCACGGCCGCAATCCGGGTGAGCTCCACAGCAAGCACCAACCGGTCACCATCGGCCGACAGCCGCGCCAAACCGGAAACCTCTGCGGCGCCTTCTCCCTGTTCCGCTGGGCTGTCCGAACTCCATTATCAGCCGCCCGGTGACCCGTCTCCCACGCCGTCTCCTCGATGGCACCGCCCAGGCTGTCGTGTACTCCGGCCTTCGCCGCCACCTCCCCTGCAGCGTCCCCCAGCACCGTCAACTCCGCCACTAGGGCCCCCACCAGCTCCACCGTGGCCCCAAACTCCTCCAGGAAGCTCCTCCAATCTCCGTCCTGCAACTCCTTCGGCAACGGGAGCCCCTTCTTTCGAGCAGGCAGCGACACCAAATGTAGTGAATGAGAACACAGGTGGGGGCAACCGAATTGTATTTAACGAAAATTACAGAGTTAGTCAGTAAAATCGGGAAAACCATATCGTAAATCGTTCATTTGCAAAAGGACCAGTTTCATCCTATGGAACTGGACTGTTCCTGTTGCCAAACATCAATCCATTGTCACTCTTCATGCGTTTCATACAAATTCCATTGTTTTCTGACTCTTCCTTTCTTGATCTTCCCCCCATATTATGCTACCAGACTTTACGTTGACACTCACGCTATATACTACTTATAAGTAGTTCGCAACACAGCACCACAGTATTACTTCAAGTTGTTATTGATTGCTCTCATTCAATGTGTTTATTGGGTGGTTGGTTCAATTTTTCTATTACTACCTTCTTTTCCAGATCTTCTCACATTCTTCTGCATCAAAATACGTACCTTTAGATGCTTACCAAATGTTTTAATAATGGCTGATTAATATTTTGAAAAATAATTGGGAAGCAGTATAAAAAATCAAGATGATAAATTATGCAAGATAGCGAGGAGGCCTTAGGACCATGGTAGGAGCGATTGAACAGTTTCTGAATATTAAGGCTAGACTTGAATCAGTGGGTAGTTATACCCTATAATTGAGCCTCTGGGTGACTTTTGTAATTATTAAGATATTCAGACAGGTAATGTTCGGAGATGCACTTTGTGCGGCCAATATTACCTGCTCCTTATGGGAGAATAAGCTGATAGATGTCCATTGATTTGGTCTAAAATGGGAGCTTGTCCTTCACAAAGGGATGAATCAAGAACCAACTAGAACAGATAATAAGAAGTCCAACACAACAGTTCAATTCAACGCTATTTCTGTATTCAAAAAAGAATAAGGATTAGAGTATCAGCGGTTTCTGTTCAAGTCAAATGACTAATTATAAACTATCGGAGATATCTTCTGAAGTATTTGCCTAGATTCGCAAAACAAAGTAAAAATTCTTCCTCAGAATGAGACAGTTTGTGGATATTCCACGTTTGTTCTCTGCCGACTTTTTCCTATCTACAGACACTACTATTACTAGGTACGAGCTTTCTTTTTAATGTGTTTAATCATTAAAACTGATGTGAGTCCAACTGTTCTATGAGATAAAGATTAACTAACATAAGCGATAAGTAACAGCACAATCATAGGTAAAAGATTTTGTCGTCTTTATTAAACTGTTACTAGCTTCACGGGCAATACCATCATCAGCATGTACTTCAAAAAGTAGTAAGCTATTAAAATCTCTCCAAAATTGACGAACGGCTTGTTCAGTTAACCTAGAAACTGCTCGGTTGTTATTCATAACTGTGTGATCATTATTTGTTTTTACTGTTTTCTCTCCTAACCTGATCTCTGATCCTGTAGTTTTTAATGCCTTTTCCTACCGGTCAGCAGATTTGATCGATTTGGATGTTTACTTACTGATGTTTAACCTTTGTGATGACGCAAGTGTGGCACTTCACTCAAGCACTAACCAACAGGCACAACGAAATCGATCGAATCTGACTCCCAACAAGGAAAATGCTAGCCAAAACAAACATAAAAAACGACCACACTGTTATAGACAACAGAACAAACTCTTAGTCGATTGAAGAGATTCTAATAGCTCATTTATCCTTGAAATACGAGCTGATGATGATGATGCCCAAAACGACAGTGAAAGCTTCACAACTAAACCATCCAGCTCAAAGAATACAACATCCTCACCTGAGCTACAAACATTTCTCATCACCATACAAACGCTTGATTGAGATAAACAGACAGCTGAAGTTTACATAACTACCATCTATAGAACAATACAGCAATAAATCAATTACGACAACTTACGAACAATCAGCATAGAACTCCAGTGGCCATATATCTAAGTCATTATCATCACCATCGTTATTGATGTCCTTTGACTCTTCATTATTATTATTGTTATATTTATGATCTAATTGATCATTAATTTGTTCTTTATTCACTAACCGGTCATTTGATTGTGTTAACCAACGTTCTAAACGTGATACACATGAATCCAGTGTGAACAAACTATTTGCATAATCCTATAAATTAAGAGTGATTGATTGTAAAAAAAAACAAAAACAGGACTCATGTAATGATGTTATATAAAAGATACAGTATTATTATTATAGATTGTTATAATATTTTAATGTTAAGTGGTTAGAGGTAGTTCGATTATACGGCTATACGATTATAGTCTCTGTCAGGAAAGTTATACTGCCTCCATACAACGGGGTTGTTGCTTTTACAAAACTTAGTGTAAGAAAGTCGACATCCACTCGGTCAAGTTTGAAATCCTTGATTTCAAACCAGTGGTAAACGTGGAATCCAGGATCCTCAAGAAGTGAATGACATACGAACTTACTTTGGCCATTGACTATCATCAGATTGCATCCCCTGAAATTACTTCCTTTTTAAGTTGAGAGTTCACAATCAAAAACCATCTACGTTGGGTTTGAATAGCCCTTAAAAAAATAATGATGATTACCAATGAAATAATGAACTATTCGATTGGCATACCTAGCCCTAAATAATAAACTACAAAATATTTGAGCTCATATCAACTATTTTACTGAGAAATGTGAAGTTCTGTTTTTAGTTATCAAGTTATTTGAGGAAAAAATGAACGAAAAGTGTGTTAAACACATTGATAAGTACTGAATACCTATATAAATTACGATACAATACATACTATGATAATGACAAGAAGGAGAGGCTGAACACTATTTTAAATGCATACGATAAATACCATCAAATCTCCTAAATTAGCGTTATTATGTAGATGGTAAAAGAAAGAAACAAGATAAAATAAAAATGACATATGACTAATTGACAACAATTTCCACTGGTCAAAGTAAATTTGCATAGTATCTATTAATAGACATTGTTAATCTAAATTACTATGGTAACAAGAAGTAGTAGGTTAACCATTCACATTGTTAACTGCATATTATTATTATTTATTGACAAAAGAAAACAAAGAAACTGTGTAGAAAAAAATAAAAAGAATAAAGGAAATGATAGGAAAAATATGAATACAATAAACGCTATTTAATAGCATTTAAAAATAAGTTAGCATAGAACATAAAAACTATGTTTTTAGAACATTAATTTGAGTTCAATTTCTAGTGCGTTATTCAAAATAAATGAAAGAATATTAAGAGTGATAACAATTTCCTTTTGATATAGAATACATAACGAATTTCAGCTCCTTTTTTTTCTCATCAATAATTATGTATAACTTTGTGTCGTCATCTTATGTTTACTAGGTGAGAAACTCTTGATTGCCTTATGAATGAAATTTTTGGAATGTGATCATCCTAAAAAAATAATTATGATCATTTATGAACTCTATACTCTGTAGATATAATTCAGATTCATGAACAAAGTTTCATCAATTCATACATACACTGACTGTTGTTGAATTGAGTGTACCAAAGAAGTATATTAACCTAATACAAGCTCTCTACTCGAACACCACTGGTCGAGGGAGAGCTTATGGAAAACTATCATCTGAATTCTCTATATCAAGTGGTGTCCGTCAGAGATGTCCACTCTCTCCATTCTTGTTTAATTTTATAAGGAAAATCGCTTACTGACCTAGAATATGCCGATGACATAGTTCTATTTGGTGAAGACGCTGACAAAATGCAGAGTCTTCTGACTACCCTAAGCAACAATGCAAGCATGTTCGGGATGTGGTTCTTCCCGTCGAAATGCAAAATGTTGCTTCAAGAATGGGTTTCATCAGCACCTATACTAGTGATAGGGAGTGAAGTAGTCGAGAGTGTTGATCGCTTGCCTTATCTGGGGAGTCTCATTAATGCTAATGGCCTGGTGACTGACGAAATCTCAGCTCGGATACAGAAGGCTCGATTGGCTTTTGCCAACCTGCGTCACTTATGGCAAAGGCGAGATATCCGCTCGCTAACCAAAGGACGAGTGTACTGTGCAGCAGTTCGCTTTGTCCTACTATACGGCTGTTAAACATGGCCGTTAAGAGTAGAGGACTTTCGTAAGTTACTAGTCTTCGATCATCGATGTCTCCGAAGCATTGCTCGTGTATCATGGGACAACCGTATAAGCAATGCTGTCGTTAGGAAACGAGTTCTAGGTAAGGATGGCAGATCAATAGATGAAGTTGTGAAACTTCATCAGTTGAGGTGGTTGGGACATGTGTTGCGTATGCCTAACCACCGCTGCCTAGACGAGCTATGTTTTGTTGTGTAGAAGTAGGTTGGAAGAAAGCTAGGGGCGGCCAGACCAAAATATGGCACAAATCCATTAAGTCACTGACAGGTGGACCGAGTCATGCTGGTAGATGTAGGCTACCTGGTTGGGGTCCGCGAGACGAAAGTCACCAATGGTTAGAGACCTTGAATGACATGGCTCAAAATCGTTTGTAATGGCGCAGGTGCACTAACTCATCGTTTTCTCTTACATCCTAAGTTTTGAAAATCCTTCATAATCTTCTCCTTTATCTCAATAATCCATATTCTGTTCTCGAATTCTGTTTTCTATGCCTAGTCTTTTTCTATTAGCGTTAATACTGTTCTACCACTTCTACTATACCATTAATTTGAAAATAAAGTTGCTGGGACTTTTTTAAGTGGATCCTTCGTATTCAATAACCCGAGTTAAGTGTCATGCATTCGCTTTACAATTTCACTCACTGAAAAAAATACTCCCACCATGAGAACAAAGCAAAAACTGAACTTACCACCTGAAGAAGAGTGATCGAGTGGCCATATGAGAACATTCAGACAGAAAGGACGGACACTCCATCATCGATCATACCAGGACATTAGGGGTAACTTCAACTTAAGTATATATCTATTTCAGTGGGAATCGTTGTTTACTTCTAGTTTGACACGCAAAACTAGTTGTAGTTTTATAAACAATAGTAATTATGTGAAATACAACTCAAACGGTAATAAAGTCATTATAAAAATACACATAAACATTAATAAACTAATCAAATTAAATTTGCAAATAAAACTGAAAATGAAATAATTTCAGTATACCTTTTCATTTTTTATATGCTGAAGCGATTTCAACTTAGCTGATAATTCTTGATCGGTAGATTCGAGTTCAGCAAGTACTGACTAAATAATAAAAATTTGGGACAAAATATACAATAAATATTGAAATATCTTGTTCTTAAAAAGATATAATTGAATGATAGATAGAATTACAGAGGATAACATATCTTTAAACACTGTAATACATTTAGAAGTAAACAACCCTAAGCAACTACACAATCGTATATATAAGGGTTTACTGATTGGAGCTGAAGGAAAATTCAGAATAACAGTGTGATGCAGTGGCTTGATATTTCGAGTACTAAGCTTTCAAGCAACAGACCCCACGTTCGAACCGCGCCATGCCCACTTTAGTATGGTAGCCAAGCAGTAGTAGTAGTAGCAGTACTCATAACATGGTTTACGGTGGAGTACATTAAACTGCACAGAGCAAGCAAGTTACATATGACCTTAATGTAGAACAATGCATCAAGATCAAAAGAGTTACTTTTTCTTTGAAGAAATCTTTTCTTAGGGTGTCCTGTGTTATAAGCTCTCATTAGATTTACTAACTCCATTGTTACATATTTTCAAGCATGCACCCAGTTTACTGTTACTCACAGTAAGTTTGCTTAACAAACTATCTGCTTTTACAAATTGTTGCTTGTTGGGTCATTCACCTTGATCCAGAGTAGGAAAATATAAACATGCAACCATTTCTATCGTTTATTACTGTTCTAATTACCTATTTTCAGTAAAACTGGATATCCCATTGTTAATGGGACATAGATTGGATTAAAGCATGATTGTGTTGGCACACGCTGATTGACTCTTCGTATCCAATCAACGCTAGCCGATAAACCGAAGGAACATTCTAGAATCTTCTCATGTAAGAAAATTCTAGATATACTAACGACTTTTTCTTTTGGACCTTCTCTCTTCCATTTAACCTTGTTATTGGAATATAATCTATTTCCAGCTCAACCGTGTTCTTATTTGGGAGAACGTCCCTAGTGAATTGGTGTCCGAGAATACTAAGCATTAAGAATAGCTGGGTTGTAATAAAGAGAGAAAATTATAATTTTTTACCTCCTCAATAAAATTCAGCATAGTTTGTAGTCAAAGAGATAAAAAAAACTCACGTTAAACAATAATAGTAATAATAAAATAAACTGTAGACAGTAAAGAAACTAAGCGTTTTTAAGAATATGACCATACCTATAAATAATGGTGTGGGTGTGTGCATTCATAAATGTATGTGTGAAATGTAGTTATGTAACCAAAGGTAACCGTCAATGTCTATGAATGAACTACTTAATGGAATATTATTAGTACTTTCTAAAAAAGTGTGGAATTTCAAATTAATTTTACCAAAAGACATATATTATTTAGTAGTAAGAAAATATTGAAACCCTGGATAATCTTTTTTCCTAGCTAGTTGCAATTTTAACAGACAATGTATCGGATATTCATTCAATGACTGCTATAGCAAAGAACTTAATGCTTTCAAACTGCTAGGACGAATAAAATGACTGAACCAATGAGAATTTTATTCACAGAACCAAACGTCAACGGACAGAATCACTTCGTTATAAAAAACTGAGTATATGAATGAATATTGAGATTCTAGCTCAGTTTTACTAGTCTATGAAATATCCAGTCAAATGTAGTATGAACTATTTTTGAATCAATAAATAAAAATTGAGAGTTGAAAATAAACGTTACAATGAAGTTTAATATTGTTCACTTCTGACCACCATAACACAACCATTTCCCGATTCCAAACGCTTATCAACAGAATACACTAAGTATCGGTACCATAACGGGCTATAGTTTCAAACTCACAATCATACTTCAAGTCACTTCAAGAATATTGGTTGCAGATGTACAGCGTAAAACTATTTATCTTATTGCAAAATTAAAGTGTGGGGTAAAGAGTCTGAATTCCCTTTAGAGAGACAATGATGATTAATGTCATTTAACGGTTCCCTAAAATATTTTTCGAATTATACCTTATTATGTGACATTCTAAGGAAAGAAACAACTTTTTATTGAAACAAATCCTTGAGATTAAATTGAGTATTCGTAACATTGTATATTTTTAGAGTTGTGAATCGTAAAAGAAAATGATATAACACAGTGATACGCTCCGCTTATTAATTGTGTAATTAACTAAAATAGTTACACTACAATATTCACACTAGAAATAATCAATACAAAGAATATAAGTTGTAGAGATTATTGAAATATGTGTATTGATGAGTACTATTCGGACAAATCACAAGCATTCAGTTAGACATATTCAACATTTTAGCTGTTAAAACTAAAATAGATCAATCGCGGCTAAAACCAGTAACCATTTACTGGTGGTGGGATAATATGAGAATAGGCTCAATTGCTAAGCCATAAATTGACACTAAGAAAAACCTTAATATCTAAATCAAATAGATCGACAAGCGACGCTGTCTAGTGTAGGGGTAGACTGGTAGAAAGCTACGGGTGGCCATACCAAAAGATAGCACAAATCCATGAAGCCATTGACAACTGGGTTGAGTCATGTTAGTAGGTGTAGACTATCGTAGCAAGTGGTTGACGACTTTCAATGACATGGCTTAAAATCGTTTGCAATAGCGATGTATATATTCTTTGTCTTACTCCAAATACTAAATTCTTCATGACTCCCATTTTCTTACTTCTTTCTTTTTTATAACGATATATTTCACTGGTTCGTAACTTCTTAATTCATATCGTCAATCCATTACACTTTCCATTACCAGTAATATTGCAACTATCTCTACTACTATGGGGTTCGAACTGACAATTTTATCCTTCTGTGTTAATATGGTATGGCAACTTGAACTGTTGTATGTACATAACAAGTTCTACGTTGTAACTGACCAACTGATTGAATAGATCAAAAATCATTGTTGTGCATAAACTTAATACATGCAAACAAATAAAAAGAACTCACCGATATGTAAGATTGTAGTTGTTTCAATGGTGTGACAATTGTATCGATTGATTTATCCAAACCGACAAGATTTGTTGATAGACTTACAAAATCAGCATAATCTTGATTGATCAATTCAATTAAACTAGATTTAAGGATATTTGAATATTGAAGTAGATCATCACGAAGTTTTTCTAATGATGTTCCACGACGATGTTGCTCCAAAATAAAATCATCCGAATTGAAATCATTCTTGAAGCAATTTTTTTTTATTAGAGAAAATAATATGAATAGAAATTATTTTTTAATTAGGTGTTGATATCACTTGATACTAGATCAAAATATTGTCTCATATATCTTAAAATGTTGCGAAACATTCCCATGAGACTTCGTTAACCATCGTCTCTGCACGTTTAGGCTAAGATTATAAGACATCCACATGAATGGTAAGCCTATATATGTATAGCTCATCGGTTAGGGCACCAAATGACCCGACGTTAGAAACCCATTGAATATTCTTTGATTTAAGTATCAAGGTATTATCGATAGTTCTTACATGAAATAATACGGGGTTAAGTTAACTAGATAAACCCCTCCCCACTTGGTGCACATATATTCCACAGGTGTTTTTAAAGTATATTTCTCAGAGTACAGAAAAAAACTTCTTCAAATATGGGTAGAACAAACCACTCAAGAATGATTGCAAACACGTAGTAGCTAGAATACTTAGGAAATTTATTGCGAAGAATCAGTCAACAACCATACTGAGAGGTGTAATGACTTTTGAAAATAAGGGATTGAAGTGTGAACATATTCACTGAAAAATTTTGGTTGAACAGAACAACTGATATTACTTGGTGATGCCGATACATTCACCTTTTATCGGTATTTTAATGAACATTTTATTATTTACAAAGACTACTGATTTTTTCATGGCGTACCCAAAGCCCATCCGACTAATATTCCCATTTTCTGATCTAACCCAGATATGAACGGCTGTGTTACATAATTGAAAGCACAAACAATAATTGTTTAACGAATAGAACATGACATTGTATTAATAGATGAAACAAGATGAGGTATAATCAAGCTATATGTCTAAGCTTTCAATGACTATTCTCCATATCATTCATTTAAGTAAAATAAGAACGATTAGTTATCTTTTTCCGTGAAAAACGGTCTTTTTAGAAACAATATTTATTCAGTGGATAAGGAAATTAGTTCAGTCCCATATTTGCAGTTCCTCGAATCAAATGGGTTGATAATTTACTATGCGTTAAAGACATAATAGAAATTACAAGAGTATTGAGCCCGTTTGGAATATTTATATTGCATAAACTAATCAAATCACTTTAATGAATTTCATCCAAACCAAAAGAAAAGCTGAACATCTGAAAAACAAACTGCTTCGACTGCGAAAAACACTATCTTAGACAAAGTGGTCACTTTCTTCATCTTCGTCGGTTTGGGTATCAATTAGATGTCAAAGGTCCTCATATCTGTCCACTTACATCAATGTGCATGGACATATTGGATTAGGAAAATGCCGGATAGATGACACACAAAGAAGACCATACCGTATTTAAAAGCTTGCCACTCATGTACATCAGCAAACTCTACCATTTCAATAAACACATCGAAATCGACCGATTCTATGAACCAAACAGAACCACGGACAAACGTAGGTTAAGGACCAGTTCAAAAAAGACAAAATAATACGCGGATAGTGGTAGGGTGAAGGTTGACACGAAAATCTATCAGAGAAATTCGAAAAACCCACTTCTACCTAAAGTTTGTGCTGTGATATATATATATATATCAAGTATTATTTGTCATTAACAATCATCAGACATATTTTGGGCCAATACGACCACAATTACATCTCTGTGCTAATGTGGTATGGCAACTTGAGCTGCTGTACTTACGTACAAAGTTCTACGTTGCTGTTGATGACACCTACCTTGAACTAGAAAGCTATTCAGAGTATAATGGAATAAACTACAGGGTGGTTTACATTGTTCTATCATGACAACTGTAGGTTCGTAATCGCAAGAGTACTACTTTATGATCATGTCTCCCAGTCTATTGTAATGAAACAAATAAATGTATTCTCATTTACCTAGTTTTAATAGTCATTTCATTATTTTAAATCTTTATCATTCAATTTTTTTTGTCTTCTACTGTAAGCACTATTATTATTTCTTTTTTGTCATATCCTATTGATATAAATAATTAGTGTTTTGAACGCCAGAAAGGAACTTTTAATATCACTAGGGTAATAATATTACGACAAATATTCTGTATGTCAATGTATTCAAATTGCAATCGGTCAAAAAGTATATTATGTTTTCCAATTGTCAGTATACGCCATTCATCCTCAATTGTGAAGGTATCCTATTACTTCAGTTGCTACAACTAGCTTTTTCTCATTCATCATGTACATGATGAATGAATTTTAGTATATTTGTTTCTTCAAACAGAAAAATATAGTAACACTGTAATTGGATTTGAGTTTCCTAGTATTTAATTTGCAAGATATTCTATCATAGCGTGCATCAGTAGTGTCACATACAGTAAGCACTAACAACTGTCGATTATAAACAGATCTAAAACAGAGAGGTTTATAGAAAATAGGTGACTCAGGAGTCTGAGTAGGCCTCTAAAATTACTGTGTTGTTATAATATGTAACAATATAAATACATAGATGCTAAATTTGACTCCACATATTATAGAAAGGATTTTTTAAGTAAATGAAAGTAATACTTAACAAGTACAAACTGCAGAGCGGAAAATGGACAAGCTTGCTAACCGTAGAATCGTATATGTGATCGGATTAAAGAATATGACTAGACTATAAGAATTTAAGAAAAAAATTAACTATATGGTAAAAAGGTTTCTGAAAATATATACTGTAACTGTAGTAGGATTCTTCAAGTAAAATCTACTTTAGGTCTCTCATAAATACTGTTAGAATGGATCATAAGAAACACGTGTAGTACACCAACATAGAAGAACGAAAGTGATCAATAAAAAAGGAGGTACAACAACCACTGCGATATGATGGTAATAATAACAATAATGATAAGTCAGGAGCTAGATTTAACACTATTCTCTATTACATAGCGATCAAGAATAGGGAGATGAATAGCTTTAGGACTTAGTCATGTTATGTCTACCGATTTATTCACAAAAATAAATTGTAATAGTTAAAAAAACAAACAACTATTTCACATTATGTATCGCTTTAGGCATTGAAGTGACCAATTCCCGAAATCTTTTTTTTTCACATAGCAGAGCAATGAACATCAAAAGTAGTTTTTTTTTTAATAAAAAAAAGAAGCTTACATTCAGAAATGATTCACGATCAAAACAGAATGTTAGACCAACAGGAGCAACATCAAGAGTATCCTCTAATAATAATTTCCGTAAATTAGAATTTTTCTTTTCTATTGGAGAATCCAATTTACTATTTTTTAATTCTGAAATAGCTGGCATGCTGAAAGACCAAAAACTCAAGTTGTTATCAAATTATACAACTAATTCACTTAAATGAAGATTAACTAAAATTTATCTATCATAGCCAATAGCCTTGATTAATTAGTCTAACACAGAAAAAGAATATGAACACAATTGAATAATATGCATGTATATTTGTATAAGATGTGAAACACCAGTTTATCAGAAGTGAACAATACAATATACGATGCGCGTTAAAAGTTGTAGGAAAGTGCAATTTCGAAACAGAAATAATTCAATTCATATTGAATAAAGCATGAAAAGTTCAGCAATTAAGACAATGATTTTTAATTATTAGAAAAACTCTTGAAAACCGTATTGTAGTAGTATTTGACGTATATCAGTGCTGTATATTAATAGAAGGTCATTGAAAATAGGTGTATTTAACACATTGATCGTATGCAAATGAGTGATAGGATAGTACTGTACAACAGATGAGAAGTCGTATTTAAATAAATAAATGTAATTTAACAAGAAAAGAAATTAAAAAGTCTATAGTACAAGAATAAAAATCAGTCACAATTAGACTACAGTTAAATAAACACAAGTTAGAAGAGAGAAAGTAAATTGAAAATACATCATAGACACACACTCACACACAAGTATTAATATGTTAATATGCTATGTGAGATTTTATTTTTAAGATGGATTATTACGATTTAACTGATCTGTTTGCCGAAAGAAAAGATAATTGGGAAAAAAAACAGCTGCCTATACACAAACACATATAAACTGTAGGAAATAGAAGGATTTGAAGTGAAAAATTATTGAAATGCTTTTGCTCTTTTAGGTGGTAAGTTGGGGAAATCGACTAAAAAGCGCAATGACTATCCATGATTGTGAAAAACAAATAGACAGAAACTGAATAATAAAACAATTATTGATATAGCGTAATCAGCAATTATAAATATGCCAAGGGCAAAAGTAATGTACACAAATGATAACAAGAATATATACAGGAAAAAATTATATATAAAAGATATTCATATGAGTAAAAATCATCGTTTCCTACGACACTGACGTTTATGTTCTTTTTGCCAATGCTCCTGTTGACATTGGGTACTACAATAGGACGTATTCCAACAACAATGATAGATAGCCTCCATAAGACAATTACGACACCATTGTCGACGTTTAGTCTGAACAATAACTTCTGCAAATCTTGCCTCAGCAGCTTCCAAAGTATCATGTGCCAATTTACGTTCATGTTCAATAGCTTCACGAGCACTGGCTTGAGCTTGTTCAAGAGCTGCATGCAAAGCAGCGGCTTTCTCTTCCTTAAATTGAGTTACAAGTTTCTCTTCAAGTTCTCGCAAAGCTTTTTTGGTCTCATTAGCTGCGGTCAACCGTTCAGCTTCACGTTCTTTACACTGTGAACATGGTTGTTGAGATGATATCGGTATTTCCATACTGGCTGGGGTCTAGGTAAAAAAGAAAAGAAAAAGACAAACAAAACAATCTATAAATTCAGAATGCAGGTACAATGTGTTACATCGAAAAGTTGCTGTTTTACATTACATAACAGAATGTTATTCTTTATATTATTTTGCTTAAATGTAAACAATAGGTATATTACATGTTGGATATTTTTTTATGGAGATTTGGAATAGACGAAATTTTTGATGAGATTTAAGATACAACGAATTAATTTACCCAAATCATGATGAATACTAATGTATAGCATAGCAAAAAGTTTACTATTTATTTATCTACTAATGCCATTGATATGCCGTAGATCAATAAAAAAGCAATCATCAAGTAAAACGCTGAGTGAGGAGTACATAAAGTAAATATAACCTAAATGTTTAATGTGAAATGGAAAATCTTATTACACTATACATCACATCTATCTTGACAAAAATAAATGTTTTCGCATTAAGCTGCTTCGAAAGAATTGTAACGCCAGATAAAGACAACCATAACATAAATAGATCATTATGATGGAGATTCGTTCTCCGAGCTGGATGTTTTGCTTATGGAGCCTTCATTGTTCTTCTGAACAACATCATCAGTACAAACTTCAGGTAGAATGAAACTTCATTATAATCATCCACCTGAACTATAAATGTTCTTTACCATTTCATAAATAGGTCACAATAAAACGAAACGGAAGTGTCAAGTTTTCTTAACTATATACTATTAACTGAAGATTTCTGTTACTACGGAATTTACTCGAATGAATAATATCGCATATATATTTAAACTAATAAAATCATGGAATCACTGTAAAATTACATTAAACAAGAAATCCTTTTTTAAAAAACACTTTACAACAGCTTACCTGAATTCCCTTATGAAGTTGTTTTCTCGGCGACGATGCCACAGAAATTTCAGGACTTCTCACTGAAGCTTGACGTTGATTCGTTTCACCTGAACTGTCACTTACCCCTCCAACTGAGTCCCTGTTTAGAGCTGCTGCTGTAGCTGCAGCAGCAGCACGTTTATTTGGCGGCAAATGAGAACGTGGAAGAGTAGACATTCCTGGAGTGGTGACAACATTGTTTGCATTGTTAGACAAGGCACCTGGAGATACGAAATGTGAAGGGAGATTAGCATTAGCTGCAGTGGGATGAATTGAACCACTTAGCCTGTTATTAGTGGATGAAGTTCCTGAATTCACTGAAGAATTCATTGTAGTAACCGAATCATTGCATGGAGAAAAAAGATTTTGACCAGTATGAGGAAATAAGTTTGTAACAGTAGATAGACTATTCCGATCATTAGCGGCATTTGAATTATTAGTGGACCCAGATGTATTCAAAGGAGGAGCGAACGGTGGTCGACGTAACATAGTACTGCTTGCTCCAGATGTTCTATCTTTGTTACTTGAACCACTGCGAGTTGGACTACGGAATCTACAGTCATCATCTTCATCATCAACTTTGACAATATTACGATGTCTGCGTCCACTTTCATCGTTGTCATTGACATCAGAAGAAGAGGGTGAAGAGCATGTACTATAATTACTAGAATGTGAGGAAAGCTGCTTAGCATTAGATGCTTTTTTAGATGGTGATGTTCGATGAATACTGGAATCATTAACTCCAGATTTTCTCAATGGAGAAACAGGTGTACCTGTGTTGTAAACACTTGATGAATGATGCGAATGCCAACGATGGTTATTTGAATGTCTTGAATTTTGACTGTCGTTTTTAACAGGCGAATCACAGCGGTCTGTCAGTTCATCATCTTCATCTCGAACATTACCAAAACTATCCATTTGTTTGGAACATCTTTTAGAACGTTTACCCCCAGAATTCACTGTATCTTGAATAGAATTTTTACTTGGAGTAGTTAACCGCTTTCTTTTAGCATCTTCAATACGATTAAAAGAGTGATTTAAGGAGGCAGATAATTTCGGTCGTCCTCGGGTTGGACTCTAGTTAAAAGAAAGTTAGTAATCAGAATAACAATCATAAACGAGTAAGAAGTTAGTTTAATTTAACATCAGTGAAAATATATTGTAGACAATGTGAATTTCGACGTATGATTAATAAAAATTTTAGTGTGTATACTGTGAGAAAACAGCAGCAAAAAATTGACTACTCAACACGTGTGGATTTAAGATAATACCCAAGAAAAATCTTTAAATTATTAAGTCGTGATCTAAATTTAGATTTTTTTTGACAAAAGCATTATTTACAAAGTCTATGTTGTGTTGCTAATAATATATATAACTAATTAGTAGGAAATTAAAATTAGATAGAAATTCTACTCTGAGACTAAACAAATAATTAGCTAAGTAAAGTATGACAAAATTTCAGTGTAACTTCAAATAAAAAAAAATATATATGAAGCAGTTATATAAACTCTTTTACATTTTCATCTAGATTTTGTTAGTTACAAATTTAGCATTAGAAATCATTAATACTAAGGAGGAGAATAGCAGACTAGTTTGTACCTTCTTTTCAGAGGGCAGTAACATTCATTTAAGTAATGAATTTTCACTTAGATAGTAATGCAGAATAGTTGTCACTTACTGAGGTTCTCATTCACTTATGAACATTGTTTCACATAGTTGGACAGTGAAGAAATAGGAAAGTAAAATATGATTTCTGAAGCCTGTTTAATATTATTCAACTATAATTATGACTGAAACGGATTTTATTGAGTATGAGAAATCAGCAAATTTTACTTAAAATTTGATTATTTTACCTACGTAAAAGTTATACAGAAATATATTTTACTTTTTGCGGTCAAACACGAGCGTGACTGCTTTGCCTTCTTTTTGTTATTTTGAATGGAGTTGAAATACCTTAGCATGTTATTAATGATAGAAATTAAACCCTAGCCCTTACCAAATCACATTTGATGCAGAAGCATTGAACGATGTAGAAAATTTTACATAGCTAGGCAGCATCACTGATGAATAAGGTAGATCTGGTACGGATGTGAATGGAGGGATTAGTAAAGCAAGTGCACGATTTCGCTCCATCCTACTACACCGATGCGAAACATGGCCGGTGAGAGTAGAGGACATTCGTAGGTTATTAGTATTCGATCATAGGTGTCTCCGAAACATTGCTCGTATATCCTGGGACAACTGAGTAAGCGATTCTGTCGTTAGGAAACGGGTATTAGGTAAGAATGGCAGATCAATAGATGAAGTATTGAAACTTCATCAGTTGAGGTGGTTGGAACATGTGCTGGGTATGCCTAACCACCGACTGCCTCGACGAGCTGTTTCGTGGTGTAGGAGTAGGTTGGAAGAAAGCTAGGGGCGGCCAGACCAAAATATGGCAGAAATCCATGAAGACGATATTGAGATATATATATGAGATCAACAATGGTAGGCAAATTGCATTTAAACTAAAGTTAATGAATAACTCGAAAATAATTTATATGACTGCTGACGGCAACTCGGCAGAAGAGATATATACAGGGTAGATATGGATGAATAATAACTTGGTTACGGAAAGACTAGGAAATGTTATAATTTATGAGCACTGAGGCTAATGATAATGGAAAAACCGTAGGATTATAGAAAATTCATTACCGACAAATTTTGACCCTTAATACAAAGTACAGTAAATTTGTTTTACCTATAGATCAATACAACAGCTATTAGCAGTAATAATGTGACCAAAAGTGGGTCACACAACTGGTATTAATTAGGGAATCGTTGTTCACAGGTAACGTAAAGATCGAATGTTTAAGATTATTTGCACAATACAATCTATTTCCGTTCGGTAAAACTCATCAGCTATATGCCAACTGTAGGATTTCGTCTCAAACTCAAGCATAAACTGAAATACTATTTATTATATTACAATCTAGGAAGTTTATTAACAGCTTAAAACAATGTAAACAAACATTTCACTCTAAGTGAGAGAAGGCATTCAATTATCTTAATCGTTCCAAAAATTTTACTCCTATTAATAGACAGCTATATATAATGCTCCATGAATTTTATTTGATTGAAGGTTATGGAATTTGGGAGACTTATGTATGTTGTCCTATGCAAAAAGAAATAGACAAAAATACACAAATATCTTATGTATAAAATCAATAATACTAAAAAAAGTATTGGATCATAATATAACTTATATATTGAAGAACTACTAGTCAATCACCAGTTGACGCACCTAAATAGTAAGCAATGAAAAATTTATCACGAAATTTTTAATTTGAAACATTCACAAATGCTATACTCACAGGTTTTATGGCACTTGAAGAAGCCGATTTTGTCCATAGTTCCGAATTACCTTCAGCATCTGAACTTTCAGCTGTTGGTGAACACCAATTAGGACGACCAACATCATTAACTACATAAATTATGAAAAAACGGTAATATAGTTAAAATGGAAGTTAGATCTAGTTAACAAGAAGGGATGAGTAAAGAATTTCATCATAAACTAACGTTAATTATTTTGCAGAAAAAGTTCTCTGAATAATTCTAATCTAGAAACGAAAATAAACTAGCTTCACTAGTACACTAAACAGAAAAATAATATCAGTTCAATATATCATGTAGAAGTGTAAAATCAAACGTAAATGAATTTAAAACTATAAAGCTCTATGTGATACGTAAAGAGTTATAAATTCTGGAAAACGAATTTATTTTATAATGAAAGGTCTAAAAAAAGAAATTCAAAGTTATACTTCGGTAACTTGTGAACTAAAAAGTGAATGTAGGAATAAATTCTAAGCAGAAAATAATGTAGTATACTGACTGGATATATAGAGTACAATCATCTTTGAAAGTATTTCATCGAACTGGGCGCCTGCTATCAGGCACAGATCAAATCGGTTTAAAGGGTAACAAATGACCATAAAAATCATCAATAAATTATTTGATCTGAATATAAACGATTACAGTAATTCATGATACACTTCAAGTTAATAAAGATGAATAATCCTTAAGATATTTGATTAGATTATTAAAATGCCACTTAACAAAAAGTAGAATTATATCAATCAGAAAAATTCTTCAAAACAAATCAATATCAATTAAATTATGCAAAAAAAAACATACCAGCTTTTACACGACCTCTAGATTTAGGTGGACGTCCACGACGTGGCATTTCAGTTTTCTTACTTTTCCAATCCGTGGAAGACTAGTAAAACAAACCAAATGAAGGAATCTTAATCGAGCCATATAGTAAAAAGAGAAATATATTTAACAATTTCCAATGAAACCAGTTTATCAGGAATTTCGAATGTAAATATTAAACTCAGTTATGTAACGAACAGTTAGAATGAACACATCATTGAACATAAGAAATTTTACATGACAACTAATCTGAATACGGGATAAAATATACGTTTTACAAATAAAGATATAAGATTAGTTTAGTTCAGGTCATTAAAAAGAACATAGGACGAGTTCGAGTAGACAGCTTTTACAGTTTTATGCCGGTCAAGATGTATATCAGCTCGACAACCCTATACGGACCGCTGATTTCCAGAAATGTAGGGTTGATTAGAGAGTAGTGAACAAAAATCATATACTGATCCAATGTTAGTAAATCCCCCAAAAATATTGGGTTATATTATGAAGGATCAAGGTTAGAAGCAGTCTTTGGTAAAACTAACTTAAAAGAGCAATTAAAGGGTGGGACAAATAGAAATATTTTTAAACACTATTTTAGTGTTTACGTACACAAACCGATAAAAATAATCATTTTCATTCAACACTGAAATCTAATTCTGACCACGAACTATTTCACATGAAAAGAAAACCAATGCCTAAGCTGACAGAGGTCAATACTGCTATCAGCGATTGCTAAAAAGTGTTGATAGAAGGGTTGCGAAATAGTGAGAAAAAGTACTTACATTAGAACACCAGTTGTTTTGAGGACCATTGTTTGCGGAGAGAGGAACATCTGCTTCTGATAAGGAATCTGATGAAATAGACGAAGATGGGCTATCTGACGAATGGGGTGACGAAGATGAACTTTGATACTTGCGCCGCCGAATAGGCCTTCCTTTGTTATCTCGAAGAGGGGGTCGTCCCCGACCCCGCTGACCACGAATAGGAACATTTGAATGATTTTCTTTTGATTGTTTACGATAAGGTTTATCATGTTCACGGTGAGTTAAAGATAAGAGGTCAGCAGTAAATGATCCAGCCGGCCTGCGACCAGACCCAACTGCAGCCGCCATAGCTGCTTTCGTTTCTGCTAAGGCGGATATAGCTGCAGCGCCTGGAGTACCTGGCTGAACAGCTGGCATCGGAAGACGATTACTCGCCAATTTTTTGTCAGTAGGATTAGTATGTGAATTAAGCAAGAGACCATGGGTTCTGAAGTGTTTGCCATCATGAGTACATGGTGAGACATCACGAATGGGTGAACCGATAGGAGTATCACTGGTAGATGTTTGATGACTACTTGAAGATGAGTGACGTCTGTATAAAGAAAAAAAGACAATTATGACTACAAATGTTATCGGACCTCAAAATAAGTACACAAACGTAAAAAAATATAAATGTGAAGAGCACAGGACGTAATAATTCCAACTAGATTAAAACAGTTTCACATAAATGCCTGAGGCTCGGAGTCAAGTCTGTTAGCTTGGAATCATCAAATCACAGGTCAAAACTCTACCCAGTTTGGTTTGGGCAGCTTAATAGTATCACTACCCCATGGGCAAAAAATTGGCTCAATGTACATACAGTTGTACTTAAAACAGGTGAATGTGAACATGCATAGTTTCAAACTATCGTCAGCATCTTGATGGTGAAACCACATTCATCCATTTACGTGAACGAGGTTACAAAATCCCACTTAGGAATACTTCATTTGTGACTCTTAATCGATTGGTCAGAGAAAATAGCAGTTATGGAGTGCATATAGTTACCAGCAAAACTATAATTCGAAATCGATATGGAAAAATTAAGACTGAAACCAAGTGTTGCGTAATACTTTGAATTCATAAACACCTGCTATGAAGCAGTAAAATATAAAAACGCAATAAGTTATTTCTATAGTCTGTTCTAACATGGTCATTACTGAAACACGTAATGCTCGTTTTGACTAGGTAATTAGATATGACTATGAGAAAATATAATTAGACAACATGAAGTTTTAAATAAGCGATTACAAAGAGACTTTGAATCTGATTTCTAATTTGGCAATTACAAAGAGAAGTAGTTTGGATGACTTTAAATAGATTGAGAGAATAACAGAAGTTAAACCAGTAGGAATTATCAATAAGTTTAATAACGTTGAATAATAGTATTAATCAACTGGAGTGGCCGATTAAATACAACTAACTAGGCTAACACGGAAGATAGAAATAAAAACGTTACAGATAAATCCAGGTATAGAAAACACAACAGTCTCAAAAATACCTGCGAAGTCTATATATGACGAATTGTTACGAAGAATAATATAATGGCACGTGGCATACTAGAACCGCTAAGTGTTATGTGAAAAACGTATGTTAAAAGTGAGAAAATTTGGTGTAATTACCTTCTTTTATTCACTTTGGTATTACCAGAAGTAAGCGACGATCTGGGACTATCTGCACGATGTGAACGTTGGTTCTGACTGAAAGTTTTGCGTCGCGGACCAAGATACATTTCGTCTGAGTAATCATCGTCAGACGGGGGGAGGTCACTTTCACCAGAAGAATGCGTATAATATCCGCTGTCTATGTTTGCTTGTAATTTACTGACCTCATTCCAAGCTCGTTCAAATCCTCCACCTGGGATGGCACCTGTAGCATTTGAGCGTCGAAGCACACCAACTTCATCAGCTGGAAGGTGAAAAGCACGAGTGTGGGCTTTTTTGACGAACATTCGCTCATGCGAACCTCCGAAGAAGCGTATCTAGAACAAATCACATAAAAATAAGAAAAGTGCGATTCATAAAATTAAGTCCGACATTCATTGTACTCATTCGCTCTCATGTGGCCATATGTATGTAGTCACCGTCCGGGAAGTCCTACTCACTGCCTCTTCGTAGAGAAGCTAGTGTCTATGAAATTGAGAGGATAAAAAGCGAAATTTCGGTGCTTTAACTGGGTTGGTGGGTATGGCGGGTTCACCTAGGGTTGCTAGAAAACCTTGGTTCCAAACAAATGGCCAGTCAGTCAGCTACAATGTAGAACTTCGTACGTATGTAAGTACGTACATCAGTTCAAGTTGCCATATCATATTAGCACAGAGAGATAGAATTGTCCATTTAAATCCCATAGTAGTAATGGTTGTAGCAGCATTAGTGGTAATCGAAAAGATTAAAGCTCGAAGATATGACTGGAGAAGCATAATCTAGTGAAATAAATCTAGAACGAGAGAAAACGGTCTAGAGGAATTGAGAAGGTTCGAATTCAATAGAAGAGAAAGGAGAGATGCACCTGCACCATTGCAAACGATTCTGAGCCATATCATTCAAAGTCTCCAACCACCGGTTACTATAGTCTCGTGGACCCCAATCAGGTAGTTTACACTTACCAACATAGCTCAGTCCAGTAGTCAATGCCTTCATGGATTTGTGCCATATTGTAGTCTGGCCGCTTCTAGCTTCCTCCCAGCCTACCCCTACACCACAAAACATAGCGTATCAAGGCGTACGTAACAGATGTCCCAACCACATCAATTAATGACGTTTCAGGAATATAACTATTTTCGGACGCCGAAATGTGTGTCTGTGTTCCTGAACCAGTCGTTGTATGAATATGTGGTCTATACAGCCACATCCAGGTCGGAAACCAGCCTGGTTTCCTCGATTCTGCTCTTTATGAGCTCTAGTTAGGCGTCGAAGTATTATTGAGGCTAACATTTTAGATACTATATTAGTTAAACTGACTCCTATGTGACCGTCAAAAGAGGACTTTTGTCCTTTTTTATAGACTACGACAATCAGTGATTGAGACTAATTGGATGGAATTACGTTCAGTTTCCAGGTTATACCTAAGACCCAAATCTTAGTGCTAAATCTGGACCCTATCCTTAAAAATAAAAATAGGTAATTATTTGAGCATATTTGCAGCAGATGGTCTTCAAAAGTTGTTCTTTGAGTCGCTACACCATTAGATCCACCCAGGTGTTTTCCAGTTCCACTTAGTCTACCTACATAAGCGTTAAAGTCACCCACCACTATTAACAAATGAGAGAGCTAAACTTGTTGAAGGAGGACGGAAAAATTTCTGTAGAACTCATATTTTACCTCGTCTGAACTGCAGTCAGTGGGAACGTAGACAGATATGACAAAGAGGCAACGGCGAGTGTTCCTATCTTTCAGAGTTCTTACTGCACCGTCTAATCGGACAGCGCATAAGCCACTATGTGAAGGGATCAAGTCTAAAAGAGCTTGTTCCGGCCTGCACCAGCGAGGCCACAGAAAGCGGCAGTAGAGCTCCTAGATACACAGAGCGTAAATTGAGATGATTCTTTATCTTGACAAAATGAAGTCAAATGAATGATTCCACTCGGATCCTGTGTGCGCTTTTCGGAGACTAAACACACATGGATGGCACGAGATTCTAAAGTCCGAGTTAAGAAAGTCTGTTGTCCTATTTGGCACAAGGTTCGAACATTGAAAGCCTCAATAAGTAGTTTAGCGTGGGTTTCCAGGAGACCAGAAGTAGCGTTTCTAGTACTCGAACATGAGAGGGGTCAGACTTGGAGATAAGAGATTTATTAGGAGGTGAAGAAAAGATTTAATCGTGACCGATCCGGTCTTGTCTGAAGACAGATGTTACTTCCAGGCTGCCCACACCGTGAATGAGTGTTTCTTGAGGAACCCGAAAAGGAAGTTGAGTTAGCGTTAGAGACCTGAAAGCATGACCACAGAAATCAACAGACAACTGCTTCAGATCGACTACCTACGGCCTTTTTATAGGATGTTTTGAAAGTGTTGGTTCCGCTCTCCAGGTGTCCTTACTGCCAGAGAGGGAAATCCCTGAGGTAAGGTGAGGTGTGAAATTTCTAGTATCCATCTTTTCTTACTCCTTCCTTTCTTGTGAGAAGGCGATATCGCTGCAGATCCTGGTTGTCTGAGGGAAACATCTCGCTGATGTCACATCCCTCTACGGTCAGCAGTACGACTTCGCCCTCAGACCACGAGTTGCTGCTTTTAGTCTTAACGTCCTTCAATCGACCTGCCTGGCATGGTAGGACCTACAGGAACATATGTTTCAGTCGAAATAACTCAGTTGGGAGATCACAACAGGCAAGCCCGACCACCACCTCAAGGTGGAAGCTACAATCAAACCGAGCCAATGGTACACATTGGTTGCAGGGTCCTGATGGAACGAATGAAGTGTGAAACTTGCTGGACACCCGCCATCATGGGACTGAATCTTTTCATGTTGCTCCTCCGCTCTGTGGATAGACTTTTGGATCAAAGAGTTGGGTGCTACCACATAAGAAAAGTAGTTATTCCAGTTCCGGAGTCCGGACAGTATCCCAGCTCACTCAAAAATGCAATAATTTGTATGGCGCATAAACATTTAGATGCCTTTTTGTACCAACACTCGTCTAAATAGAATTAAACAATACCTATTGGAAGGATTGGCGGAACGACAGAACAAATCCTACTTACGGAGTTCGAGAAATGAAGACAACCTTTGTGATTTGTTAGTGAACACTGATAGAATAAAATAATTACAGGTGACAACATTGTGTATCTACAAATAGAATAGCTTAATGAGATATAACAAAATATGCATCAAAACTTCCAAATAACCTAAGCCAAGGAGTTGTTAATTAGGCCTGGAGTATTACGTATAGAGTATTCATATCTTGGACAGTTAATTTCTTGAGACATGTGCACCGACAGTTATTTAATTTTATGGAAATTTTGGATACATGAGCTAGGTTGGGTTGGGTGAATTATGTAGGACATAAACTATTTAGTCGCACAAGAAGAATCGAACTGTAACCGAATTCCAACGAATCATAACAACAGTTAAGATATCGGTTTTGGTAACAAGTTTACCACAAAACATTAACCGTAATCAAAATAAGTAGCTTACTTCATATCCATCATCACGCTCCAACAAAACTTTTGCAGGCCAATAGAATTGAGAGACCGAAGTGTCGTTAAACAGGCCAGCGCCTGATGATGTGCGATTGCGTGCCCATATCAGTTCATGGCGTGGCTTGCAGGGTTTGCTAATCCAATCCGTAACACGAGCCTTAGCATTGATATAACAGTCAGTACATAGTTGGATTTCGTTTAATTCCGCGTTAACAGATCGAAAGAAAAATCGTATCTCATCAGCCTGATTACTATAAGGACCATGGAGAATGCAGACATCATGAACAAGCAACTGCACATCCATGGAGAATTCCTCTAGAGCAGCATACCGACCATCTTTTATCTTGCGTTGCAATAACTCTAGATCAGTGTACTTATACACTAGGTACTCATTTTTTGTTATTTCACCCTTATAACCGACTTGAATAAATGTTTTCCACAATGGCTGCTTCCTCAAATGATGAGTTGCGAATTCCAAAAGTTTTCTTATCTGTTTACGGGAGAATTCACATTTTGGTCTAGATTCGCACACAGGACACGTAAAATTATCTTCCTGCCCATCATGAAGGGTCGGCGAACGCATAGACTTTCTTGATGGACTATTAGGACCAGATGCTTCTTGCACACAATCAGAATGGTACACACGGAAACAATCGAGACATCTTAACACTTCACCAGGTCTGTGGCACTGGAAGCAATACCAATCATGTTTACTTCTCGGAAGCCGTTTTGAAAAGTCAGGAAGCTGGTAACGAACCATACCATTTTTACCGAATGAAGGTTCAATTTTTTCAATCAGTCCATCTCCTTCGATTTCATCAAGCAGTAACCTTATCTGATCATCTTTTAGAGCTAACGTTTTGCGAAGAATTTTGCTAATTTTATCTGCTGGTACCGCTGGTCGATGGGATTTAAGTAAACCGAAGGCATCCCAAACTTGACGTACTTTTAACGGATCAGCGTGTCGATAGCTACTAAGTTTGGCATAATCCATTTTCGAAATCAATTCATACTCTAAAATAAAATAGAAAGACATTAAGTCCCCACATACCAGAAGCCTATTTAAGGTGTCTATATGCCTTAGAGCTACTATCCAGAGTAAGTTACAGTCATGAGTTACCTTTATTAAAACTAGTCATAGTCATAAAGGATAAAGCATAAATGTGATCCGTTTCGATTATCAGGACATTGAGGTGAGATTGAAAAAATGAAAGTACGAGTAGAAATAACAGTGAAACCAATAATATTTAAACTAAAAATAGGAAGTGAGATTAGGGCATAAAAAGTATCAGATAATATTAAAACACAAGAACTCAACTTGAATGGCAAGTTGATGTAAATCCTCCAACTCTTCAGGAGGTTGGAAAGGCTAGAGGCAATCTCAAGCAAGGGAAAGCAGTAGGACCTGATAGATTAAACCCTGAAACTTTTCAGGATGGTGGTCCAGTTTTAGCATTAAGATTGATTGAGATCTTGGCTAGAATCTGGGATCTAGACGTAATCACACCTGACTGGTCTCAATCACTGATTATAAACATCTATAAGAAAGAAAAAAGTCCTCTTGTGACAGCCACAGAGGAATCAGTTTGACTAAAATAGTATCTGATATATTGGCTTTATTAATTAGATCTCGGCGAAATATTTGGCAGCTCCTAAATATCTTCCAGCTTACTCTTACACTAGATAGTAATGACCATCGAAGTAGGTTATGAGGCATTTGTAAGTTTGCGGGACCTAAAAAAACATTCACAGCCTTATCAACAAATTTTACTATACGGTGTAAAGACACTTGTCTTTTAGTCTAAACTAAGCAATGTTAACCGGTTATTTCCCTATATGCGACCAATGATTTGATAACATTTATGGTTAAATATTAGTTATCTAAGATGTCTTCTACCTTCAAAGACAGAACAGTCAGATATCAGTTTCAAGTTTACCAATAAGACTGGATCGCTTAAGGTTTGAAATTCTTTGCGGTTAAACACAATAAGTAACCGCAAAAATGAATTTAATGATTGGTAACTAAAAAACTCGGGAACAAGAGTTTACTGCAAAACCATTAAGAAACCATAAATTTTAGTTTCTTAGCACGGTAATCAAAAACCATTAACAGCTTACGTTATGTAATAGTTTTAGGAGCAAAAAGAGGTAGCAAAGATGTAAAACAGACGGAAAATCATCAAAATTGATATCATTAAGTTTCGCAGATAGGGTTCTGATAAAGTCACAGGTGTATCACACCTTTAGCCTCCAGTGAATGCTAGAATAACATAACACTTATTCCAGTCCAACAATTTCTGTTTCTGAATGTCAGGATAACCTCCGGTCAGCTAGATAATACTATGCTCCAGGAGTCAGTCTAAAGGTGCTTGGGAAATTCACCAAAATTTTAAAGGCTCTATATAGTTCAAGTCCAGAAATGAACAACTGTATAATCACACCATTACTTATCAAACGAGATTTCAGAAATAGTTCTGAAGAGAGGACGCGGTGTGGACCTATTTTTGGAAGGGTTACTTTTTTATCTTAGGTAAACACGAAACAAGACTTATTTGAGTCACATTTATTCAAATAGAAGTCAGTGTCCGCGAGTATGGTATGCACTTTGGACATTCTACATGCAAAATAACCCTGAGAAACTGATGTGGGGCTGTTCACATTCACCTTCCCAGGTAAGCCGTAGTAAATAGTCAGAAAATTTGTATTTGGGAAGTTGTGATTGCTGACAAGACACAAAATCAATCTACATGTAGTAAAAGCCCGAATAAGTTATGGTTTTTGACTGCAAAGGATTGAGTACAAAATGTGTCAATTCGGAATGTTATGCTCTAGATTTGTGAGATATAACTAGTTGAGTTGTGTTAGGCAACTCTCGGTGTTTGACGTTTAGATCCAAAGGATTGCTGACACCTAGTGAAATCACATCAGTAATGCGGTTACCTAGTTATTTGTTCGTGCAGTGACAGTAATCAGCTACTACTACTAATGTGAAACAGGCTACAGTACAGATGTTACCGAAGTAGCTTCTATGTTCAGCACCATTTACCTAGGCCCATACTGGATGGAAAAGTAGACTGTCAATTTGTAACATGATGCTAGGATTAATATTAACAATCCGGTTCCTTAAGTGATTTACCAGTGAGACACGCTGTATTATTGTGCACAATATGTCGATCAGATTTATATTAATTTATCTTGATGATGGATCGTTTCTACTAAACCTTAAAACTCAAACACAGAAAACGGAGAGATAGCCATTTTATTCAAGGCTCTGTTTATCTATATCGGTATGGGGATATATGTATATATAAAGACGTGACTTATAATCAGTAGCGAAAAATGTACTAGATGAGTTACATAGAACCACAGTGGAGGTGGAGGTAACATCGTGCGGGAGACGTTTTGGTCTGAAATGTCAAGTGACGCCTTTAATTTAATTGTAGTAGAGCAGACAGTTGTTCTTATCTCTAGCGCAATGATTTTCAATTTAAGGTTGAAAGTATCGGACAATACAATGAAAACGCTTTAAAACCACAACAGTAAAGTGGGATTCCTTCTTCCTTAATAAGTCAACAGAAACTGGAATTAACCCAAGAGCGACATCAGCTCAGTAGGTGGACACACTGCAAGTATCGACACAGGTCAGCTGATCTGCAGTACGTGTTAGTGAGGATTGGTATGACTTCGTAATTGATTACAAACCAAAGCAATTTTTTGAATAAGAAAAACCAATATCACTGAATAATCATAAATGTATCATACTATAATTCATGGTGTTTGAATGAAAAATATATACTATTATGTATTATTCAAGTCGACACAAACAAACCTCTAAGTGGGCCTATATAACGCTAGAAATAGCTGGTCTATATAATAAAATGAAACCGTATAAACTATGTTTATTCTTACATAGGCTACATATTTCCTAGTGGTTTGCAAGTTCTCTTTTATTTTAGTGGATTAAACGTAATGATATGTAAAGTCCACTTACATAAACGCCAGAGCTGCCATTGAAAGTCAGTACATTTAAACAACAAAGTGCAAAATGCAAAATAATCATAAACATAGAATTTTAATACTGTAATTTACAATTCCTGCAAAATTAATGTCATAAATTCTCAAACCGTTGGTACAGCAGCGCGCACTACAAAGATAGCCGCTCCAAATCCGCGTTCGTCCCTATCTTTTTGTGTGTATAATATTAGCATAATTTTGACATATTAGACCTAGAAATTCGACTTAGTTTTGTTAAGGAAACCTCCTCATTTTTAATGTGTGTTCTGTTGCCTTCGTGATTACCAGATTGTGTCACTTGTAGTTGGGAGTTTTGTTTCTCTCTGAAAGTTCAAATACTATACATTCCTTTTGTAAAATGGGTTTGTAATTTCAAATAATAGTTTATAACTGAGTGACCGGCTGAAGATAGTCGATGCAGCGAGAACCCAAGTTTTGCGGAAACAAGTCTTCAATCCCTGTCGATTAGTCTTTCGGTTAACTTAAATTTCTCAAATCCTTACTACCGTCTTGTAAAATAAAAATAAGGGAATCTCAGCACTAGAGCTGTCAGTCGGTAAATAAAATACACAATTCGTTTCAGTGACGTTTAACATGTAGATTATCTCGTCTCTACTCGCTTGACTCGAAAAGTTATCTATAACTCGATGAATTTCTAAAACGATCGTTTATTCCAAGTAACAAATAACTCCATTTTACGGCAAACAGCCCTGGCAGTTTTGAACCTTTTAAAGCTAGCCTGGTATCACATGTTTCACTTCTAGCTTCGATTGGTAATCATCATCATTTTACCTAGCAAATTTGCTTTTGTTAACAGTATTAGACGACCTTGTTAGCATATCTAAGTCCTTTCGGAGTTCCTAGTATCAATGAAGACGCAATTTCACATAGTTATCTTAACGATAAACCTAATGCCACTGATATTTTAGCTTCGAAATGATTCCAAAGCAATCAAAAGGAAGGTCTATTAACTTTAAATTTATTGTTGACAATAACCTTTTCTTTAGTGAATTGAGTATTTGTGCTTAATCTATGTGCAGCCGTCAAATTGGGGATGTCTTGATTCTCTTCGCATAAATCAATTGATTTGAACAAGTCACAATATATGTTGCCAGTATTTTATCTACGACATGCTACATAGTAAGATATAGCTACATTGTAAGATATAACTTTGAACCGACGAAATGTAATGGCCATTTTACAAAGCCTATAAGTACCGTTAATTTTATTTGGTGTTCAGTGCGTGTTAAATATTACGATCAGTCAATCAACAGCAACGTAGGATTTCGTACGTAAGTACATCAGTCCAAGTTGCCATACCACATTAGCACATACATGCGATCGCAAATTCAAATCCCATAGTCGTAGAGGTAGTAAAAGTATTACTAGTAATCTGAGAGATTAGGTTTGATTATATTATTCAAGAAGTAGAATTTAAGGGGAGACAAAGAATGAATGCACCTGCGCCATTGCAAACGGTTGTGAACCATGTTGTTCAACGTCTCTGACCATCGGTTACTATCGTCTCTCGGGCCCTAACCAGGTGGTCTGCATTTACCAACATGACTCACTCCACTTGTCAGTGACTTCATAGAGTATCATTAGCAGTATAGTGCTGTAGGTCTAACTAAGGTTTATGGTAATTGCCCCGAATATCACTATCGAATCTGAGCAGTATTATCTAGTACTTATACAAATACTTGTTCCCTGAAATTGCATTCGTTGTATCTGAAGACAAAATTTATATCTTTTTTTCCTCATCTTGCAGCTCTATTAAATACCAACTGATAACATTCACCTACTCTATGACAGTTGATAGTCTAGAGTGCAGCATATGCTTGCAAAACTTTGTTCATCCTGCTCAGTTACCGTGCGGTCATGTATTTTGCTTTTTGTGCATTAAGGGTTGTGCGTTTCACAGGCGAAAATGTCCCATGTGCCGCAGTAGATTCTCGTCGCACTTCTTTGATGATCCTAAACTAATAAATAGTAAGTTTATCCATTTTTAACTTCGATTATACTATTATGGTTATAGGCTAGTGGTAACCTTGGTTTCTACCATTTTATTTTTATTCCCAACCCACTGGAAATTTTCTCTTCGATGATGAATTTAGTAGGGATATTGAGGTGTTCATGAATTAACCAGCAGTATGTATTAAGCATTTTCGTGTAAACACTATGTTTGTAGCTTCGTAATTTACTAATCTAGCTCACACTGCGAACTCAAACATGTTCATTAATATGGTAATTGATTATTATAAAGAAATCTCCATTCGCTTCGCCTCATTACCTACTCAAACCATACCTGGAATTACTTTACTACAAATCTGTTTATTTTAAATTACTTCAACTTCCCACGCTGCTTTATTTCTGTATGTACTTTTCTTCTTGATGCCCAGTACTAACTTCCAGCATAGTCATCACCGATATGCCATCAGGAGTCCTCTCGCTACAGGTCGAGCTTGGTCTTAAATTTCTCGCATTGCGATCGGCTACTACTGGTGCAGATGTAAATAAGATGTTCACTTTTCTGAAGTACTCATCTGGATTCTAATCACATCCCGTTGTACTCCGAATTTACCCTATTTCCTGGTGACCAACAAATATTTCATGAGCAGACTAGTACGAAGAAATTAGATACACATTCTGTTGCAACCAAATACTAAACCCTGCTAGGTTTAAGAGTATTTATAAGTCCATCAAACGAGCAGGATATATATCTACCTGACTTCTGAGTTAGTTCGCCCGCCGCTTCGCGAAATTTTTCACTGAAGGGTATTGGGTTTCTGCGATCTCCTTACAACTCATTGAGGCACACTAGCCTACCCCGGAGAAACGCTAGTTTGATGGTACGCAAATCCTTGACCCAGAAAATTTCACATTCCTTTTGTAAGTATCGACAAACCTATCCCTTAACTACCAGAACTTGTAAGCTAAATGTTCGATAACCGTAAGGCAACCTGTGAAGTTAATGGCATGCCCATTATTAGTTTCCAAAGGCTCTTTGAGTGTTAGGCAGAGCACTGCGAAGGATATGTTGGCTGGTTTGTCGCCTTAACAATGTCTGTCAGACGGTTTTGTGCTCCCTGGTTAGAGAAAACTGATCCGCTTAACTAAGAGGTCTGTATGGAACTCTTATAAAGCGTAACCAGACTCAAACAACTTACCTCTCGTCCCTTTTGTTTATGGCGGTGAACTTACGGTCAGGAAAGTAACTGCATTTTTCGGATAGATTTGGAAAATGGAGAATGTTCCATCACTTTCAAATGAAATGATTATCGTTTTCATCAAAAATTTGCATTTCAAACGAATATATTTTAAATAGATACTTCAGTTTAAAGTAAATTAAAATTGACTGCAAAGAGTTTGGTTACTAGCGTTAAGTGTTTCAATAATCAAATGCTAATTCAAAGGTGTAGTACAACTCAGTAAGCAAGTTCACTCCCACAAATTCACCTTGAGCTTTAGTGATACTATCAGGTTGTAGGTAAAAAGAACCAACTGCATAAAGGACAAAAAGATATTTGAATCTGTGACTAAAGTATTCTATCATTTTGTATGAAGTAATGAATTATAGTTCAATGTTAGACCATCCATTATACAGATATAGATCAATCAATAAAGTTTATGTACACTGTTAAAAGTCTTATTTTGAAATTTCAGTTTGGGATACGCCTGAAATCGATCAACATAAGGAAAATCATATTGTTGACTTATGTGAACGCCTATCAGTCAATACTTCAAACTCCAATCAATCACCAAATTATGCTTGGTTCTACGAAGGTCTTCAAGGTTGGTGGCAGTACGATGAACGTACTTGTAATGAATTGGAGAATGCATATAATAAACAAGTACCTTCATGTGAATTGACAATTGCAGGTTATATATACAGTATAGATCTAAAAAATATGACCCAAGTAAGAAACGTCGTATAAGCGTTGCTTTAATATTTTAGTAATTATCGTCTAAGTTCCATAAAAATAGACTGATATGATTGATCAAAATTTATAGTTTATCAAAAAGTATAATGACCGTTTAATTTTCAATAAATTTATTATGGACTTTATAAAGTCATTTTGTAAAAGGGATCTCAAATTAAAAGTACTCACTACTGTAGATACAAAGTGATTTTGATGTGTGCTAACACAATTTATGCTGTAGGCTGCTAAGTTATGACTTTCTGAAGCAAGTGGTGCTTCGACGTTCAATTTATAAATATCCCTTTACTGAAGATGGTTGCCGATTATGGCTTAACGATTTTTTGTATAGTTTGGTCAGCCAGTCACTTACAACATAGAACTTTGTACGTACGTACATCAGTTCTGGTTGCCATACCGCATTAGCACACAGACGCAACTGTCACTTCAAATAACAAAAATTACCGGTAATGTAGAAGATTATGGATCGATGATAATATTCAAGAAGTAAAGTTCAGTGAGATTACTTAAGAAAAGGAAAAATAGAGATGATGAGTAATTCAGAAGGTTAGAATTTGAGAGAACACAAAGAGTGGATGCACCTTCGCCACTGCAAACGATTTTGAGCCATGTCATTCAAGATTTCCAACCATTGATCCCTAAAATCTCGAGGGCTTCAACTAGGTAGTCGATACCTACCAACATAACTCGGTCTACATGTTAGTTAGTGACTTCATGGATTTGTGCCATGTTTCGGTTTGGCCACCCCCATCTTTCTTCCAACCTACTCCTACACCACAAAACATAGCTCGTCTAGGCAGTCGGTGGTTGGGTGTTCGTAACACATGTCCCAACCACGAGCAATGCTTCGAAGACATCTATAATCGAATACCAATAACCTACGAATGTCTTCTACTCTCACCTGCCATGTTTCGCATCCGTATAATAGGACAGAGCGAACTGCTGCGCAGTTCAGTCAACAATCGCCTATGTTTATCTGTTGTTGAAAACAACTCTTTATTCTAATTGTTTCACTTTTATGCAGCTAGTGAATAAAATCTTTTTTATGCTTAATCTTTATACAGTTTGCTTGTAGATTAAACTGTCCAATTTAATCATTCTTTATATTGCTAATACCCTGGTATAGCGCACCAGTGGAATAGAAAAACTAAATGACTTTCATTTAATCATTCCACTTTTGTATAATTTATCCATCGATTATGATTACTTTTAGTGTGAGATTTTCCAAATTCAAACCATAGTTATATCAACCACAAAACCCAATATAGACCTCCCTAAGAATTAGACACTGTCCTAATTGCTTACTAACATAACGCTCATTTGAATGTATCATATGAAACTAACAGCTAATAGTCCATTTAAGATGTAGTATTGTATCATATTTACTGAAATTAATAATATTCCGTCATAAACCGATCTTATGTTGTTTGACCATAGCTATCTTATAGCACTATAAAGCTATATTCTGGGGTATACTATCTAGTGGATCAATCCATTATATTCTTAACACAGTTCATTGAATTAAGTGTTTAAGCTGTCGACTTTTTATTTCATAAGTTATAATTTTGAATCTCACCCAGCTTGTTTTAGGAATGTGGAAAGTAATACTCGCTGTTACAATTACAATATAAAATGTAACTTAAAGCTCGGCAATCAACAAACACATTGACATTCATCCGATTTATCAACCAATCAGAAAATTCATAAACAAGCAAAGGATCAAGAACCAAATTAAAGGGGAATACAATCAAAACAAAGAAGCAGTAACACTTAAAGTTAAATACACAGATGTGGAATTGATTATTGGGTTAGATTAATTACTAGCACTAAATTATTTGTATTTTTCATACATATGTTTCTCTTCATGTACATAGACACTGTTTATGAGTTTTTTAGAAAACAAAGTTTATTAGTTGATTTATTCTTCAGAGAAAAACTAGTGAATTTTATATTTCACATTTCATTCACCTTAAGTTTAATCTCGCAAATATCATTCATTTCTTGCAATGTTTGTAATGCATTCCTGTTTTCTTTTTTTTTAAGATCCGAAAAGATCGTTCTGGTCGTCTACGTCGGATTAAACGTGATTTGATAACCTGTGAAAAGAAGGGTGTAGCTGGAATTAAATTGTCTACAATTCAATCATCCAGCAATAGTGCAACATCATCAGTTTGTGAAAAGTTAGACGTTGACGAAGCAACTCATTCCAGCTCTAATGGATTTGATAATAATAGTTCAGTGATTAATCTATCTTCCAACTTGCCATGTTCTCAATCTTCTAACTATGACTGTTCAAGAAATGGTAGATCAGAAACTAGGCAAACAGTAAACGCAAGTCGGTCATCTACACCGTACTCATCTGAAAATGAATCTGTTTCCACTCAATCACCAGATGTTCTCAGACCTATTTCTCCTGGACCTTTTAATCAACATAATGCAAGTCTTTCTACCCTAAGACGATCATTGCGTCATCACAATCGTAGAAATTCTTAGCTATTTTCATATTTCAAACTCTCTTTTTTTATACTTTGTATGTAGAGTTATCCAACAGTTTTCTGATGTTACTGTGATCATGTTGAATATTTAGTACTGAGCTGACTTAACAGTTTTATTCCTAACACTTTGTTTCATATTCAAATTGTAACAATAACTAATGTCTATTTTGATTCTGTCCAAAATATGCACTATATAAATAAAATTTCTTTTTAAAACTAAACTAGATCAAGAACAAAAGATGTTTTTTCCTCCAGTCAGTGCTATGAATATTTACACTATTTCTAATTTATCAATAGCCTGTAACATAACCATCTCAATCGATTTCTGTTCATGGTCACTATAAACTTCGGTTCTGTTTAGAATTCCTGAAATAGCATATAAATCAGCTCGAAAAAGTATACCAAATTGACCATTTTATCTTGTACTGTTAATTGATGATCAAGCTTATAGCACGTCAGTAAGTAGCAGATCAGCAGCTTAGGATTCAAACTGCTTGAAGTTCGATTGTTAGGTCATAAGTTTGAGTCTCTGCTCACCTTCCACGGTGTGAGCAGCCGGGAGGTTACATCCGCCCTCACACCCATAAAAGAACACGAGACCAAATTGATCACAGTCAAATCCTTTCTACACCTCTTAATAACTCTCTTATCTTCTCGACCAACCCTACTTTCGATCGTTTACCACCTCGCTCCCCTGAAGCAAAACGGTTTGAGTTCACGAAACATTATTTCTGGTCTCTTGAAACCCCGTTCTAAACTAAAAATTGAAGTTTTTAGTGTTCGAACCCTATGTCAAATAGGGCAACAGTCTTCATTAGCTAGAACTCTGGAATCTCGTGCAATCGATGTATGTTGCATCTCCGAAACGCGTATACAAGATCCGAGTAAAATCATCAATTCGATTTCACCTAGTGCAGATAGAGAAAAGACGCGGTTTACGCTTCGTGTTTCATGTAGCCCTGACGCTGCTTCCCATGGACTCGCCGGCGTAGGTATAGTATTAAGTCCTGTGGCGGAACTATCTCTCTCCTAATGGATCCCAGTAGACAGTCGCTTATGCGCTGTCCGACTAAACGGGACGGTACGAAATCGGACATGCCGTTGCTTCTTCGTTATATCTGCCTACGCTCCCACTGACTGCAGTTCAGACGACACAAAAGATAAGTTAACTTAATCGTTGATATGCTTTTAGAGTTAACGTTAAGCTCATCAGATTTTTCAGGGGTTGACCTTCTACCAGGAAAATCGCTTACTGACCTAGAATATGCCGATGACATAGTTCTACTTGGTGAAGACGCTGACAACGTGCAGAGTTTTTTGACCACCTTGAGCAACAATGCAAGCATGTTCGGGATGCGGTTTCCCCGTCGAAATGCAAAATGTTACTTCAAGACTGGGTTGCATTAGCACCCGAACTAGTGATAGGGAGTGAAGTAGTCGAACGTGTAGACCGCTTCACTTATCTGGGTAGTCTCATCAGTGCTGATGGCCTGGTGACTGACGAAATCTCAGCTCGGATTCAGAAGGCTCGATTGGCTTTTACCAACCTGCGTCACTTATGGCGTAGGCGAGATATCCGTTTGCTGACTGAGGGACGAGTGTACTGCGCGGTATTTCGCTCCGTTCTACTTTATGACTGCGAAAAATGACCAGACAGAGTGGAAGATATTCGTAGGTTACTGATTTTCGATCATAAGTGTCTTCGAAGCATTGCTCGTATATCGTGGGACACCCGAGTGAGCAACGCTGTTATTAGGAATCGGGTGCTAGGTAAGAATGGCAGATCAATAGATGAAGTAATGAAACTTCATCAGTTGAGGTGGTTGGGACATGTGTTGCGTATGCCTAACCACCGACTGCCTCGACGAGCTATGTTTTGTAGTGTGGGAATAGGTTGGAAGAAAGCTAGGGGCGACCAGACCAAAACATGGCACAAATCCATGAAGTCACTAACTAACATGTAGACCGAGTCATGTTGGTAGGTATCGACTACCTGGTTGAAGCCCGCGAGATTTTAGGGATCAATGGTTAGAGACCCTGTGTGGCATGGCTCAAAACAGTTTGTAATGGTGCAGGTACATTCACTCTTTGTGTTCTCTCAAATTCTAACCCTCTGAATTACTCATCATCTCAATCTTTCTTTTCCTTAAGTAATCTCACTGAACTTTACTTCTTGAATCATATCTTCGAACCCTAATCTCTCTGATTACTGCTAATACCTTTACTATCTCTATTACTATGGGATTTGAAGTGACAATTATATCTCTGTGCTAATGTGGTATGGCAACTTGAACTGATATACTTTCGTACGAAGTTCTACGTTGCTGTTGATATATATATATCTGCTCAACTACTTAAGTCCGGGTATTATCAGCACTAGCCACTACACAAAGTATAAACGAAAACCAAATAAACGATTCTGTACTTGATAAGTAATTTACTTAAGTAAGCAGTCTTAATAAAAATCAAACTTTAATGTATGATTGACTTAATATTAATCAACGCTGTTTCCCGTTTAGCAAGTAATTTTATCAAGATCGTTTATATCATATACTTTCACTATCACGTCAAGTGTGCACTGTTTCAGGAGCTGATGTTAATTATTATAATTAATAATACTAATCAAAAACTTAACGATTTAATTATTAACAAAAAAAAGTGTATTCATCTTCATGAATCAAACATACACTGTTGCACAACTCTCGACACAATGAGATCATGTCATCTGTTAATGATAACACTGAATAATCGATTAATATTCTTCGACTCAAAATGAAGTAAATAAATTGATCTGTACATATCGATTTGTTTATTTACAATATAATTTGTTCTACAGTTAAATATTTTAACTTGAAACAAAATTCCGAGCACACTGATATTATTATTATTATTATTATTATTATTATTATTAATACTATTATAATCCTAAATCAAGAAGACATTGTTAATTTGATCAATCATAGAAACTATCATCCTCCAAGTCTTCCGTCTTATATGTTGTCCATGATGATAGTAGATTAACGTTTGTCGAATCTAGAATGTAAAAATGAAAATATTTGAAATAAGTGACATACTATAGAATAAATTAACAAAAACTAATGGGATGATGTCTTGTGTAATATTACGAATTAGCAAATAAACTGAATTTGTAGACTTGAAGCTGCATTGGATTCTAAGTAGTAGGTCTCACCACTTTTGTGAGCTACGTTGAACTCGAAATACAGCTAACTACTTTAGTGGCCTATGAGTTGACTCTTTTATGTTTGTGATGTTTGAGTATGCTATGAAATAGATCTTCCTTTCAGTTTCCGCATACCATTCTTAGACAAACCTTGTTTGTGCGACGGGGGTAGCAAGAAGCCAAATACAGACAGATTCCGTTGGATGAGTTTATTTTAGGCAATCGTTGTCGCAGAGAGACATGAGAATAAAAGCATAGTGAATTGAAGAAGGTGAGTGAGCCAATTCAATGTAATAAGGCATGACTAAGTATTTATAGTCAGACAAATATAAGCCAGACATGCTTCAAGCGAAGTAAGTGTATTCATACACACATAGTCGAATGAAAACAACCAAGTTAAAAGCGAATAGCTGGCAAGTTTTGTGCTTAATCTCTAGCAAAGTAGTAAGTGCATACTATTGAGAAATCTAATAATCGGTATCCGAATGGTCACTCTTATCAGTTGGTCTACACGTTCTGAAAATATTTCGACTAACATTCATTGAAAATCATGGAGCATTGGATTGTTGTTTTCTCTCTCGTATGATACTTCTCAGTAGTTTTCATTAATAATCCAAGACCTTTGCAGTCGGTAGATTGCCTTTAGACCCCTAAATTAACTTTCAGCTAATGTAACTCGACTGGGTCACCACTATGTCAGGGGAGCAACTATTGTTGTGCATCATTTCTTGTCATGAGTTACGACTGTAGAACTCGTGACATCATTGAAATCCATCACATACAGCTTCGTATCAGAATCTTATTAATTTTCCTTGAAGTTCATCATTAATGAGCCTACGACCTTCGTTAACATTGAAGGCATGCAGAGGTTAATGCAAACCATTTCAAAACTATAGATTATCTACACACCTACAGTGTTAATGACAGTATTGTAATTTTCCACAAATTCATATTAACCATAAATGTATACAACCATATACTTTCTCAACAGTTTTAACTTTTGACACAAAAAACAATGAACATAGAATCTTCAGATCCAAAGTCAGTAGTTTATTACCCACCAAGTAATTTTAAATTCTGTTATTTCTATTTTATACTAATTCAATTAAGACTTATTTCGTCCTATCCTTTCCGCAGCGTTAATTTAAGGAACAACAAATTGATTTGATTGATAGCCTACCGTCCTCAATTTTTAGTTTCGATTACTCGATTATCTTGAGTTCATGTTTATGCATTTCTGATTAGTGTCGATTACTTTTGATTATTGAATTTAAGTTTTTATTCTTTGCACTTGTATTCAATCATCAGCTTACATTCCTCTTGTTATCCACTCTCTCATGTTGTCCTGTCCGTCAACCATACACAAACTTTTCACAGTCACTTACCTTTAAACTAGACTCGAATTCGTTAACTTCAGTATGTTATACTATTGATTTCATTCAATTGAATACAAACTGAAACAATCCAAATGAATAATATCAATTTTATTTTTGAGCCTTCGATTCCAAACTTCCAAGATTCTCTGATACAACACAACAGGCTCCAACAAAAGCACTCTTGATGAAGATGCCTTGAAGGACGTAAAGACCTTTGCATATCTGTACAGCATCATCGACAACCAAGGTAAATCCGATGCAGATATAAAGGCGCTGATTCTACAATTGAACAACATCTGGAACTCCAAACAAATATCAATCAACACCAAAATCAGAATTTTCATTACTTTATGGAGCAGAATCTTGGAAAACTACCAAAGTCATCATCCAGAAGATACGCAAAATACTTCGGATTCGTTGGCCAGACACCATCAGCAACAAACTACGGTGTGAGAGAATAAGCCAGATTCCGAAGAAAGGGGAAATCAGGAAGAAGCGGTGGAAGTGGATAGGACACACATTGAGGAAAGCACCAAACTGTGTCACAAGACAAGCCCCTTCTTGGAGCCCTCAAGGTAAGAGCAAAAAAGGAAGGCCAAGGAACACATTACGCCGAGAAATGGAGAAACACATGAGAAAAATGAACAAAAACTGGAAAGAGAAGCCCAGGATAGAGTAGGTTAGAGAATACTGGTCGGCGGCCTATGCTCCATTGGGAGGTACAAGCGTTAGTAAGTAAATAAGTTTGCTAACTTTATTGTTTTGGTATATTCTACTAGTAAATAAGTTTGCTCTTTTCTTCTTATTTTTTAGCATCAGTAAACACTTTCAACATCAAGAGACAATAGAAAAACAAAACTGAATCAACATACAAAAAAATACTAAATACATAAAATCAATATCATTTTTTTTCAAATGACCATAGAAATTTCAATTTTCATATCAACAACAACAACAACAACAACAATAACAAAGATAAACATACCAAATAATAATTTATTTGATACTTGCATTTCATCATTATTAATATTCTGATTATTTCTTAATATTTTTGAGTCAAATTCTGATTCATATTGATTAGACTCATTAATTGGATCATAAGTAGAATCTTCAATGCTGAATGTTGCTTTAGCTAAAAATTCTTTATACGCTTGATCTAAATTCTGATCTAAAATTTATTGAAATAATGAGAAAGATTTTTCTTTTTAAAAAAGAAAAATACTTTCAGTACAGTGATATAGATTTTTTTAATTAGAGTTATGGAGATTAGTTTTTTTACACATTTTAAATTATCAATGGATCAACCATTGTTGGACCACCATTAGAAGAAACCTGGAAGCACTGAAAGACGGTCGTTTCGTCCTAGTATCGGACTCATCGGTGACAGTGCGCATCCACGACTCCTGCATCTCGCAGGACTCGAACCCGAGACCTTCGGTATTGTTGCGCGAATGGCCAATCATTGGACCACTGGGCCGGCATCTAACGGTGTTAATGTCTAACTCTGATTGATCTAGGGATTTTGCGCGACCTCACCCATTTGTCTTCGATAGTTACTGCGTACACCCGACAGCGTGAACTTTCTAGTAATTAGTTCTTTAAAAAAAACGAAGAAATAAAGTCATTCTGGAGTATTCAATGGATTGATTTCATTTCGTACAGTCTAATTCTTTTCACATATTTATTGATTCATGGAAATAAATGCCTTACAATGTGTAATTAACTATATGTGACATGATAGAAAGTCACTTAATTTACTCACTAGTGAAAGTGCACAGATGAACAAAATTCACAAGAGAAAAAGATAAAGACAGATTTCAACATGCATAACCACAAAAACACATATCCTATGAACTTTCAAATGAATAACTCCCAATTACTCAGTATCACTGTGAGAGAACATATCTCATCATGTATAAGGATGAATCAAAGGATCTAGATACCCCTTTTATAATAGTAAATATATTGTATAACAGTAGTATAATTCTACGAACTATTCATTATCTCAACCATAATTTATCGATACAAAATATTTTGATTAGTTTGACACTGGCATGATGTTCGATATATTGGTGTGCAAATATACATGATCTTCATTTCTGTTTCGTTTATTCAATGATTCAAAAGCTCTACAAGCACCTTCATTGTTCATTTGAGTTTCCAATTGATAACCCATTTTAACGCTGTCTATTAAAACGTTTGATTCTTTATCAATTTAGAATTTAACAATTATTATTAATGCCGATTACGTCATAATCTCTCTATTGCTCTTACACATTTATAAACATGACATTTGTTAAGCATTTCGTTTATTCATTGATACAAAGCAGTATGTATGTAGAAAATTTGGAATACATGAAATGCAATGAATTCACCTCATCATCACTTACAACACCTGGTGCTTTTCCCTTACAAATTATTGAAACTTAATTATTGTTGTGTCAGTAATATTTAGCTAAGTATAGTATAGTAAAAATAAATACATCATGATTTGGAAAGCCAAAACATACAGATTGGGCAATGCAAATCATGAGTAACGATGAGTTTCATTTGAATCTGTAATTCAGAGTTAACATGATTATCATGAAACTTGAAGATTATGGATAGCATCACGTACAGACTAGATGATCGTGACTTAATGACAGGTTTGAAACTCAAATAAATTTTTTTTAAAAAAAAACTCGTTCTCCATAAGGTTTTCAGTTTTGAAATTATCTTTGCTCTTCTATTGTGTAGACTGATTTTTCCTTCTCAAATCATGTTGTTTATACTAATTTTTTTCTATTTTCAATGATACTACTCATAATACTACTACTTAGGTATTTGTATGGATAATTTCATCCGACTATACTATTAGCGTACAACAACTTTTATTGATCCACGTATGTGTTAGGCTTTACGTTGTTCATAACTAACTGACTGCTTTTGCATTAATCATCCGGCTAGTAGTTATAGTTGATGAAACCTTTTCTTAATCAACTAATATATTTTTAAAACCATTAACTTTACTTCAGTTATGCAATTTTCCTATTTGTGATCTTTCAGTAAAGTGTTACAAAGTGTCTGGAAAATTTGAATAATGATTATACTCAAAGAGTAAGAAATGTATATTGAGTATTCATTCTGGTAATTTTAACTTATGAAATATTTCAGTAAATTTTCAATTGCTCATTTTACGTGATAATAATCTTTTTTGATATTAGAAATGATGGCTTTCAGTTAATAATTTATAATCATGACTACTAATGATAAAGAGTCTTCAGCATATGAATACGAAACTAGAACTTCACTGGTATCCAATCTTCACCATGTTCAATGTTTCTTTAATTAATCTCATTTCAAAATGCAAATTACTTTCAAATTGCAAGGCCGTTGGATACAGTCTAAAGGAACAACTGAACTTAAGTTCCGTGCAATGAAGCCATTAGTTTTAATGAATTGTCCCTTACTTACTGTGCTCAAATTTTAGTCGGTTTGATGTAGTCGGTTGGAGAATTCTGTCAATTCATGAAATCAATATAAAATCATTTAATTTGACAAACTGAAATCTATCAGTATAGGATGATTGTTTAAATTTTTCAATTTTTTTTAGTCAACATTATGTTCACACCTACATATACAGCAATATAAATATAGTGAAAAAATGAAACACTCATCTTTGAAGTAGTTCAAGCAATCTAAACAACTAATTCGAACTATGAAGTGTATTCTTACAAACAGAGATTATTTTAAGAAGGAAATAAAGTTTTCAGTACTATAGTTCATTTATTTGATAGTCAGGTTGATAGGTTGCCTGTATTCTTCATTATTTCCTCGAATTTTTTTCACTTTATCTCTTTCACCAAAAAAATGTACAATTGTGAATTCTCACCAATATTCATGAAATCAATCAGAATTGATAAGTTCAAATTAACAGTAAATACAATAAACACAACTCATTTTCGTATTTAAAAATAATAATGCTAGATAAGGGAATATATTTTAAATGCCAAGTTACTCAACATGAAATACTTACATGTATACATGTAAAACTATTTAGATAAAAGAATGCCATTCAAACTATGAAAATTTCGAATTTATGAAATGGAAATTCCTTTTTTTTATAAGCATATGGTTGACTCAAGCAGAATAATTGAATTAATGTCTCAGAAGAAATAATATATATATACCTCAAAGAACTTAAGCAAATAATAAATAGTTAACAAGCAAAAAGGTATGAACAGTCATTTCATGTGCAAAATTATAGCATAACTTATCACATGTTAATCTATATTTCCGGATCATGTATTAAGATGAAAACATGCTCACTTTACAACACAGCAGTAAACATAACTGAGGGATCGATTGAAGCAATAATAATAATAATAACAGTAATAAAAGTAATAGACAGATACAACACAGAACTTCGTACGTAAGTACATCAGTTCAGGTTGCCATACCACATCATCACAGAGACGCAAGTGTCACTTCAAATCCAAGAGTGATAGTGATAGTAGAAGTATCAGCAGTAATGGAGAAGATTAGAGAGCGAAGATATGATTCGTAAAGTATAATTCAATAGGATAAATTTAGAAAGAGAAAGATAGAGATTATAAGGAATTCAGAAGGTTAGATTTAAAAAGCACACAAAGAGTGGACGCACCGGCACCATTGCAAACGATTTTGAGCCATGTCGTTCAAGATCTCTAACAATTGGTGACTTTCGTCTCGTAGACCCCAACCAGGTAGCCTACATCTACCTAGGTAATAATAATAATCTGAGCACTGAGTGTCTTCTATAATCGAACTTCATAAAAAGGACTGTAAATAAGTTGATAATTCGATTTTTCACTTTGTTCAAGAAAGAGAAAACACATTGCAGCACAAAAAAAACGAAAAAAATATCGAATGACTACCTTTTAAACGAAGGCTTATCCACGCAACTTCATCTAAAAATATAAAATGAAACCAGGTACAGGAACTAACAAACGGATCATCCTATCTTACATAAAAGACATATAGGAAATTACAGCACGACTACTGAAATCATTTTGGAATAGGTGTAGCACACAAACCAACAGAATCACTTCAATCAATCCTATGCAGATCGAAGGACAAAACGAAAAAAAACGAGAAAAACCAAATATCATTTACAAAATCAACTGTCCAGACTGTGGAAAATAGTACATAGGACAAAGTGGACGTCATCTTCAGCTTCGCATATGTGAACATCAATTAGCAGTCGAACGCCATGACATCCCTTCCTTAAAATCAATGCACATGAAAAACTATGGACATTCATTCTATTAGAACAATGTTGAAATACAGGGGAGGGGAAGCATGAATAACACGAGAGAATTTTTAGAAGCTTATCACTCGAGTCAATCAGCAACCAACAGACACACTAACCAATCAGAAAAATCATGGATAATCATAAGATCAAAAACCAAATCAAAGGGGGCTACGATCAAAATAAGGATACAAACAACGACAGGTTTAAAGTCAATAGCAACCAATGAAGATTGAGGTTAACAGAACAAACTGTGGGTCAGACGTGAAGAAAATCAACTACTTCACTTCTATCTGAAGTTTGTGATGATCATGTTGTTCAAAAGAACAATGAAAGATCCACAACCGAAAATTCCAGCTCAGAGAGCATAACTCCATCACACTGTTCTTGTCTAATAGACTAGTGTTGGTTAGATGCGTTATTAATCTTGTATCAAATGAGGTTAATTCTATTAAGAAAATTCCCAATCTTCGATTTTATTCGTTTGCTTTTTAATATATTTCTCATATTCTGATTTTAACCTGGTTCGATACCGCTTCACTCTTATGCTTCTTTCCAGTTCTGCTTATGCAAATCATAGAAATCGGAATTCAAACAAACTCCTGCTTAATATCAGGCTGACTGTTCTAATTTCGATTGAACAGACAGCATTAGAGCGTTCAATATTCAGCCTTCAATGGGTTGGCATCTAGATGTAGATACTAAAGCTGTAACCACATTTAAGTATGTTCTTTATCAGACTTTTTAACTGTCGTTTAATCTATACGTAAATTTAGCTTTCATGTAACTAGAAAAAAACTAACTGGTACAAACTACCGACCTTTCAAATATTTTCAAGGTAATGAAATCAACAACAGCAAAAAAAACATTCATTTGTCCATAGTGATACACACTACCTTACCTTGTGGAATAATTGCATTTTCATTTACATCTCTTGAAGAATTAACACTTTCAGATTTCATCTCTTCCTTCTCCTGATCTTCCATTTCTTGAATACCATCATTATCATCATCATCGTCATTATTATTTATGACTATTTGTTGTGAATTATTATTGCTGTCACATTTCATGTCATGATGATCATTGTTCAATAAACCATTCGAATTCAACAATATAGGTTGTTTAGCAAAATCATCAGATGAATAATTTATATGCTCTAATACTATTGGTGATTGAATTTTATCGACAATATGATTCGTTGATTCATCATCTTTGAAGGTTATTCTATCGATCGGTTTGTGTTGCTTCAATTCTTTTGTTTCCATCATCTTTACCTCTTCGTCACTTTCCTCCTTCATTTTTCCATGTTTATTATCGTTGTTTTGCACTGTTTCTTTATTGATTTTGGTAAGGATCGATAATTTATGTGATCCTTCATACTTTGCATTATCATCAACACTGTCATCAGCATCATCATCATCATCATCATTGAATGATATAGATTTCAAAGTTATTTCGTGTGCATTTAAAATTTGTTTTGTTTTTCTAATTACTCGATGAAACTAATTAAATAAATGAAAAAAAATGTTTTTAGTTGGAGAGGATTTATAAAATTGGTTTGATTTGTCAATTGTATTCGTCACAGGTTCATTCCCGTTGAGATAACATTGAAAAGTAAGGATCACTGAACACATCAGTATTCGCTGACAGTTCTAATCAAGGATAAAACTTCCGACATTCAAGTCTTACGATGAATGTTTAATTATTAAAACTACTAGGTCAATTACGATCAATTTGTCATATAAACTGACAATTATACACCAGAAACCTGAAGAGCTACAGTTGTTATTAATTGGCATTACATGGCTTTCACAAATTCATTTTAAATCAATAAACTTTTTGAAATTCCAAATTCAAAAAAGTGGGGAGTCAATATGACTCGACAAATTACTCTCAGAAGATGCTCCAATCTAATCTTATTCGGAAGCAACTTATCGAGTCCTTTATTTCATATGGTCCTATTGCCCCTACTGATTTCAAAAGCTGGTATTACTTTATTATTCCTGTCTATTCCATCTTTTTTCTTCTCTATTGACGAAGTGAACAATCTTCATTCACTTCTTTCATTGAAAAATATTGTTCTCATTTAATTACTCGTTAGACTGTCGCATAACTTGCACGAGTTTATACAAATTTCGGTTACTTTGTTTGCGATGTCACATCTCCGAATGTAGGTATTCAATACCTTTCTGCATTTTTTTTCATTTTCTTAAATTATGGTAAATTCTGAAAAAAAATCTCCAATATCAGTATTATCCTTATTATTATTGATTGGTTGATGATTTCAAATGTGTAAAAACACAAATCTCCCAAACTCTAACTGAAAATATCGTAACATGTGCTCACTAGTGACTAGCTTCGTGAGGAAATTCTCGGAGTTCTAGTTGAGAAGACGTGACTAATGGAGTTCAACCCTGTCGGGTGTAGGCAGTAACTACCAAAGACAAATGGGTGAGGTTGCGCAAAATCCCTAGATCAATCAGAGTTAGACATTAACACCGTTGGATGCCACCCCAGTGGTCCAATGATTAAGCCTTCGCGCACATTACCGAAGGTCCCGTTTTCAAGTCCTGCGAGATGCAGGAGTCGTGGATGCGCACTGCTGATGAGTCCCATACCAGGACGAAACGGCCATCTAGTGTTTCCAGGCTTCTAATGGTGGTCTAACAATGGTTGATTGATTGATGATTTCAAATGTATAGAAAATACAAATCTCCAAAACTCTAACTGAAAACTCATTATTATTGCTGGTTATTTAATCAATACGAATAAAATGAACGATAGTAATAATGATTTCAATTTTGTATAGAAATTATTTTAAATCAACGTAATCGAATGTACACTATTGTATTATTAGATAATTTAAGAAAAATTCAAGTACAATGAATATTTGATGATTTTAAATCTTCACTAGGAATTCCTGAATTGAATTAAACACAATTTATTCGTTGTTTACATAGTCTTAAATTAACCAGATAAAATGTGTAACTAAATTAGACAAGATAACATGACAGCAAATGGTATAATTAGGTTTATATACACTCATTAGTAAATTGAATTTGTTTAGAATATGTAAAAACTATTTATTTTGTAACAGTGATAATGATGAATCATTGTTTTAGTTTCTCGACATGAAAGCGAACCAGTTAACGATAAAAATAAAACAATGTGAGATCTGACACAAATTGTTACAAGTGATTTTAGTACAACGACGTGGAAAACTAATAAGAAGAAACTATATATATCATGATCACAACTATGTTCATTGTCTGAGGAAATCTCAACCGGGATCCAGAAAGTATGATTGGCATTAGTCATCACTTGTAGCGCAGGCAAGAGGTCTGTCTGACAGTCAAAGGCTGTGTAAACAGAGTAGCAGTTGGCACGAGCACGTTCCTAAGAATTTGGGATTGACGGGTGAAAAACTGTAAATACCATTATAGCCCGGTATTTAATAGATACCAGACACATAGTTTACGGTTTCTAATCCTTCAGAATCATCAGCAGACGAAAAAACGTCGCGTTTCTTCAGTTTCCCAAAGCAGTAGTAATTAAAAGATTTAAACCTGGTTTATATGTCCAAAAAGAGGCGGTGATCGATCTATCGCCACCTCGGTAAATTTTTAAAATTCTTATCATTTGTTATTGCTATTATTATTAGTTTCATTTTTATGCCATCTTCACTAAACTAATTGTAATTTTATGCACGCCAAAATCATCTTTTCATTCACTCGTGTCCCGAAGAATACATAAAAATCTAAAAAAATGTATCCAAAACTTTCGTTAAGTTTTCATATCTTCCATAATTATCACATGACCCAACTCGTCTGTTTCCGGATTTCATTTAATTATTGCTTCACCTCGACTTATGCTTTCTATTTGAACTCTATCCTTAAATGACCTCCATCCTATTCACACGCCTATGGATATGCATATAATTGTTATTACAAATCTTTGCTATTTTAATCCCTTCTGTTATCAGTGTATATTGCTTTATATCATATCATACACTTTACTACACATATGCTTGTAAGCAGCATCTGGTGCGAAACCACGGAATATAGTGAATTCATAGTATTCGGCCTCAGTTGTTGTTCTGGCCTTATTTAAATTCGCAAAGGGAACAAACTACATGAAAAGCTCTGTAGTACGTTATGATTGCGAAGCATGATCTTTGGAAGTAGAAGACTAGCATAGGCTACAAGTCTTTGAATATCAATGTTTTCGAAATTTCATGCTCGTCTTGTGAGCGACAATGTTACCAACCATAGAGTATTAACCAAAATCGACAGATCGGTTGATAAGGCTATGGATTTTCATTTGTTGATGTAGTTAGGCCATGAAGTACATATGCCTTACCACCACTTACCTCGATAGGTGGTATTTGTATATATAGGAACAGGTTGGGCGAAAACGTGGCCATGTGATGAACACAATCATTGGCTGGAGACTTTCAGTTACATGGTCCAGTACCTTTAACAATGGCATATAATGCGTTCACTCCTTATCTTCCTATTGATCTTAAATTACAGTGTTGATCGCTGTCGTTATAAACCATATTACTGGTCCTGAGTTTTTTATTGTCACTGGTATTATATTGTTCTGGTCTCTTCTGCTATTGTCGATTTCACCTCGATGTGCACCATATATATATATATATATATATATATATATATATATATATATATATATATATATATATATATATATATATATATATATATATATATATATATATATATATATATATATAATGTTTCAGGCTCAAAGTAGTGAATAGAGATAATAGTCGGCAAATGATGGACAAATAAGAGTTTAGCAATGTCACCTATGTCAACTATGCTGGGTATGTACCGGACAGTAGGGTATAGAAGAAACACACAAATTTAAAATTAGGTATCTGACTGGTGACTTTAACATCTGATGCTGGTTAATATTTTACAATGACACATTTATGTCAGATTTTAGTCGAATTCCTTGTAGTATTCTTTCCAACGTATTCTCATAAAAGCTAATGAGTATACTTAAACATATGAAGTTCACGAAGACTCACAGCCTTCTCAATCAATCCATTGGAAACATTATTTCACATTGTTACTATAAAGAACCGAAGGTTTTAAATAATATTTATAGTCAATATATTACCGTAAAAAGGTGATTTGATACTTCCCTTTATTTGAGTTTCTGGCTAACTTATCAAGGCAGCTTTGAGTTCACTAATGGATCCTATTCTAGAGGATCGACTCATTTCCAAATTGCTCACACTTAATTTTTTATGAATTTTAATTGGGTTTTTAATATATAATAATGTGCTCACTAAAGACTAGCTTCAAGAGGAGATTTCATGAGTTCTAATGAGAAGCCATGGCCAGGGGACTTAAATCGTGTCAAGTGTGTGGCAGTTACCCATGAAAGATAGTGGCAGATGATCACACAGTGTCTCCTTAAAATAATCAAACTGAACTTTAATATGGTATCTTCTGGCAAATTCTGAATTTATTGTTTCATTATATTACAGTTTCAAAGTGTTTTTCTTTATCGATTTCTCAGTTATGATATCTTCATTATCTAAACTTAATGCTCAGGATGTTACTGTAAATGATAGCTACTAGAAAAAGACAGTACATACAAAATTATAACAAATAAAACTAACTTCTTGGTTATCAAGCGAATGATTCAATAGTTTATTCACATTACATAAAGATTCAGTTTTTGCATCTTGCTTGAGTTTTTCAAACTGACATTTCAAGATTTCATGCATTTTTTCCACTTTTCTTATATTTTCATTGATTCTTTTTAAATTTACATCGTATTGAATTACTTTATTAGAAATTGAATTTTTCCTGTAAATTTTTTAATGTACATATTAAAAAAATAACATTCACTTATTATTATTATTATTATTATTATTATTATTATTATTATTATTAATATTGGTTACTAATCGAGTTTGGTTAATGAAATTCGAAATGGAAGCTCTAGATGACTTGGCTATCCTATGTAGACTTTTAGGTATAGAACAGGATTTTTTAAACCACTACTTCATGTCCGCTGATATTGATCGGTAGAAGAAAATAGCTATCGAGTAGATGTGACTGATAATCTAGTTTTGAAATTTAAATTAGACCATGTAATTACGATCCATATGTTGTTAACTCAATGATAAAAAATGTTAGATTGAAAAACTCAGAATTCTTGTTTATGTCGATTAAATAGAACGTGATTGGTACTACAATCCAGAATGTGCGCTTCGTTTTAGCTAAAACTCATCAGCTGAATGTACCGGCATCTCAGAGTTCATGTTTATCGCTTGAGTTGAACCTAGTGCTGTTAGCTCCAAGCACCATCGCTATATCCACTTAGCTAATAAGTCTAGACAATCACTCACTTGTGCAACTGGTGATACAGATATACGGTAGCAATGAAGGTTGTACCATTTATACGATCAAACACTTTTATATACTTCATCAGTATATATGCACATACAATAGCTTGTTGATGGCCAAAAGTTTGATAAAATATTTTGGCGAATCGACTCACTTTTTGTAGATCAATGTCGACCATTGATGCAGTCATGGAAAACAAAAATGAACTATGTGGGTCATGGCTGATAAACTCGGATTTTTACTAAGAACTATACAATTTGACTTACTAAAATGTTTCATCGAAAACAAGATAATGGTCATACCTCTAATTGAAGTATCGGGTGCTACAGGATGTGAAAGAGAAATGAATCTCTCGGAGACTATCTACTTAAAAACTGTTCCGTTAAGACTCCAGAACTGAGTACTTTCCTGTAGATTTCCTAGTACAAAGCTTTCAAATATCTGGAATAGATTAACACTATCAGTTGTGCAAACACATTCTGTGTAAAAATGCCTACCAATTTCCACCAAAACACTTAAACGAACCGATAGTGACAGTTTCAAGTTTAACTTACTGAATATCAACAGGCGTAGTAACTAGCTTAAGAACCGTATGACGAGCAGATAACAAGCCTTTAGCGTTCCTACTATTTTGTACGATGCCTTTATACTTCTAAGTGATGTACCAAAAAGTTTGACACTTGACCAAGTTTTATTTTTATTGTTTATATAGACGATTAGTGGACTTAAGGAAAAATACACGGTACCATAGATATCTTTAATCCTCAGGAATCTTCAAGTAGAGGAAATGAACTGAACACTAAAAACTTCCTCTTCTTGAACACCACTAAACAGGATTCTATTGTTAAACAGTAGTCGCACATCGATATTATGCTTTCAGGCAACCTTTTCTAGAAACCCCAGTCGAAAAGGACCTAAGGATGATACTAAAAGATGCTCAAGATGTTTCTTCAACTGAGATTCTATGGAGACTAAAGGTTATTTTATGATAGAGATGCTCTTCAATATCTTGAATAGCCTATAAACTTACTTAAGCCTGCTACCCTTATTAGGCACTGATCGCCGACTAGCACTTTCAAACTTCTCTGCCCTGGGTCTTCCTATTCAGTTCCATCCAATTACTACCTAAGCTTTCGACTCCTGCTTCATATTGTTGGTGTAATTTGTTCCTTGGTCCACCTTGAGGCTTCCAATCTAGGACTTGTCTTGAGACGCGGTTGGATGCTTTCCTCAGTGTGTGTCCTATCGACTTCCATTGCTTCTTCCAAATTTCTTCCACTAGTGGAATATGGTTTGTTCTCTCCCACAGTTGGTTGTTGCTGTTGTTATCTGGCCAACGGATCCGAAGTATATTGCGTAGACAGTTTTAAATGAATACTTGTATCTTCTGGATGATGGCTTTTATAGTTCTCCTAGTTTCGGCCCCATACAGTAGAACTGTCTTGACGTTTATATTAGTAATTCTGATTTCGGTGTTGGTTGATGGCTGTTTTGAGCTCCAGACGTCCTTCAAATGTAGGAGTTCTGCTCTTGCTTTGCTAATCTGCGCCTTCATATCTGCATCAGATCCACCTTGCTTCTGAATTATTCTATTCAGATATGTAAAGGTTTTCACACCTCTCAAAGCTTCCCATCAAGTGTGATTTGGTTAGGGCATGTTGTATTGTGTCGGAGGATTTGTTAAAATTAAGTAACAAACAGTATCATCTAATCTAAATTCATCAAACTTGTCATCCGTTCACTACAGAAGAATAAAAGGAGACATGATCATGATATGTCCAGTCAATCATGATGCTCTTTGAAATCACGGGTTATCACTGCATTTAACACTAGAATAAACCTAGGAAGGCACATCTAAGAGTAAGACAAAATAAACTGCAATTAGAAATACATGCAGCTTATCACGCTTAATGTCCATAAATTTGCAGTGGCTTCAAGTTTTTGGAAAGAAAGCGATTGTTTTGATAGAAACATTCCTTATTATGACCGGTTGTTGCAACGATTGTTTTACTGTACCCTTCGTTTATTCCTTCCCTTTGTACGCCCGAACTTTCTGTTTGAGTTGCTGTTGCTCGCTGTAATGTCGTCCCTCTTTTCTGGAACGATTTCGGTATTTCTTCGATACCACGAAATTACTTACTTACTTACTTACTTACGCCCGTCACCCCCAATGGAGCACAGGCCGCCAACCAGTTTTCTCCAACCAACTCTGTCCTGGGCTTCCCTTTCCACTTCTGTCCAATTCTCGTTCATTCCTCTCATATCTTTCTCTATTTCCTGGCGTAATGTGTTCCTTGGTTCTCCTCTTTTCCTCTTGCCTTGAGGGTTCCAAGTGAGGGCTTGTCTTGTGACGCAGTTAGGTGCTTTTGATACCATGAAGTTGCCAACGAATATATTCCCTTGTACGGATTAACTTTTCTTCTCTGTCCTTGATTCACAATGAAATTATATATAGTGACGGAAACTTAATTGATCTGAAGTAGTGATCGGAGCCAGTCGCAACCCATCCCATTAGAAATTGAAGAGTTTATTCGTGACAGGGTCTTTCAATGATTCCCAATGATGATGCATTAATTCAAGCGACAAACAGGAATATTAACCAGGATATTATTTCTTAATCGCTTATTCATCATAAACGTACGGTCAAAACCAAGAACTTTCTACAATATAGATGCAGGTTTCAAGAAGTCACTTTTCAATATCTTGTTTAATAAAATCAAGAGGCTAGAGTCTCCGACAAAACATCAATTCCTTAATATTTGAGACCATATTAAAAAAACTGAAAATATCAAGTCTGATTCTATAAATCCTTTTCGACTGTCATAAGCAGCTGAAGATTACTACTATTTACTTCTGTTTACTTACCCATAAGAATCGGTATGTCGAATTAAAGCATACTCTTTCATCAGTTCAGTACGCCTTTCTCTGCTAATAACAAATGTTTGTGATTAACAGTACTCAGAAAAAGTGGATATTTACCAGTCATGGATTCTTGTTTTCAAATATGCGATTTCGTTATCGTGATTAGGTGGAGTCATTTACTGAAGCAACTAAAAAAATCGTTTGAAGGGAGATGAGAAAGTAAAATATAAAACACAATTTAAAAAATAGTGAACTGTTACTGCCATCACAATATCAAAATTAATGTGGAGTCTGATACAAATACGTCATACCCCAATTTGTCAAATATCGTCAGTAAAAAGAGAGAAAAAAGTTTCAAGATAAGAACCAAAGAGAAAACAATACCATCCTTTGTGAAACGGTAAATATAATAGACAATCTTCACCAGAACAAATCAAATCAAAAGAACTCAAAATATGAAGTAACCCAAGTTGTAGAGGAATTTAGAAAACTACCATAATTCAGGCAGTACTGTTTATTTTGATTCATACCAATTATTTATAATAGCAAGTCAACATGCATATTAATGACCAACCAATGAAACCAAAAATAATGTTGGAATTTATTCACAAATTAGTTATTGTTTGACAACCTCTGAAAACCTACTTCAGAGAGAATTAATTCACTGTCTTCTGATATACTTTAAATAAAGCTCGTCATAAGCCGAAATCTTAAAAACGAATGAGAACTATGATCAAAGTGTGGCTTAAGATGAATATCACTTCGTTATTTTCGAGTCTTTCACTAAAACAGAGGTTTAGTAGTTGCTGTATACTCTTGATATATGAAACCCATAAACCAGAAAAATCTGATCATCACTAAGTGAAGAGTACAACCAGATTAGGTCTTTAAAAACCTACAACTCTATTACTACATAACATATTCCTAAGTGCTCAGGATATTATAGCATTAGACTGTGCTAATATTTATCTCTTGTCCGTTAAGTAAACCAAAGTTCCTGCCCAAAGGCATCGAAGATCTATAGTTACTGCATTTAGGAGGTCGTTTTCAGAGGAGAAAGGATCATATAGATTATGACTTCTATCGATAGACGTTTTGTTCCAATTTTTAATACATATCAGGATATCTTGAGTAACAGAGCTGTGGGTCTTATCTCATTTCATAATTTATAATCATTCACCATTTTGGCATTACTCCTCGCTATAAATGTAGTTGTCTAGTACGTATCAGAATGAACTATTTGGAATGCTCTCACAGCCGAAGTGTCAAATACGTGCTCACACATAAACTATCACTTTCAGCTCGGACCAAATGTACATGATGTATATTCTGAAACTTGATTGTTTTCTATTACTGTCACTTCCTCAGTACACTAACTTATTTTCACACACTTATTATTACCTCTGTTTCCTCTCCTTTCCTTGGTCCGCTTACAATATATTCAATACCAGTTAATTAAATTATTTATATATTTATTTACCTCTAAAATCATTCTATTAGCACTAGACGCTTCTCTTTATTATTCTCGACATTCTAACTAACTGATCACCGATCTGATGGTTTTATATGTTTCTATGCAGGAAACCTGATGCCTTAAGACAAACGCATTCACTAAAACCACGGGTATCTGCCAAATGATTTGAATCAAAGCAGCTAAGTGGCTAGATTACTACCCACTGGAAAATACTAAACAGTTTGAACCGTACCGAAACAACGATAAATTGAACAGACACACTTAGACAGGACTAAGAGAATTAAAAGGAAATATGGGCAAAGGCTAATCTGAAGGTCATGAAAGTGTTAATTTTTACGCTTTACGTCTCTTAACAGACAGGCGAAATGTCACATTCTTTCTTCACATCTGAAGTGAAGATGAATTCTGTCTGCAATTTCGCCCGAGTTCCCAACAAAGTTTCTCAGCTACAGTCAGCTTTATTTCCCTAAATTTCACCTTTATTTTACCATTGTAGTTTACTTTAATTTCCGTCTACGTGTTCATCTTTGCTTCATTTTATCGGTCCTCCCGAAGAGTTAGCGCATCAAGCCAATTGATATTTAATAATAAAACAAGTAAGAATATCGAGTAAGAACGAAAACATGAAAGAGATTGTATGACTACTGAAACTGGAATGACAACAAAACTGTATAGTCGCCAAGGTCATCATTAGGGCACTAATTTCCAATATCCAATGTTCTTTTATCCAATATCCAATATCTTTTTCACGAGCTAGTGTAAACCAATTTGATTTCTTCGCGCTCGATTCTTGTTCTTTCGGTACGGTTCCAGGTTTTCGGTAATGTCTAATGGATGGAGGTCTAGCCACTCGACTGTCTAAATCTAGTAAGTTGGCAGTTTGTTTTGAGTTTGTATGTCTCGTGATTTGAATGAAAACGTTTGTTTCAGGGCAGTAGGGTTTCTGGATACTAGCAGCCGTCACATTACCAAACCGGAGATCAGTTAGTTGCAATGTGGAGAGTGATAATGGTAATAAGTATAAAATTATAATGTTGATATGAATAAAATTTCAGAACGGAGTAATATATAGATGAATCTAGTTTATTAATTGGTAGTGAGGATTGTGAGAGAGGAATGAAGTTTTAGCGAGGGAGGGGAAACAGAGATAATAGGCGAGATAGATTAATTGAGTTATCTGAGTAGATGGCAATGGTAACAACTAGAAGGTCTCAAGAATTGCATCATGAACAGCTTGTCCAAGAGGGAGATGATAGCCCGTATGTGAGTACGTGATTATCAAGTCTCTTATTAAAGCAGTCCACTGAGAGGGCTGTGGTTACCTCGGCTGGAAGAGCATTCCAAGTTGCGACGACTCGCAATGAGAAAAAGTGTGCACGAATCTGAGTATTCGCTCTCTGATGTGCAATCTTTCGAGGATTGCCTTGAGGGGAGTGGTGGTGATGCATCAGTATGATACTCACGTTGGGATGGTTTGGCGTGCTTAATATGTTGTACGCCATAATCATATCACCTCTGATTCTTCTGTAGCTCAGTGGAAATAATCCCAAGAGCTGGAGTCTATCGTCGTAGGGTTTTGTTTTCAACCCTATCACCAATTTCGTTGCTCGCCTCTGCACTCGATCCAAGAGATTTATGTCTCTTTTAAGCAGAGGGGATGCGATGACGTTGTGGACGTTCAAACCAATTGTTCTCTTTTTACCCACTTCTTGTTGTATAGGTACTGCTCCAGGTATTCAGCATTGTACAGTAGATGTTAATCTAGCAGCTCAGCTACTTTATTTCAAGTCATTTGGCAGATACTCATAAATTTGTTCATCCTGTGATTTGAGTGAGTGCGTTTGTCTTTGGTCATTGAGTTTCCTGGACAGAAGCAGCTATAACATTACCAGACCAGAGATCAGCTATGTGGATGAGCTTTGCAAACAGGAAATCAGAACCAAGAAATTTGGCTGGCCACGTTTAACCACGTCTACAAAAACAGACCTCTCAGTTATCAGGAAAGTATTACCTAGATTTGTATCAGTAACTAACCTTGGTTTGTTATACTCACAAAATCCCAACTTATCAGGAAATATATTCTTCAGAGTATCTCAGATGAGACAGTTACTCAAGTATTTCATTTCAACTCATCGCATTATGAATATGAATTGATTCATACCGAGATATATATGAGGCGTATTGTTAAATGCTTTGGTTTTCATTCTACAAAATATGCCTTTCTGATAAACTGCAGTAACTCTAGGGTTACTGTTGGTCTAAAGCCCAGAAAAGAAAGAATGTTTGTGCATGAGGTTATTGAACCTAACCCGTGGAAATCTAACCTGCTAAAAAACACTAACCGGAAAAAGTAAGTTGAACTATAACAGCTCTGTCATGGAAGTTGGAAGTTCCTGATATAGAATGATAATAACACTTAGAAATGGAGGCCAAGATTCTTCAGAAATCAGCATAACGATGATGATTCTCACAGCCTAAGAAAAAAAATACATATGCATGGAGTATTAGCTCAATGTAGGAAACCAGACGAACCATCCATTTAAAGCGGAAAAAAAGATACAGGCTGGTTATGTTTGAAGAGGTGATACCCGTTGGGCTCAGGCTGGAAAAAACCGAGTCCATGGGAGGTGCTGCGACAACACGAACATGAAGAAGAAAACGCCTCAAACACAGGGAGTTGCACTGATGATCGACAAAAATATCCTGAAAGCCCGTGTAGGATGCGGCTCTCATGAACACAGGATCATGACAGTTCAGATACTTCTTGCTCTACTGATGCACAGATAGAGGAATGGACAGCTCATTTAAGCTTAGGGCTGACCGGCTTACTTAGGCAAACAACAGAAAACCGAATTCACAGAAATGGATGAAGAACAAATATTAATAAAGCAGTTTGTTTCTGTAGCCGTCTTTTGAGTATACATGTTTATGCTAGATATCGGCAAACAGAGCTTACCCACGTGACTTTTCTTCATTAACCTACATTAATGCAAATGTAGAGTGAATGGCTTAATACATTGAAAGAAATGTCTGAGTAATCATGCCCTTAAGGTTTTGTGAAAACTGTATCTGTTGAGTTATGAATCAGCTTTAAACACGGATATATTCTGTTCCGATTCTCAATCTCTTCTCTTTTTTTCAGTCAGCCCTCCTACACCCTAAATAATAGCTTTGTTGTTCCCGGACACTTACAACTGCTTTACTCAGAAGCTTGTCAAATTTCGGCCAATTTCATCAAGAAAATCAATGAACAGGTACCTCACCATTTCTTCATGTAAACAACCGTGTATTCAGCTTGCATTGATTCTCAACCAACGATCGATCGTCACACTCCATCAAAATTTATTTACCTGTTAACATGTTTTCATACGATTAAAGTCTGTACGAAATCCTTTACAACAGCTTTACGCAGGTCCTTTTTACGTGATTTTCTGTCACAAAAAGACCTTCAAGGTTGATCAACATTGGCGCGTCGATATCGTCAGCATTGATCGACTCAAACCAGCACAAGTCGGTGACAGTACCCCACTCGATAAATCAACACTCTTAGATAGACCCATCCCATCCGCCTGGAAAGATCCCTTCATCTCGTTTGGACACCACACCAGACATAAGAGAGACCTTATCCTCGCGTCCTAATCAACAGTACGCGTCATCTTCACTATCTTTATTAAGACTAATATCAACTCCAGATCAGCAGATCACCCCGATCTTAGCTTCGGATGGAACTGCAGTCTCAAGCTATAAATCACTAGGAACAAACAAGATAAGCGTATCACGTTCTCGTCATCAGATATATGAATCTTCACGCCTTCGTGAATCGCCTCTTAAAAAGCAACATATAGGTTATAGGACGCCTTCCCTTACTGCATGTTTGCTACACCGATTTAATTCGAAATTTTTTACTCTGAGCTTACATATCTGACTATCTCCATTCTGAAACAGTTGACTACACTCAATCGTGGCTGCAGCAGGTCTGATCTCACACGCGACGGTTAATGTACTCGGTCGACACTCTGATTCATTCTACGTTTGACCCCAAACCTGGTTATCAGGGTCGGTTCTGACTTCCCGCCTCGACATGGTTTCGTCCTAAGTCTGCACAGTATACTGACACGAGCCTATCGAACGCCATATTCGGATTTTTGATAGAAACTACTCTAATGTGGTGCGCTAACTCAAGCAATAAACATTGCACGTTATTCCTGTTACGGTAATACGTGGAAGGCCTTCGGCCTGTACCGACTGAATTGCAAAATTACGGATCACTGTGGGTCAAACAATTGAATGGAACTCGCCACTGCACATCACTTCCATTTACTACGAGAAAGCTTTCGATAGTGTGGAAAGGAAAATACTACGGAGGTTTCTTCGACACTACGGCGTGCCTGAGAAGATAGTCAACATCATATGCAATTCTTATGATGAATTAAACAGCAAAATCGTGCACGGAGGACAGCTGACAGACTCTTTCGAGGTTAAGACCGGTGTCAGGCAAGTTTGCTTTCTCTAACCCTTTCTCTTCCTCCTGATAATGGACTGGACACATCGTGGGGATGCAAAAATCTGAAGGGAAAAACAGGACATACTGATCAGCCAGGATGCAGGTGATGATCTAGCTCTCCCATCGCACACGCAACAACAAATGCAGGAGAAGACGATCAATGTAGCAGCAGCCACAGCAGCAGTAGGTTTCAATAAAAAAGACTTTACACTTGTAAATCCTTCATTGATGAGGTCTCACTAAAAATGATGCATTCACGTCCAGATGTACAGATAGACTCCAAAAAGCCAGATGTAAATGCTATCACAAAATTTGGCTTGCCCAGCCTGTAGATAACAAGGAACCTGATTCTAAAAATTTCACATTAGCTTAAGACGAAAGAATACAGAATCATGAGGGAAGGGTAGCCCTATCCCTTAGGAATACTACCAAATTTATCGCTCTTGACAACATATCACATGAAAGTGGAACGTGAGAAATAATTGGTTGCTGTTTGGAATTCAAAAGACAACAGCTGGTGATTGGTTTTGTTTATCGTAGCCCACACTTTGATGTGAGTAAGCTCTCATTAGACAAGCTCAACATTTAGTCTCTAAGTGGTCGATGTTTAATTTTGAGAGACTGTAATTTACCTTCTGTAGGCTGGGTTATTCAGAAAAGTCTCCCGAGCAGGAATTTGCTGGCGCGGTCATCACAAGGGACATAGTGCAACGTGTTAAGGAGGCGATCACGCTCAATCCGGACTCCGAATCATCCTCCCTAGATTTAATATTACCTCTTATGAGAAAGATATCCCAAACATCGATTATATTCCATTCCTAGGTAAGATTGACCATGAAGTGCGAGTCTTCGATTTGGATATCGTGATTAACAACGAATATCAGTTCAGACGTGACCAAATGTTTAAATGTCAATATTCCGGAAATTGTTCCTCTAGCAGCCTCAGTAGACTGGACTGTAGAACCAGAATCCCCCATCGAAACAATTTTGGAGATATTTACTGCACCTCGCATTCCTTGGAATACACTGACGAATTCATGAAATTCCCCTTCCTAGATCAGTAAGAAAGTTTCCGTCCTTCTCCATCGGATGAAAAAAATATTGAAGAAATCTAGAAAATTTGGCGTATGTGAGGAATAAGCTCAGTAATGGAAAGCCCGAAACATTTGTGCCTCGACCCTCTACAAGTCTATAAAGAGAAACTAATAAAGGAGCGTATGTAATACCCAAAACACCTATAATCGTACATAAACATTCAGACTTAACGAAGAGGCATCACACCAAAGTCATGAGTAGATAATAGCACTGAAATATTGGTGGGAGACGATTGTGGTAAGACTCAACTATTTTCAAACTGCTTTAGCGATTTATAAAACATTCAGTTACCTCTCTCCAATTCATACAAGCCCCTCGATGCACACTCTGGACACTATGACCATTAAAGAACTCCATGTCGTCCATTTTTAAAAAAAACTTGATTCAGATAAATCTTTCGCATCAGATCAAATACATTCTATACTCCGTAAGCAACAAGAAAACTGTAGCGAAAATACCTTAAGGCATCAAATTCAACCAACCACACTCTTTTCATAGAAGTCAGGGATGAATAAAGAAGATAGATGAGATGTATTGATAAATGAGTTCCTATCAAATAACACTTTATTCTATGGACGACTGAGACACGAACTATGATTATCTGTCCAGTGGTACCTTTTATACGTCCAACTATTTACCGATTTTATGGTTTTACTCCATAGATAGTCATTTCTACGTTCAATGCTCAATCGATTATTCAAGTCTGCATGAACTGGCCTTGTCTTGTAACCACCTAGCATGGTGTATATATCCTCAGATAGTAAACTACAAAGAATTCTAACCCAAAAAACACTCAGATGTTGTGAAACCAAGCTTAAAACTTAGTAAATATATCTAGACCATATTGTGCATAACATAGAGACAGTCGTTTTTATTCAGACATAGATTAAGACTAACAAAATGTGAAATATTGAAATTGATTTTTGAACAGACAACCTCTACTTCACTCAATAAGAGATAGACAAACACTCATCATCACCATCATCATAATGATAATAATATTTTATTTACTAAAAAAGTTAGTAGAATGTCTGATAATATATATATTTTTTCAAATGAAACGAGAAAAATCCAAGTATACATGCACTTTATATGATTTAGCTAATCAATTATACTTATCATGAATGATAATAGAAAAAAAAACAAAAAAATTTGAAAACGACAAAAATCAATATCAAAATGGAAAAAAAGGAAAATTTCATATCAATGCCTCATATTATTTATGTGACTGTGTTGTGTATGTTTTGTAAATAAATATGCATGCATGATAAATTCATTTGAAAAGTATAATAACAAAGATATATGTCATTGATTCATCATTGCACAATTCAAATGCCAAATTCGAAAAAGAAAAAAAACGAGACAAAAATTATTTCACAACTGATTATCATTGTGAATGAAGAAAAAAAAGATGGGAAACAGTATTCAAAACTTAGAATAATAATGGTCGTATAGGAGGGGACAACAATTGTGCTAATTAATTATTACTGAGAATACCATTTGTTTATTATTTATGTACAATGCAAAATAAATTCACCTAGTCATTTTATAATCAATGACAATTTCAACAAATTAAATATCCTAATATTCGAGTTTCATAGTATAATAGAAGAGAAAACGATTGGAGGAGGAACGAAAAGACCTCTATGTTTTTTTTTTTTAAGAAAAAGGAAGAAAGTGAAAACATTTTACCTAAGTTTGGTAATAATAATCCGTTGTTTAAACCTAGTATGTGATCAATGAAAAAAAGGGCGGGAGTATTGATCAATGTTTAAGGTTGTATTCACCTTTCAAGGCCATTGTGTGAGCGCACACACACACATACACAATGCCAAAAGGGTATTGTCAACATGTGTGTAGGTGTGCTTTAGTCTTATTCCCTGAAGATAAATTTCTTCAAATTATTTATTATGTTCGTGTACAGTAAGTAATCAAGAAGACTGATATAATTGTCTGAGTTGATTTTGATAAATTTCGTAATGGAAATCTAATTGGCGCGGAATAATGAAAAAGAGCAATAGTCGATATAATGATTTTTAATAAGGTTTCGCTCCATGAGTATAATCAATAATACTTGATAACCTGTCTCTTTCTAATGGACATCGATTGAATATAGTAGCAGCATGAATATTATCATTTTGACTAAGTGGATTATGATGAGGATTATTATGATGATCATTACTATGATTATTGGTTGAACTGAAAAAGCATCGTAATGATGAAACAGTAGAAGTAGTAGTAGTAGTAGTAGGGCAAAGAGGACGACGTGAATTATTGTTGCATGTGATTAATTTGGTGAAAATATAATAACACAAATAAACTAAGAATATGAAACCACTGATTAAGAGAACAAAATAACTTTGATTATTGATGGGTGGAAATATTCGACGTAGTAGATTACAAATAGATGTATAAATAGATGATTTTTCTTCATTTGTAGACGTTGAAACAGAGACAGATGGTTGTTGATGACAAATTTCATCAGTTTCATTTTTGTTTAAATGCTAAATGAGAAGAAGAAGAAGAGGAGATTTTGGAATTTTACAAAAATTATTGACAGTTGATAATAGGAATCTTGTTAATGTTATCGGTATAATTAGTTGAAATGACTATGACTTATTACAACAGAACAAAAATGCAATCAAGACTGTAGATAAAGATTCATTAACTACTGACATATAGGAAACAACAAATTTCGCATCTGTTTTGTCTCTTAACGCTAATCAATTTCTATCAGTCAATTCACAATGATGCCCATTAGTCCAAGTGAACTGACATCGTTCAAAATGTGCTGTGATGTCAGGTGGTTGGGTTCAAATCCTAAAACTTGCATATATGGCTTCTTGACAATTGTCAGGTAAGATAAAACCAATGTTCACGGTTTTTCACCACAAATCTCTAACCGTTTAGCATTTCAGAAAAATAAACGGAAAAATGTATAGTAGTGGGCGAATAAAATGAACTCAGCAAAATATTTATCAAATAGACAGGATCTAGACATTAAAAATATGTTAGGATATTCATCCAGTATCCTAAGGGAATTATTGGTCAATTCCTATTGGTTAATTCCTACCGGTTAATTTTATGGTCGTCCTAGAAATCAATGTCACAGACTTCGATACCCTTTCATATTCGACCTAAATGTATAAATATGCATTATCTGTAAAGTTTTTGGATCCCGCTCCTTCCTGCCGTCCTCGCTACTGTACTCAACCCATGAAACAACTTGATCAAACGGTGCTATGTTCTGATAAATATAGGAGATATGGGAATAGTATTTGGGTCAGATTGGAATATTTGAATAACTACGTAGCAGCATTATAACACAATATGAAATTCATCATATAAGTATAGCAAGTAAATCTAACTGACGATTCCGAAATAGGCTGTGAAGTTCATCGTGTTTTTCACTTCTAGCTACTAATCATCTCTAAAAATAAAGTTTTTAAGCTATCTAATCACAATCAAATAAATATTTTTAATTTAATCTTACATTATGTCATTTAGAAGCAAGAAGGTAATTCACTTAAATCAATAATTAGTGATGTTATGGATATATAGAGACTATGGTGTAATTAATTTAATTAAGCTGATTGTATTTTTTGTATCAGAACTGTTCTATTCAGTAACATATTGTTCAGCTACACAATGATTTAATGTGTACAAGCATACTCTGCCGGTTATCAATTGGTCGACGTGTTTCTGATTAGATTATTTACAAGAATGAGAATTGAGCAAATAATAAGTGTAATTCATATATATTTTATAGTGTTTTATTAAATTAGCAAGATATGGCATGGCTAAAGTATTTAAATTACACTTGAAAAAAATTGTTCATTTAGTTATTACATAACAAATTGACAAAATGAACTTTTTGTTAAATGCATTACGGAGGTGTGGAGATTGTTAAGGTGCTGACTGAAATCATGAATCGATCGATGTTAGACCAGACTTGAAAACCTGAAAGTACTGGAGGTCCATTATGTCCTGGATGGAACTCATCAGCAGTGCGCATCCACAACTCCTTAACCTTGCAGGATTTGAACCCAGGACCTTGGGTCTTGCGCACGAACACCTAATCTTTGGACCACTCAGCCGGCATCTAACGGTGTTAATGACTACCTTCGATCGATTCACGGTCCCGAGTTCGCATCCTACGAAGTTCAGGGGTCGTGGATGCTCAATGCTGACGAGTCCCATACCAGGACGAAACCGCAATCCAGTGCTTCAGGGTTTGTAATGGTAGTCTAACATTGACCAACTTGAAATACCTTTAAATTTACATGTACTCATTATCTCTTGGTTGTTTAATACAAAGATACAATCATTATAAGGTATAACTAAGAAACAAAACAAGCATATGAGAATAAAATCATTAAAAACTTGTACATCTAATAAAACACTTTCAAATTACCTCATTTACAATGACTTCACTGACCTGTTTTTCTTGTTGTATACTTTCATCTGTATTAACACAAGGAGTATCTGAATCATTTTCTATATTATTCGTTAAATATTCATTATCTAAATGATGAGTAGAAGGATTATTTGAATGATTTGATTCAAATAATCGAATAAGTCTTTGAAGGCTAATAATTAAAACGAAAAGAAGATAGAAAAAAGGTGAATATCATTGTGTTGATAATCAGTAGTATATCTCACACCTTAGTAGCATATCATATAAACGTGAATTTATGAAAACAAAAACAGAAAATCATATAAATTCATGAATTCAAACAATAATCAATATCTAATATAAACAATCAACTAGTTAAATTTGGGAACAATAAATCGAGAAAATAAACGTCTTAAAGGATATTCAATGTTGAAGTAATAAAAATTACATAACATAATTAGAATAAAATACATAACAACTTTTGATTTTGGTATTTTCTGTTGTTAATATGAAAAATCACTGAATATACACCAGAAAGTGCAAAACGGCAGTTTAGAAAACAATCAACAAACGCTGATTAACAAACAACGAAACAAAACAAACGATTAACTGAACAATTTGAACAACATACATACAGTGTGAGAATTCTTCTCTTCAATTAGTTCGTAACATATCACAAGATATAAAGATTTGTTATTTACGGAAGCCTAAAAATCAGGTACTGAATTAAGATAGGCATTTATGATTTTTAGATGAGAAATGTCTTTTCTTTTTAAAGAAAATTTTTAAAACATAAAACATTTATTTCTGTTGAAAATACAGGTACCAAAAATAAAATCAAACACTTTAAGTGATAAAGTTATAGCTTCGTCTAAATTTGGGCTATTGGTCGAATTCCGAATGCCCGTTTCGTCCTATTCAGAGCTCGTCAGGTAAATGAATCTATATCTGTGTATCGATGTTCATACTAAGACTTAGACATGAGTGTCTGCCTCTTTTAACTTTAGTCACTTAGCGACTTATCTATTGAGTTCAAATAGCCAGAGTAATTAATATTTATGGTCTATACAAAATAGCCAGAATAAATAGAATCAGTCTGAAATATTGTCACAATAGTAAAATATTGCTTTGCATAATTCGACTATTAAATGTCCACTATTACTGTACATACAAATACTCTAAATATGATATGACTCAAAATCTTATTAATAGCAATCTAAACACCATATCAGTTAGACAGATAAATAGCTATTTACAGTCAGTAACTCAGTGAAATAACACGTTAGTATTTGAAGAGCGAAGTCCCAAGTCTAAGCCCCTATGCGAATATCAACACTGAGATGTAGGCAAATCTAACGGAAAATCCATAGATGGAACAAAACACAAATCTTCAATATCAGCGTTAAGTACAGTTCCAAATATCTGAATTTTCAAATTGTATGAATGATAATATTAAAATTACGGGTAAAATTCATACAAACAAAAGACAAAAACAACAATAGTTTAGGTTAAATTTTAACATAAAACAATAAATGACACAATACAATAAAACAATTGACAAAATTCTATTATGATCATTGCTTGTTACAATCCAGTAAGACAGTGTGCGTATTGTTGAAAAATTTAACGTAACCGTAATACAATACAGCATTATAAACAGCAAACTCTCTCTATTAAATTCCATTTTAAAGAAAAAAAACGCTTGACTGTTTTCAATAATAGTGATATACTGGAATGTTTATTGAATTAAGTAAAGCGTGACTAAGTACATTGTATTTGAATCGACCTAGAGCCTCCTACACAGTGTGATATTTTTAAACTTAAGCTTAAACCTTGGACCGTAAGCCACCAAATTACTATGCTAAGTAGCTACTTGTTTATCCGCAAAAAAATAGAAACAAGTTCACAAATTGTATAAATGTGTGGAATACTAAGCCAAACTCTTCAAAAAATTAGATGGCTGTTATAACCACAATGACTAGTAGAAATAGTGTTTCCTCTATCATATGATAGACGTTGGATTCAAACTTGACTAGGAAATCTAATGACCGTACATCAACAGAGAACAAGAAATGTATTTTATGAAACAATTAACTTCGCAACTAAATAACCAATTAGAAATAGGTTTATACTTACATGGATCGATTTATAGCCAACTGACTTGAGAGACGATCAATCTCATGAAGTAGTTTACCATCTAAGCTAATTGTATTGCAGACTGTGCTTGAATTGTTATTATTGTTCACTGGAATCGGATAATTTTCTTTATTCAACTCATTTTGTATTTCTTCTAGAGCAAAATTCAAACTGTCCACTTCTAGAAAACATCTCTAGACAAACAAAGAGTAAAGTACGAAAAGAATATAGTTTTCCATGTGGTTAGACACAATATCAGTATGACATTTGAAATAATCAACAAGTTCTAGACAAATATAACATTTATGTACATGTACACACCTATATGCTAATCGTATTATCACTTTTTATGGTACTTGTGGTTCAGTGGCTTGGTGCTTGATTTCACAATAAACTACTTAACTAATTTACAATAATAGTTTTAAACTAGATGAGTAGAATTTCATAGGTTAATAGACTCGGTACCAATGGTTGACGTCAATGGAGCTGAAATGTTGTTCGCTCGTCACATTTCTGGGAATTAACTACTCAAAACTTTAGGTAAGCGGCTTCTTTTACTTCGTAGGGAGGTGGATTTCTAACTTCAAAATGACTAACAGAACATCTACATTACTACTAAACAGAATCCATCCAAACTCACATAGTCAACCATGGACTTATTAATAAGGATCCTCATATGAACTGACATTGTAGAGGTTGTTTAACATTAACATCTCTATTCCAATCTGGGATAAAAGAGATAATGTTCAACTAATACTTTTCCTGTACGAATATCCCATCTGGAGAAATTCTTTCAGCAATAGTTCGGTTATGTAAAGATCATCCTCACAAGATACAAAAACTGCGGAATATTCTAACCAACTGACTGTGTCTAAACCTTAGTGTCAACTTGAAATTAGGGCCTCGAACTCCATACCTCTAGCTTCACATGTCAATGGTTTATCCATCGAATTACTGAGTCCACAACAGGATAAAACTCCTGTCCTAGATTCCATTGCTAACCATAATCCATCTATTCTTTAGGTTATGTATTTACAACAGAAAAACATTACGTAGACATTAGGTATACCTAAAGTACATTTCTTACAGCAAACTAATTAAGCACATTGTTTGTTGATTTAAAGTTTAATTATCATTTTACAACACAATAATTATACCACTAAAGTATAACATTATCAATGAATACTTTGAATTTGTTTATTTTTTTTCAAAAAAAACTTTTGAACTTTGATACTGATCTTTGAAATAAATGAATATTGTATTTTTACACAGTAAAATTTGTTTAATTAATCAACTAAACTGCGATAAATTACATGTTATATTCGTTAAAGTCAATAAAGTGTATGTGATTTTTGTTAGAACTTTACATGAATAATTTTGTACTGGATATTGAGACGTTCATCACGAGACAGATATAATGTCAATGACTTTGATAAAATAAAACAACAGTTACGGAGCAGTTTTTGGAAGTATTTTTTAAAGTAGCACACCTCTATGAGTCCGTCATTTACATGCAGCGGAGAGCCTGACACATGTATGCTGTGGTTCAATTTACCATTATCCCCATTAGCACAGTGACATGAAATTATTAGAGTAAACATTAGATAAGATACGATTTGGAAAGAAAACATATATTAGTGAAGTAAGTAATGACACCTTTAAACTACTAAGCTGAAAGAAATGAATCGGAAACATTTCTGATTTCAGTTCAAGCGTGATATGATCCCATCTTTGTTCAACGCTAATCGTAAGTTACCATCACACTCTTATTATGGTTAACAAGAAAACACTAACTCAATACAGGAACATCTGATCAACTGTGGACAAGTCACCCCTAAGGAGCTGCCGTCTAAAATACTCTATGCACTTAAAAATCCGGATCAACTGGAGTTCGCATTATTGTTTTGTTACTAGAACTTTGTCATATCCATTTAATTCTAGGAGTCAGTCACCAATGAGCACAAATTTTATCATCGAATTAAGAGCTTCTACAGAGATCCTGCAATTTTGAGGCTACTTAATCGTGAACATATATCTATTATATCCGTGATGATGTAAGTTTGAAAAAGACTGTTTATATATATCGGACAATATATTGATTGGTTGCTGATAGTGTTCGTGTTTGTTCAGCTTTCTAGCGCTGGTCAAAAACTCAAACTAATCAAGTTACAATGTACCTTCTAATTTAAGTTATTTGAAATTATATGAACTGCGTAGTGATGTTCGGTGGTTGTAAGTGGTTGATGATAAACTTTGAACCTCACTCTTCTGCTAGCCAATATTCATTAACAAGAAATACGTGCAATCATGAGAGGACTGATTCTCTCAATGAGATTTAATCAAGCTACTTTTTTTTCTAATGAATTTTATTCATTTATTGAAAAACAAAAAAGAAACAAACAAACTGTAATTCATTTTTCTTATACAACTTACTTTAAAACTATGAGTTATTTTATCTGACTGATTCTCGTCATCTATCATTGAATCATAAATATGATGAGTATTGATATGATTGTCATTTTCACTATTCCCTTCTTTACTTGTATACATTGAAAGACCAATTTGACGTGTCAATCTACTTAAATCATGCATACGTAATTGAAGAATGAACAATTGTTTTTTCCATGTTTCATATTGATTTGATTGGTGATAAATATGACGTACAGTGGATGCAAAATTAGTCCATCGTGATTTTAATTTCAAAGCAGTCGAAATGATGAAATGATACGGTGAATGATGGTCATCATCATCAGCAAAATTACCAATTTTCATGTAATCATTATCATTTTTACAAGATGTTAAATCTTGAGTAAATGAAGCTGATACTCTGTCTGAAATGTAAAGTACGGTATAGTCAATTGAATCAATATTTGAAGAAAGTTTTCACAAAAAGTAAACTCTATAGTAATGGCATTTAAAAACTATCGTTTATAAATCATTCCATTACATTAAAGCACATAAATGCTTTGTCAACGAAGTAAAATAATGGTTTTTGAAACAAAGTATGAATTGACCATATTAATGGTTAGAAAGGAGAACCGAAGATTACCATCTTTTTATGGCATATAGTTCAATGAGCGCTTAAAATCTATTGAGATTTCAATGAGGAAAGCTTTCTTGTGTTGTCTAATATCAACAACTATTAATCATAAATTCTGTTTCATAAAAGTGACGGTCGGATGAGAGATCTACGAATCCTGTTTAGTATGGTCAGAGACAAGTTCAAAGTTAAAAATTTTAACAGAATAGAGTACATCGTGGTCGTCAATCAAACTGTTAACAATAGGAAATAGCATTTCAAAGTATTATATTATCGGATTATATATGTAAGCTTTTCTTTGAAGATACAAGAGTGTCTTGATATGAGATAGCCACGATTAACAAAAAAAAATCAACTTATTAGATTATTTATCACCTGGTGTACAGTTCGTCCATTAAAAGTGACAATAAAACACGTAGATCAAGTTAATCCATATATGAAATCATTTAAACGATATTTAATATTGATAAATTCTATTTTTTTTTTAAAAATCTTACAATGAGATCCTTAAAATGAACTACCCATAGTGTATCGATATCACGATATATGCATGATGATGGTGACAGTTCAAAATCATGTTGAACATTTACAGGTTAATCATTAGTAGATAACCAAAGAAAAAAAAATAGGCCAACCAGTCTTTTGTATTGAATAACTTAGAAATTAGACATTTCTGTTTCGTTTTTATAATAGTTTTAAGATAAAAAATAAACATGCTTCAAATTTTGTTAGTGATACATTAATTTAGCTGTGATGTATGACTTTGTGTAATTGAACGATACACTAATGTGTACTGCATGGAAATAATTGAAAATTTAAAAAGAACTATTGTCCACTTTTTCCATAGACCAATAAGAGAAAGAAAATGAACATAACGAAAAATGAACTGAGGCCTTTTTTAATCCGACAGGTATTACAAAATCAAGATCAACTTCATCAATGTAATGCTGACAACAATCATGCGCTCAAATAATCATTTTATGAAGCTAGTTAAAACTGTCTGAAGACCAACACTTCAAAATGTTTTGAACATTTATGTAGCATATTTCTGTAAAATACACTACTGATCTGTAATACGTCTAAACCGGATCAAAAATTTCTTTCACTTCATTTTTGTTTTCGTTAACGAAGTTTACTTTAACCATTACATAAATAAATTATACGCTTACAATTCGGTGGCCCCTCTGGGGCTACTGCCAGTCACCAGCCTAGATAAAGAAGCAGGGTTGGGGTATGGGGTTGGCGACCTCATCGCATAGAAAGCTAACTCGCTAAAATAAAGCTAACCAGAAAAAAATAGAAATTCAACAGACATGCATATCATAAGTCCTGATTATGATCCAAACATACTTAACTTTGAATCAAATAAAATGCACAAAACAGTAAAAATTGACATGACACAAAAAAAAACAACCCAACTTACCATCTGACACATTAGAGATATTTGAACAAGAAGAACAGTAAGACTTCAGATCATCAAGCAAATTCGAAAGCAATTTCACATGAGCTTCAGCCGTTTGCACTAGATGCGCTGTACGATGACGCCATATACCTGAGTTCACTTGTTTCGAAAGATCTGTTTATGAGATGTTGAAAAAAAAAGAAATAACCGAATGCATAATAAATATCATCTATAAAACAAATTATTATTATTCTTATGATAAATGAAGTCTGTAATTTAATTGAGTTTGAACTTCTAAATGAGAAGATGATCGGTCGAGGTTTTATGATGTGTAAAAATCGATATTAATCGTTAAAGAAGAAAATTATTTCACACAACTATGAACTATTTGTTTTAAATAGCTATAAAACCAAATCTATTTCATTCACAAAACAATATACGAATACCAGTTGAAATCGTCAAACGAAATTAAACACAATGGACTAATAATGATTGAAATCAACCCAGTGTACTTGAAATGAAAGTTTCTGAAAAGATGCTCACTTACAGTGAGACTATAATTCTCATGATTTCAACTTTACTTAATATTCAGAATATTTGTCAATGGACAAAATTCCTGTAGATTATAATTACTGTCAAATTAACAATACAAGAGAATAACTTAAATAGTTTATGTTAAAATAAATCACGCAGGTTAATGTAATGTGTCTTTATGCGGGCTCTTATGTTGATTTAAATGACGATAAATTTTCATATCTGATAACATGACCTAATAGTAGAACTGAGAGAAAAAAGTGAGATTGTACAATAGAAAATTAAACAATTTTATAATCTTAACAATTGAACAATTTAGTGCTGAAAATGTATCAGGTGATAGCATCAACGGATAGTTCCTTTTCTAGTGAATATCAATCAATCAATCAATCACTGAAAAGTAACCAGTGCTGTGTTTGTTTACTTAATAGTTTTGATCAAAATCCATAGAATCAAGTAATTCGATATATGATGGTGTTTTATGGTAGTGGGAACTTTTCACACTATGAAGGTGAGTGACGTGAGTTCGAATCCATCATAGTTGGAAGTACACCTTGGTAACTGGCATCAAATGGTGAAAAAACTTCAGCCAGGGTGTCCTCCCAACTCTCTCCACTTATGCAGTATCTAAACCTATTATTTGTTTATAGGATTATTCCTAATTGAGACAAGATTCAGTGGAGTTAACCGCTTCATGGTATACAGAATAATATAGCAGATAGTATTCGACGAGTAAACTGTATTTATCTCATTGATAAGAAATACAACAGTACATACTTTTTTGTTGTAATTTATTCTTTCTCTTCATTGAATTGACTAAATGTTGTAGATAAATTTCCGCATGCAAAAGACGTGTTTCAGAATTCTCCAAAATTCCTTTATGAATATCAATGAAATAACGATTGTCCACATGATGAAGATTAACATCAACTGACAAGAATTCACGTTTGATCGATTGATTTTCCAATTGAAATGAATTAATTTGAGCTTTACGTTTTCGATTAGTGATACGTGGAACAGTTTGATATTTTCTTTCATACAATTTACTATGCAGTTTGATATCATGTCTAGTATGATATGTAAGTTTGGAAGAATTCAGCTGTTCACTGAAATTACGCATAGGCTGCAATCGATTTTTGATGTCTTGAATTTCATGCTGATTTTAACAACAAGAAGAAGAAATAAACTTAAAAATCAACATGAACCACTAAAAAAGAAAGTCGTGTGACTTTGTGAGTGTAAGTATGTGTGTCTGTGAACATTTTACTGAACGTTATCAACAATTTCGAATTAATTAAGGACACAAGATCATAATTGGTAGGGTCAATTGACACTTATCCATTAAACGTTTTAAAATTCACTACAGAAAGTAAAGTTTTGAAAAAAAAGTTGACGAACTCAACACCCAAAAATCAATTCAGTGAAAGTAACATACAATAAATTTCTATTGATTAAATAAAGAAGAACCGTTGAGAGAGAAGGTGTTTTCTAAAGTCTAGCAATGTTACCATTAAGATTGATTTTTATATGTTGATAAAGTTTTTCATTAAACAGATAATTATGATGAGCATATATCAACTGTTAGCGTATATTACTAGTGAAAATATGTACAAGTCAAGACAAATCGTAAATTAACATGCCTAATACTTATTTATTGTTAATATGTCACCCGTACAGAGACAGTAAAGAATAAACATATTGAACTCAACTCAAAAAAAACATGTACAGAAAGACCGCACACAGTAAAAATTACTATAGGATAGTACAGAATGATATGCTTACTGTTACAGCCTTAACTATTGCAAACATCTACCTACATCATAGTGAATATTCATATAACTAGACAAGCAAACCGAATCAGATATATATTTCTAATTATTCCTAATCAACATTGATTGAAATCATAGGTTTATGCTAAGAATTTCAAAGTGAGATTTCATTGTCTAACAACATCAACACACACTACATGCATACTGACTGCATATTTCTTTTTAGAAAATTTAATAGAATTTAACAGAAATATCTTACATTAGATACAGCATCCATTGTATCCATACTTAGTAAATGTTGTGAACCACCATCAGGACATGTACGCAGCCCACGAACCGATGATTCTGGACTGAGTAAATTATCTGTATGCTCAGCAGACCAATTCTCTGTTCCACGTGTATAGTTTGTTGATGTGTTATTGAATATTTCAAAGCTTGCATCGAAACTACTTTTTTGATTGAATAAAATTGATGTTGATGTAGAGAGAATATCATTAGTATCTTGTCCTTCAACTTTGGAATTGTCATTTCCCTCGATGATATCATCAGAATTCGATTTCCTAAATTTCACTGGTTCTGTGTGACTATGTGAAGATGGTGAATTCAGCTCATGTTCAATATCAGTAATAAGTTGACTTTCAACATCATCCCATGGAAATTCTTCAGCATAGATACTTGTCGGTTCATAAGCTTGAGTATCAGTGGAGTTAGAGTACAATGATGCCTGAAAATAGATTAACCAATAATGTTTTAGGCAATGAAATGAAGAAAAACTAGAGTAGTGCATTAGAACAAGGAAACAAAAATGTTTATATATTTATAATCAAATACAATTTAGGTGAGAGTTTGTTGAAGTGTATTGGGATACTAATTTGTTTATTGAACATTAGAACGAAATCAGACCCAAAGTGATGTTACCTTCGGTTCAGCTTGCCAATATATTTACCAGATACAGATGAATGTACTCATGTGCTAGATATTACTCTCATCGGGTTCTAAAAACGGAGTATCCTAATGAAGTTATATGGCTGGATCCGAATGTATGTCTTGATTAAAGTGTTTTGAAGATTTTTTAAGGGACACAGCTAGCAACCTGCTTGCTTCGGAAGTGGATGTCTGAAGATAAGGTGTGAACACGTTTTGCTAGTAATCTATGCCTTTTTTAAATATATCATCATTCTATGGGGCTTTGAGCTACACTCTGTACATGAGACCTATTAATACTGTACAGTTGCTTAAATATAGGTAGGTGGCGAAAGATTGGAACCTGGAACTTAGCGAATAAAAGTCCTAAGAATAAACTACGCAGTCACCATTCAAGAAATACAATTTTTACTCATTTAGACGAAGTAAACTTACATCATTTGTATCATATGAGAGAGTTGTAAAATTAATTATTTGACATAGAAATTTACGTTCTAACTACTGATAAATTAGCACATCACTGTCTACTACTTCTAACAAGTTGATAAACACTTGGTGGTTAGATCAAACTTGAAAGCCTATTAGTTAGAATAACTTTGATAAGACAAAGTCAAATTTTGGCGGATGGTTTAGATTTATTCACTGGTAGAAGTTATTTTTAGAGTGAAACAATCTTCTTTACATTGTTAATCATTGGTTAAAATCATTTTCAAGATAATTTAATTTATTCACTGATGAAATTCGAATTTATAAACTCAGCTATGCATTTTTTATGTGTGTAACAGTTAGTTAGTTATATGCTATTTGACTGTACACACAGTGTGGATTGGAGATTTAAACTTGAAATCTAATCAATAAACACTGTCTCACAATATTTAATCATGTTCATAATCACTATGAGATAAAAGATCAGCATAATTGTACTTGATTAGGTGATCTACATTGTTTAAAATCGGAAAGTTTGCAAAAAGAACGAACTCACTTGATAATCATCCCAGAAATTTAATAAAGGATCATGTGAATCCTCCACTGGTGACATATTATCATCACCATCATCATCATCTGTAAACGTGGTGTTCTTTTCACTTTTTATTCCATCCAAATCATTCATGAATGAAGAATATGAGTAACAAGTATTTTGATTTTTCTTCACTGACAATTCTTCATTAATTGTTGCATTATTAACATTCTCATTTTGATTCTGATTATTATTATTATCATTATTTTCATCAAGTTTAAGACTTGAAGCTTCTAAACCAGCTAACCAGGATTCAAATCGAGTTGGTGAATATCGATTACGAATTAATTCTTCAGCTTTTTCAGCTGCATTCAAATATGTTCTAACTTGCATTCGCCACTGACGTTGTTCCATGTCACTGGCATTATCAGGTATGGAATTACGATAATAACTTTGGTTACTAATTACTTCAGAATCGGAATCTGATCTTGAATCAAAATGAAATAGTTGAGTTTTAACAGAACCATATTGTGAAACAGTTGATTTAGTATGGTTGAACAATGGATTAGTAAGTTGATTGGATAGATTTAGAGAAGTTGAACTCATACATTTTCTAGAAATGCTATTTCTATTTTTCAATACCTTTTTCTTATGATAATTTTTGGAGAATTTAGTACTTCTTGATTTGATATTTTTATGCTGTACATTGAAGTCTAAAAAAATGAGAAAAAATTGGTGTACACATGGAAGTATAATTAAAAATTATAAATAAAGTATTCAATAATTTTGGTGAAGAATGTCACTGATTTTAATAATTAATTGAAAGTTAGTCAAATATACACTAATTAGGATCTAGTACAAGTTGTTACGCCTAATACTTAGGTATAGACAGAGAGAGATAGAGAGAAATGAGCAAGAGAAAAAGTAAAATAATGAAAATAAGATCATCAAACAATGAATGGTCTGATCCGACAAGAAATCAATAATTTCGAAGGATGAATGGTATAGAAGTCAAGGAATGAATACAAATCTATTGTTTCAGCAAAGAGAAATCTAATCATAAATTAATTCACAAACGCGACATGAATCTATTGAGCAATATCACTGTTTAACAAACATTTGGACCTGAATGTAAATGGTACCATATATGTATTCAATAGGCACTTCCAAATGTCATAGATGAACAAAAGTATTTTTCAGTCAGTCAGTTGCAACGTAGAACTTCGTACGTATGTACATAAGTTCAGGTTGCCATACCACATTAGCACAGAGACGCAAATCTCAAATCAAATCCCATAGTGATAAAGATAGTAGAGGTATTAATGGTAATGAAAAAGACTAGGGTTTGAAGATATTATTCAAGAAGTATAATTCAGTGAGATAAGGTTAGAAAGACAAAGGTAGATGTGCTGACGAATCCAGAAGATTAGGATTTGAGAGAGAACAACGAATGGATGCACTTGCGTCATTGCAAACGATTTTCCACCTCAACAGTGTTTACAACTAACCTTGAAGAATTACGAGTATTTTACAACACAGCAATAATTGCTATAGAAAGTGATAAGACAGATCTTATCTATATGTATTATTTCTTAATGAACAATCATACAAACAGTTAAACTCATCAATAATTGTCCTACTTTCTTCTAACAATAATTGAAAAGAAAATCTACTTTGTATAATATTTAAGGACACTACTTGTCATCTCATTGAAAATTGATCATTTGAAATTATTATTCGGTATAACAATATCGTTCACTTAGTGGAGATGAGTAAAAAACATGTCTAAGAAACAAGCTGTCAAACTGTACAACTTCTCCATGTCATCAAATGTCAACAAAGCTTTAATCTAATTTGATTTAAAAAAGAAAAGTGTTCAACATCTTGTCAAAAATAGAAAACTTTATTCAATAAAATTACGGACACAACATATATAATATTGTTTTTCAAACAAAATGTAGAATGTTTTAAATATCTACAGAGACAATCAAAATTTGTATACCACGCTATAAATAACTCGCCAAAATAAAAGAATAATTCAATGATTAATACATGAAGGTTTCTTTTTTTTTTCAATGGTTATTCATTTTCAATCACATTTGTTTGTATTGAATCATTTTATAGATAAATGGAATATCGAGAGAGAGAGAGAGAGAGGAAGAGAGAAAGACATTATGACTAAGCAAATGAACAATAATTGTATGAATAAGTAAATAACCAAGTAAGTTAGTTATTAATGATGAATTCAACTTATAGCCAGCACGCACATGGCTGGTTGATGATAATTTTATGCTTTCATTATTTTGTGATGATCACCAACGATAAAATTGAACCGATTAAAACAAAAGATAAACTAACAATAATAATAATAATAATAATTTCAATGACCTAACTTCCCACATTTCTATAAATACAAAAAGATAAAATCACAAAAGAACCTAGATAATAAAGAATGAACAGATTAAACTGATGTTCTGTGTGTTTACTTCAAAAAAATGGCACGCATCATGACAAATAACTGTAACATAGCTAAAAGGTGTATTGTTATTCAAAGTTGAATAGAAGATATTTCACTAGTGTATACAACAGACAGTTTGTCAAAGAGAATGTACACATTTACACATACATTTACCTACTGTACTGCTTTACAAATGTTATGTAGAGTGCTGAAATATTTATTCAAAATATATTTGTTCATACAACATGAACAATGAAATACTTTTCTCAATATCATCTTTAGTAAAAATGCTTTTGGTAGATTATGTCCTATTCTCCAATTATTGTTTTCAAAATAAAAACAAATGTATTACTAATCACTGCTTAAATATTAGTATTATCTACACAGTGAAAATATTAAGGTATTCATATAGGAGGAAATATTTCTACCGGTAAAAGACTAATTTAGAGAGATATGTCTCGATGTTCTTGTGAGAACCTATGAGTTGAGCGCGAAGCATTCAAACACTAATGGTGCTAGAATATGGTTACGCTATAATGCAAACTAATTTTAGCCAGAAATATAAACCATCAGATGTCAACTAAGTAGTGAAAAAGCTGGACACTTTACATGTGATCTGAATGTCTTACGTCCAGTTTCCAGTTAGGTCATGGATACTGACTGCTAGAGAATCTCACACTATGACAATGGTTGTTGGACTAGTATCAATCAGAATATCAATCAGATCATAAAATATCAGTAACATTATTGATAATTGGTAAACATATTACCAAAGACTTAGTGAACTGTAACAAAGTGGCCCTTACAATGAGTATCACGTTCAAAGATTTAACTGACATTATAGGTATAAAAAGTCATTGGAATAAACAAACATCTAGACACTAAACTCCATGTGAAATTGAAAACAATTTTAAACATCCCAATAAACAATATGGAATGTGATCAATTCACATCACGCATGTTCATAATTTTATCCATATAGACAGAGATACTCTTGTGTAAGTTTTATGAATACTTGAAAGAAAATGTTGTTATAATGAATAAATGGGATATGTGTAAATATATCTGACCTTGGTGATGATCTATAGTCCATACTATTGACGTCTGGAGACTCACTAAGACAAACAATGACAATTTTAAGTAGATGATATGGATAAAAAGACGCAGGACCTAAAATATTATCTTAATTAGGACAAATTCAGAGTGAACGCCAACATTCTGTAGGCAGCTTGGAATGATATCCAAAAAGCTGTGTAAACAGAAGTGATATATGCTAGTAAGGTAAATCATAAAGTTAAGAAGAAGCCGTGCATCTTAGTAGCATCTGCCGAACTGATAGATCCTTGAAAACTCATCTGGTCTGGCTCTGAGTACGATGAGGAGCGGAGTCAGCTTAGGCGCAAGCTGATAAAAGGCCTACGCAAAGATTGAGAACAGTGGTGGGTGGCAAAAGTGAGGGAGATGGAAAAAGCAAATGCAAAAGGCGGCAGTGGACAACTGGACTTATCAAGGAAACCAGTATTAGGAATCCAACTGTAAGTGAGCCTATCTAGGAAAAAGATGGTCTTATTATTCATTCCAAAACCAGGAGATCGAATAGATGGGCAGAACACTTTAAGGATCAGTTTAATTGGCCTTCAGCCACACTTCGGTTACCGACGATCCCAGTTAACCTGAATGGCGAATCGACGTAAGTCCTGAAGCAAGGGAGGGCAGCGGGTCCTGATAGACTGACCTCTCAGATTTTTAAAGATGGTGCTCCAGTTTTAGCAGCTAGATTGCCTGAGATCTTAGGTAGAATTCGGGAACTGGACGTAATCCCATCTGACTGATCTCAATGCCTGATTGTCCCAGTCCATAAAAAAGGACAGAAGTTCTTTTTATGACAATCACAGAGAAATCAGTTTAACTAATATAGTATCTAAAATATTGGCCTCAACAATACTCCAACGCCTAAATAGAGGTCGGGAAGAGCACACTACAGAAAATCAGGCTGGTAATATGATTTTGTTAAGAGTAATAGCAAACGAATTTTTCAATCGCATCACTTAACTTCTGACCTATTTTATAGTTATGATCAAATTCACAACTATGTGAACATAGTGTAAAATCTCATAAAAATAAATTACGGAAATAACACTTTTGTAGTGGAAGTGGTTTTTTTTTAAATGAAGAAAAAAAAACAAACAATAAAAAAATGTATGATTCATTGAATAGCATGAACAATAAATACCAGTACAATTTAATAGTACGAGTCACTCATTTACTGTTTAATTCAAAATGAACTATTTTATGAACGTGGATAGTGTGGATAAATATTAGTGGGAAATTTAAACCGGTTAAATGAATATTAAAAAAAAATAAGGGAGTAGGAATATCTCAAGGCCGGTGAGAGACACATTCATTAAAATGTAATGTGTACATGTATACACTATGGCACGTGTGTATTTATGTAAGTACATTTTCATTAGTTTAGAAGTCTACAGTGAAAAGGAGTCGCCCAAGCATACAAACAAAAATCAACAACATAATCAAAGAATGAAAATTCTAGTTGATATTAGCAACGGCTCATTATACTGTAATTGTTAAAAAATTAAACCACGTAGAATAACAAACGGAGGGAAATACAACGTATAATCAATATAAGTTGAACTATATGTATATATAGATACATACACACACACACACAGAGAAAATAAGCAATACAGTCTAATATCTACCTAGTATAGGATAAAATTTATACATATTTATGATTGACATTAGATATCAACACTTTCCTAGGTAATATATTTACTATTCAACTAACCGAAAGAGATCTAGGAAGTATTAATTTTTTTTTACCCTACTTAAAAATAATACATACTACAACTTATGCTTACTTGATTAGGATATAAAAAAAATAAAGTTTATTGATTAAGTGAGTTCAAGAACCAGCATTTCATTGAATGATTGATTAATTCTTGAGAAGAATACGTACAAATGTGAAATGTTCTCAACCTCGGAAAAAAAAACAACCGACAAATCATAATGAATATGATACCATGAAAAAACTTGAATTTCCTGCTACTTTCTTCTTCATACACATGGAAGTGATTTGTATTTCAAGATACAGAGACGGTGGAGAAAATTTGTAGCTCAGATGGATGATTGTGGTGGTGTTTTGTTCTCTAAGCTGGATGTTTTGGTTGTGGAGCTTTCGTTGACACTTTTTTTTCATCTAAGAAACTCTCATTAAGGTAGTATATTCATATTGGAAAAACCATAAACAAAAAAATGCTATTTGGGAAAAAGTCTGAATTTAATTAGTGTCTGTGTTGGTGTTTTTTTCTCTGAGTTGGATGTTTTGATTGTGGAGCTTTCATTGTTCTTCTGAACAACATCATCAGCACAAACTTCAGATAGAAATGAAGCATTCGAATTTCTCCATGTTTGATCCGTAGCTTATCCTGTTAACCTCCATCCACTGGTCAAATGTGGAGAAATTCGAATACTTCACTTCTCTGTTTGAAGTTTGTGCTGATGATGTTGTTCAGAAGAACAACGAACGCTCCACAACCAAAACATCCAGCTCAGAGAATGAAACACCACCACAATTTCAGGATGTTATTCAGTTTTTTTAAAGAAAGCCTCTCATTTCAGTAAAGACAAATAAATTTAATTTTTTCTTTTTTGTCTTGTGTATTGTTTTAAGTTAAAATTACTGAATGATTACTTACCAAGTAAATGCCTTGTCAGCTGATGATTATTTCCTATTCGTTTTAAATCATAAAATTTATGTAAATTGTTGTATGTATTAATCAGAGATTTTTGTCCACTGGTAGTTCGCCTAAGACGGTTATTATTATTATTATTCATAATGTAGACATGTGTATTGTATGATTTAGCATCCAACTGACGCCGATTAGTGAGAAATGACCAGTCTACACTTTTTGATTTATTCATTCCAGTTACTGATGATTTCACAACAGGTAGCGAACAACATTTGTGTATTGGCTTGGAATTTCTTAAACGTAGAAAAAACATAAAAACAGAAAAGAAATTCAATAGTTGAGCAAAAATATTATTCAATCGCCTGTTTCAATGAGAAAAAAACATTCATGAAAAGGATGTGAATTTCAAAAGTTGAGGCTTTAATTATCGATTACACTAATTTCTATGTAGTATCGAATGACTGTTAGTTTCCATTATTCTTTGAATTGTGCGAAAAAAAAAACACGTTATGCATTCAGCATAACTAAATTAATGTAATCCGAAGACTTAAACTTCACTGTGAAACTATTCAAGGATCGATCTAATTTAGTCATTATACGATGTACTAAACCAGTTAGCTTATGATATTTTACAAGTGAAAAGCATTTAGCTGTGAATATAACTAAATATATATTTATTAGTTGGAAAACAAAGCAGATGAGCGACAGATAAGAGTCAATCAAAAATGAAACATTTCTTAAGAGCTTTTGTTCAGATTTTAATTCAATATTTTCTTTAATCGTTGGATGTAGAGAGTATAGAAGATATTGGAAAACAATTTATACATATAAATATCTCTTCGATTCATTTGATAGGCTGATTCGATAATTTTGAATTTTAATTATTTCCCTGAAGATGGTTGCATTACACTGTCGAGTGGAATGTCGATGTTGTTTCTAATTTTGATGAGTGAGATTTTTATACTTATAGTTTCTATTTGATTGAATAAAGCTTGTGCATAGCGATTTAGAATAGCATGAATGAAAACTTATGGGTGGAGAGAACTATCCACAGAAAAAACTCATGCAATCATATTTTATTTGGATGAATCCTGAAAATATTTCTTTGTACAAAATCATTTTGACGAATGAAGAATATTTAGTGAAATTATAAATTCGTTAGGAGTTGCCTAGAAACAAAGAGTGTGATAATGTGTTCCTAAAATAGATGATACGTTAAAAATTAGTTCTGATGGCAAAAATGCTTTTAGTTTTGAGTGTTCACACTTTCATTTAGTTTATACTCCATACACATTAACTGATTCTCATTTTAGCGTTGTTTTTAAACTGAGACTTATACTGTTTTCATAAAAAAATAAATATGCAAAAGAAATTGTTACAAAAGAATGGAATTGTTTTCATCCAATTTTACATAATGTCCAATCCAGCTTATTCGTAGCAACAAAATCTTGTACCGCAAGTAAGCTGTACTCCTAAGAAGCTGACAACTAGTCATGTTTAACAGCAATGAGAGCAATTTCCTTTAATTACTAACAGAAAAATACCATCCAATGTGTTTCCAGTATCCATCTACCATCCAGAGCAGATTTCACTGGGAAAATTTTTATTACTTCAACGTACATTTCATTCTTCTCTTTAAACGCAGAGTAATGGTTACATTAGTTGTTTGAATCTTCGTATTTATTTTTTTTAAGACTCCAATTGACCAGTCTTTTTAGGCTTATGTGCATTCTGTGTGGATTATTTCGATAATGCCATTATGATACAAGTAACATAGGCAGAGATGAATGGTGCTAGCTAATATCCATGCAAGTACATCCAGTTAACGATTTATAAACAGGACAAAGCGTTCGTCCTGAATTCTACTGATAGCTACAATCCACCTCTACTTATAATACTTGTCACTTTATTACAATCTATTGTTTCGTCCATGAATAAATAAAGAAACAGCTCGAAGGTTATCTTCCTTTCGCCAAAAGAGCTGATAGACTGAGTTACAAGTAGTATATTAATTTACTCAAGTTTTACTGTGATCAATTATTTGAACAATACATAAAACCAAAAGGCCAAATTAAACACAAATTTTTATACTCGTATAAATACTACTGACTATTTTGTGGTCATCAGTAGCATGATAATAAATGAACGAAGATATTTTAACAAACCAAGTTAAATAACTACTAAAAATAACCACCTTGCTAAGCGGATACAACATCAGGGAAATTATTTGTTTGAATTACTAATTTTTTGTTTGTCATCTCACAAGTGTAAAACACTAGTGAAATGTTCTGCACTCATTTATATCTAGGCATTGAAATTACCTAGCGATAAACTTACATCATTTGAAAATAAGCTACTGACAAGAAATAAACATCTATGTGCATAGATTCGTGTACAAGTTGTAAACTGCAGTTATGTATAAAAAAGAACCTGACAAATTCACATTGATGAACTAGACAAGAGAACCTGTAATTTAGTGTTGCATCAATTAACTGTCTCCATCTTTGAGGATCAACTTCAAATAGTTTGAAGTGGTTAATCGAAGAACACACAATTACAAAATAATATAGGTAATTCATACAGACTTACTGGACTTTATCCAAGTTACTGAATTTAGTAACCAATTTATTACTAAATACTCCTGAATGTTTTTGATGTAAAATGAAACCGGTAGTATGTTTAGAATCTGACAAGTGACTTTCATTAGTCTGCATTGTAACATTAATAAAATTATTCTTTGTATTATCCAATAAAACATCCTCTTCAGATATTTCCAATCTTGAATTCTGTTCGACATCCCGTTGCTCCAATAAAGAGAATGACTTCTCTTCATAATTGTTAATCTCACAGCCATCGTTGTTCTTAAGGCATAAATCATTTTGAGATGATAAACATTTCACACTATTATCAATGTTTATTGTTTCAGGACATCTTGCTCTTGATTCATCATTCAATAATCCATTATTCAATTTTCCAATAATTTGATTAAAATCATTTGGAAGTGAACGAGTACTGTCTTCTACGATAGAAAACATTTGAAATAAAATTAATATCAGAAATAAAAAAAAAAGACTGGTAGTATCAATTATTAATTAGCAGACACTCTCAACCAATAATGCAGAAATTATGTTGAGTTCATTGAATTCTATATTTATTTGTCCAATAAAATCACTGATTGAGTAAATGAGCAACCAATCCAAAATCAGATTAAAATATTAATTCAATTGGTCAGTTTTGAATATTTTAATCAGATTAGTTAATAAAGATGAGTAATAATAATAATAATAATAATGATAATAATGAATTCATTGCATAATAATCTGTTTTATCTATCTTTATAGTGTTATAAGTTTAAAATGTCAAAAATAAAAACACCACATTAAGAATACATAACAGACTGTTAAAAAAAAGTACGAAATGAAGAATGCAAATATCAAGACAATAAATTGATTTTGAAAGAAACTAACTTTCAAACTTACTACATATTGAATATTGTATGTCACACCCTAACGCCTACTATTACCATAACTCTTATAATCTACTACATAGATCTCTATACATACTTATAGTATAATCATGTCGACTTTTTTTTTAATCGTTAATCGATTTGGTAACAGCGCTACACTTGTGAACAACGTATACATACATATGTAGGTTTTTGTATAAGAAAAAAAAAGATTGAGAAAATGCACAAACTACTTAAAAATTCTGAAAGATAGACAATGTTTAAGAAGAGACTAAAATGAAATTAATGAGTAAATATACATAAATACGAAGATAATAAATAATAAAAAAAAAACAAATTGAAAACCAAATAAATTTATGTGAAATACACACATAAAATAAGAGGTGAGAATGGAAACATACAAGTCACATAGTGAATACAATAGGTGCTTAAATCAGAACAAAACATGATCACTTTCATCATTCAGTAGTAGAAAATGTTATAAATGATAGTGATATACACAGAAGTAGGAGACCATGTTGAACTAAATCGTGGATAAAATGTTCCATTATTCAGGTTTCATTGTAACAAATGAGCAGTCAATGGAAGGGTTTAAAAGAAACTAGGCAGATAAAGCTATGTAAGTGTTGTCTTTGTTTTCTACCAGTCAACAGATTTAAAACTGTCCTATTTTACTAATCGATGCTGTATGACGATTCAGTATGTTATTTTGATGTATTGATGAGAGCTAATGAACTTACTGAATCAAAGTTCGTCGAGTGAAAGTATCAACCTGTTACTTGATGATTGAGATTTCAACTAAGAATAGCTTAAAAACAATTTTTTTTGAAAAAAATAGCATATAGTAAAACAAACACATATATACACCATGGTAACATTAGTAAGGATTGAATTCCTTAGTTAAATGAGTAAAGTAGACTGATCTTTACATGAAATCTTTCATATCTCAACGTAAAGAAACTTATGGACACAAATCACTACTCTATGAATTTTATATCGCAGGGATGATACAGATTAGCAAAAGAGATTATTCAATCCAAAATATCAATAACACAATACTTAGTTAACCAAAAAAAAACGCCTAACTAACATATATAACAAATTCTATTCTATCCGCTAGAAAAACTCAAGATAATAAAATTTAACTCTTTATTGAGGAAAATATCAGAACTTCAAACAATCGAATTACCCACCTTTAATTTTATAAAGGGCATACTGTCTCAAGTAAGATTAAAACAAGTAAATAAATATACTAGTTAGGCTTAGGAAAAATAACACTGTCAGTTGAATTCAAAAAGTCGAATCTACTTTTAGAAAGGAAAATGATCGAATTAAAAGAGTAAGATTTAGTCAGTGTGAAAATCGATCAGTATGATATCAATAAAATATATTCACATAGTAAGTTCTTGACTAATTGATAATAAATACTATTTAGTTTAAAGTATACATTGTTAAATGTTAATTTGATTGAATCATAAAGACTATCAAAAGTAGTATGTGTAAGATAACAACAGTTTGATGTAATTTCAGGGTCAAATAAGTCCATATCACTAGTTTTAGTATTTTTCATTACGCATCATCAGATTGTAGGTCCTAGTACAAGAAACAAGTTCACTAAAGTATACAGCACAGCATTAATGAGGATTATTTCAGTTAGTCATTGCTTTACAGATAATTGGTCATTATTAGATTTCTGATATCAATTAGTTATTCATTCATAAGTAATAAGGAACATGGTATAAATGTCCAACGGTTCACCTTGTCACAACATCATATTAATTACAACAAGATGAAGTTATGAAGAAACATCTCAGGGAACATTATCGGTTCCGCGGTATCAATAGCGAAGGAAGCATAATTTCGTGAAATAAGAATTATAGGATAATTTTGAAACTCAATGTATCTTCATGGATTGACCTGTTGTCTTAGCTTTGCTTGCCATTGCTACTTTTCAGCTTAATCCTATCTCGGTCATCACTTGTGTTGTAAGTATATATTTGGAGAGAGGGAGAGTGAGAGAAAATACATAAAACTAAGTGTAACGAATTCAACCTCCGTAAACTTTATAAATTCTTATAATGTTCCATCTAATTTCTTCCAAAGAGAATGTAAGCACTTAAGAATTATCACCGTTTAAAAAAATCAAAATAACATTGTTGGATAGCAAGCAATATAATAAGTAATATTTACATATCTAGTAAAAAATAAATCCGAAGTAAAGAACTCGAAAATTCTCTGGTTAACATATTTCCTGATCATTTAAATAATACCCGTACTAACTACTATCAATTGTTTATCTTTTTAAAAAAGCAAGATTTGTACCAGGATCGATATCTTCAGACATGATAAGTTGTCGTATAGCTAATAGTAATAATTGCTTTTACAGAAAGCTGAATGACATCCAAAATAACTAGAGAATTCGAATTTCTGAATAACATCTGAAAATTACTATGTTCTTAACTAACATGACAGTGATTACTTAAATTGTCCTCAGAGGGAATAAACTGTTATGCATTGCATATTTTTTCCAAATGAAAACTCAAGTGAATACAACAGTAACAGTGAAAAAAAATGTGATACCAAAACACTCATTCAATTCCTGGTGTATCATCAAACTCACTTCTAAGTGCCAATTCATCTTTCACCATGTAGACATCAGTGCTAGTAATATTATCATTGCATGAATAACTATAATATGGTTTTACTAGTGGAGGACTTTGTTCCGATTCAAAACCGCTTTCATGTCCATTTTGTTGTGTAACATGATGAGTTCCAATCTAAACAGAATAAAGGTGAGAATCAATAATTATTTGGGAGAAAATCTTTGATTGATAAGTAAAGAAATAGGAAATGACCTTAAACGAAAAATACTTCAATTTGTCCAGCTGAATTTAATGTTTTATAGAAATAAACACACTTATTTACTTACTCCTGTTACCGTCAATGGAGCATAAGCCGCCGACCAGTATTCTCTAACCTACTCTGTCCTGGCTCTTTCTTTCCAGTTCTGTAAGATTGTTATTCATTCTTCTCTTGTCTGTCGCCATTTCTCGGCGTAATGAGTTTTTCGGTCTTCTTCTTCTCCTTTGATCTTGAGGGTTCCAAGTGGGGGCTTGTCTTGTGAGGTAGTTGGATGCCTTTTGCATTGTGAGTCCTATCCACTTCCACTGCTTTGCTCTGATTTCCTCCTCCGCAGGAATCTGGTTCATTCTCTTCCACAGTAGGTTGTTGCTGATAGAGTCTGTCCAGCGAATTCGAAGTATCTTGAGTATAGACCTGTTAACAAACACTTATATCTGCTAGTTGATGCCCTTCGTCGTTCTCCAAGTTTCCACCCCATATAGTGGAAGTGTCTTGACACGTCTATTGAAAATTCTGATTTTGGTGCTGAGTGTCAGTTGTTTTGAGTTTCAGATGTCGTTAAATTGTAGAAATGCAGCCCTTGTCTTCCTGATCCGCGCCTTCACATCTGCATCAGATCAACCTTGTTCATCAATGAGATTACTCATATATGTAAAGGTTTTTACATCCTCTAAAGCTGCTTTGTCAAGTGTAATTTGGTTGATGTATGTTGTGTTGTTTCAATGAATATTGCTTTTTCCCTTGTGTATATTGAGACCTATTACTACTGAGACTGCAGGCACACTAGTCGTCTTCTCCTGCATTTGTTGCTGCATGTACGGTAGAAGAACCAGATTATCTGTAAAGTCTATATTGTCCACTTGCATCCTAGCTGTCCCCTGTATCCCGTGCTTCCCCCCAGAAGTCAGCGTCTTCATAATCCCGTCGATCACCAGGAGAAGGAGGAAGGATGAGAGTCAGTAACCTTGCCTGACACAACTGCGGAAATAAAAAGCACATCATTAATAGTCCAATTTATGAATCGATATAAACATTAATCTTCCTGTTGCTCAAATTTTGCTTTATATGAATTTACAGAATGCTATCACTGATGTCTAAGAAACTAGTTACATTGATTTTCATTCACTTGTGTAATCGCTTTCAATAACTTCAACGTCAACTTTTTCATCTGTCGTTAGTTTACTGGGTAGTGTACCCAGAGAATCTGTTTTGGGATATTGAAGTTATTTTTTTTTGCACGATCAAGTGAGTTAACGTTTGATTTTGGTCGCGCTACATCACCAAACAAAAATGAGAGTAAATAAAACTTGACTATATTACAAAATGACAGAATCTAGATTCTGACAAGGCTTTCATGTAATATGTCACATTTGCAATGGTTCGATTGGCATATCACATACTTTTGTAACACAACAGCACCTAAAATAAGATTATATTTAAACGAATTTAACCAAACTTTATAAATACAGAATGATTGTGGTTGTAGGGCTAAATAACATCTAACTAGGAAAGTGTGATTTGCACATTGGTTGAATATTGTTCTTACTGTCTGTGTGCATCGTCAAACGAAACACACATTCGAATACATAGTTACATCGATTGCTCAGGGCCACATAGTGTATTGTGGAGTAGCATACATCTGTATCTAGTCTCGCCTTTATCATAGCTGGTTATATTTTGTTGTTTTACTAGTTATTGTAAATCTACCACAACTTTAGTGTATTTAGTGTTGTAAAACCTCTCTCACTCTCTTTTAATATATATATATATATATATATATATATATATATATATATATATATATATATATATATATAACATATAAAATTCAGGCACGTGCAACTGATTTATTTCAATTCGTGCTTTATTGAATATTTATTCATACAAATGTGTATAGTTTTTGTTTTTTTTGACCAGAGATTCAGTATATACATTTTTTTAACGCGACATTTTCTCAATAATTAAATTCATATCATATAATCATTGAATTAAATAAAAGTAATCTATCACCAGTATGTCTTGTTTAAAAAACCAAATCGGTACAAGTGTGGCAATGCAAATTTTGAATCCGAATGATGGAAAAAAGTTAACTATTACTTAAATCATCAATTGTCCTTAACAGAATTTTAATCAAAATTAAGTGTAACAAAAGAGTACCATAATATTTCACCACTCTGTTGTTAAGGTTTTTGTACAGAACAAAGCACAAGCGCTTATTATTATTATTTGATCAGTTCATTAGTCAATTGTATGAAGACGAGGTGATTGGATTGACCACCACCAACAGCAACAACTGACTACAATTAAATAATTAAATTTCACACCAAGACACAATTTAATTTAGCAATGATAAATCATAAACTTGTTTTTTTTTTGCTTTTAAAAGTACACATCCAGCTTCGTTTGTTTATTTTTTTTTTGTTTTGAAAAGAAATACGCACCAATCACAATGAGTGCTATTGAATTGTAAGAAAAAATTGGCGCACTTTGTAACAAATTTATACATTGAGTAGAGTTTTTAAAGAGTTGATAAATTATCAACATAGAGTGTAATATATACATATATTGAACAAAAATTCATTTAAAGCATCAAATCTCTTGTTTTTCTAAAATAATTAAATCTTTACCAAAGCATAACAGATTTATATAGAAATCAGGTAACACCTAGATGAATGGCTTAACAAAAAAGCTGATCTCATTGACCACAATAGGACAGTTTTTATAAGAAGAACATAGCCTAGATGAACTAACCTCTGTAATGTTGAATTCTGATAAATAATCATTCCGATGGTTTTCATGTAATCCATCATGTTTAGGATTGGTTAAACATGCATCATGATAAATATCAGTATTTACAGGTTTGTCCAAATTGATTTTAATATTTTGATCAATATAAATGGACAATTCCAATAAACGTAACCATAGAGTATGACATTTCGCTTCTAATTCACAAACACTTTTTGATAATGTATGCAAATTATTTTGAAATTGTATATCAGCTAGTGTATTTATTTCAATACGATCAATTAACTGTTTAATGGTTGATAAAGTTTTGGAATATTGTTCAATTTGCTTCAAACAAACCTAAAATGTGAATTAAGGTTTTAAATTATTAATAAAATGATTGCTGATATTAATTAACAATAAAAACAAGTAAATTTGTCCAGCTGTAATTCACAACTGATTATAAGATAAGAATGAAGATGAGTGTTATGGAGATAACACTAAGTATTAGATGCTAATTTATTTGTCTACTCAACAGTGATGTGCTCATTATCAGGAAACACAGTGAAGAAAATTTGTAGCTCAGATGGATGATTGTGGCGGTGTTTCGTTCCCTGAGCTGGATATTTCGGTTGTGGAGATAGAAGTTCTATCTGAAGTTTGTGCTGATGATAATGTTCAGAAAAACAATGAAAGCTCCACAACCAAAACATCCAGCTCAAAGAACGAAACACTGCCACAAGGTAACACAATGAAGCAGCATTCAACTTTAAGATAAATAAAAGAAATGAAATCCTTTCTCAGTAAAAATACTTTCGGACTGATTAAAATTTCTTTTGTTAAGAAAGACGAATGTTGTCATTTTTTTAGTGTAATACAGTATTTTGTACTCAGAATATAATTGTTTACACTATTGATGACATCATGTATCTGGTCGATTGACTATGAATCTATACCAGAAAACAGACAACTAAAGAAGTTGAAATCTATTTTTCCAAGCGCTGTTGTAAATTTAAATATGATTAAGTCATAATTCCAGGGTTCATTTTAGAATGGTATTTTTTGTTGTTGTTCACAATCTTACTTGTATGATTTAGCAAATGTGGACAAAGTATGCAGAACACATAGTTTAAATCTAATGCTGTAACAGTTAGAAACTAATAAAAACCGATACACGATTATTTTATCATAAAACAATCAAAATTCTCAATGACAGTGGGGATGAACATTAAACCGATATATTGGAGGAATAGGGTTTATCTTATTTGTTGAGAAATTACCAACCGAATGAACTATTTATAAATATCATTGAATTTTAGTCAGTCAGTTACAACGTAGAACATCGTACGTAAGTACATCGGTTCAGGTTGCAATACCACATTAGCACAGAGATGCAATAGTCAGTTCAAATTCCATAAGGCAGAAATAGTAGAAGCATTACTGGTATTGGAGATGATTACGGATCGAAGATATTATTCAAGAAATATAATTGAATGGAATAAATTCAAAAAAAGAAAGGTAGAGGTGATGAATTCAGAAGATTAGAATTTCATAGAACACAACGAGTGGATGCATCTGCGCTATTGCAAACGATTTTGAGCCATGTCGTTCAAGGTTTCTAACCATTGATGACTTTCGTCTCACGGACCCCAAACCAGGTAGTCTACATCTACCAACATGACTCAGTCAACTTGTCAGTGACTTAATGCATTTCTGCCATGTTTTGGTTTGGCCACCCCTAGCTTTCATCCAACCTACTCCTACACCATAAAACATAGCTCGTCAAGGCAGTCGGTGGTTGGGCATTTGTAACACATGCCCCAACCACCTCAACTGATGAAGTTTCAATACTTCATCTATCGAAAACTATTCAGTTCTTCAAACTATCTGATTAGATACATTAGTAAACGGATGGAATTTTACATTTCAAAATATAATAATATATCACTGAACACATTTCAATAACACATTCTCCAACATGTAAGATTCATTTAATCTTTAAATTATCATGAATACTTTTGTTTCGCATAAATATAAGCACGAAGATAGGCGGTCATTCAGTCAACAATGTAACAACAATATGTTCGAAAAATAATTGTATCTATAAAAATCATAGCCTAGAAAATCACAGACCAATTTATTGACAATTATCCACAATGGAAAAAAGTTTCGATCGATACAAAACTTATTTTCTTTTAAAGCACATTGGCAATAAACTATTTAGATTTTTAGAAAATTTTATTTGGAAATGCAAAATTATGTATACGAGTAGAATAGTTTAATGAATAAAGTAAGTTTACCTGATAATATTTAGCTGAAGAAAATTTTTGAACATTGGACAATGACATTAAACATGTCATCCATGCTGAAGTATTCGGTAAATCTATGAAAATCAAATTACAACAATATTTATCTCTTAATTAACGTACAAAAACACAATAAGTACAGATCAACTGAATAACTTATGTCATTGAATTAAAACATATCAACTTCATCCCAGTAACTAAAGCGATTCTTAACGAAATTCAGTTACAAATAGTTTTGAATGCATTCATAATATATCTTTTCTGATACACAGGTAACCATGCTCAATATCTAGATACAAATCAGTGACGCAATCAAAACTTCAATGACCATACATTCTTGCATTTAGCTGGGTTCCATTACACCCAGAAAACCTTTTTCTTTTCAGTTATATAAAGTCCAAAAGCGTAAAGCATTATTATAACAATATATAATCAGATCTAACAATTAGATAATGAACCAAAACAGCAAATGTAAATGCTAAAGCAGAATATGGCGAGCTAAGCCACTCAGAGGAACGAAATTTATCGAGATAATTTTAAAATTTTCATTCAACATTGTTACTTGCTTGAATTGTTAGGTTTCAATATGTTTATTGTGCTTACGCATGCGGTGCAATATATTTATTCTAATCTTGAGTTTATTCCATAAAACGTTTCCCATCTATTTCGCACACTGACTGGTGCCCATTAACATGACCATTATAAGACTTAAACTTACGAAAATGAAGTTCCAATGTTTTGAAAATAAACATCTTATGGATAACGTTGACGGAGTATCTAAGTATATTTAAATAGCCGTGTTCTATTGTGAGAAAAAATCCGCATATACTAAAAACTAACAACTAAGCTAGAAACACCTGGTTGATCGCCTCATGATGCGCAAATACCTACGGAGACTGATCGAAGGCAATTCTAAATACATCAGATTTCAAAATATGGACCTATGCACATGAATTAATTAAAGTCGAAAAAGTGATTCCATCATCCGCAATCAGTGTTCCAGTGGATTCTAGGTTCGATTCTGTTTGCGTATCAAAGCAAAGGTCCAGGTATATCCAATTACTGTAAAACTAAAACGCAAGTCAAACATTTCTCTGCTGACCATTATGCAGATGCATTGAAAGCCAATATTAAAGTGTTCTGTTCATGATGTATATCTACCAATAGAGACTGATCTCAAAGAAAGAGGACAAGCTCTGACAGATAATATCAACAGAACCGAAAATTATTATGATCAAGAAGAATAACTCACTAGAAGCTAAAGTGTCCAGCCATGCATCAATTTTCTTTAGGTCTGAGTCAATATCTGTAAAGACAAGGTAAACATTGTAATAAAATCATTCAGTGAGTCGACCAGTATGTTTGTGAATAAACATTTTTATGATCATTAAAAAAATGTTTCCTAGCCATAATGAATTGGGTAATGGAAGTCTGTTACAGTTTCCTATACCATTCAAATCAAGTTGCTGCTGAATACTTCCTTCGTTACGGGTCTTGTTTCACATTTGAAATAAATCATTCTTTTGCAGGAGTGAAAAACGTGAACTAGTGATTTATTTCTCTGTAAAAAAAACTAGACTACTAACCTTTCAAATAAGTAGTACGCAACAAAAATACAATTTAATCGGATAAGAAAGCTTGTTTGTACGAGAAAGTGAATATTCAGTAAGCAAAAACTTGAAAATCTATCATACCATGTTCAGAAGCACAGACTAATGCTCTCACAAAGCCTTTTTAAGAATTTTTCTTCACGTTGGAAGGATATAAATAGCATAAGTAGTGATTTTCATATTTACTAGGATCTTTAGACACATGCTTATCGAATGTCGTCTTGCAAAGAGCATGAGAAAATATCTGAGCAGAATAACATTATTTCATTTTAGTTCGTTTGGTTCTTGTCAGCTTCTTACGACCCGTAACACTTAAAACCGTAATTACTCACATAAAAGAGTCTTGTGAAATGCTACTATGGTCATACATTAGTATAATAGAGCAAGGGTGTAAATGATTCTAATCGACTGAAAAAAAATTATACTTGTTTGCGCTACAGAGATGAACACTCTACAGCAGTGATAATGACAAAAGTGGTAGGGGCTAGAAAGAAATAGTTACGCAATTACTAAACACCGATAATAATAAGTAAGAATAAAATGAACAAAGGTTAGTCAGTTTAAAAAAGAATACTAATGTAGAAGACAGTCGAAATGAAAACGTAATTATGTAAATTAAACTGAATTTCGTTCTAGTTTTTTCAACTAATTATGCTCTTATTTCGAGTGACCTCTAGATTAATTGATTGATTCTACGTTATGAGTTTGAACTACCAATTAAACTACTCTTAAATCATAAGTAGTGTAAACAATAATAAGGAAGATTACCGCCTGTTCTCAGCAAACTAAACATCTCATTAGTACTTGCAAAAAATCTGATAAGTAGTCACAGCAAGAATGTAATGGTACTTATTTATCAATTTTTAAAATCGATACAGTGCAAATTATACATAAGATTTGAAGTTTATCGACTAAATTTAGATAATGTGTCTAATAACTGTTTGTCCTCACGTAAAAGCTTCTTGTGAAGAAGATAAATATTGTGTTGTTTAAGATTATTTCAAATAACCAAGGTGGATTTCACCTTCACGCAGACACTACACGTAGAAAATGCGCTATTTTTTTTCAGATAATACTTCCCTTAAATAAATAAATAAATCTATTCAAGTAGTCGTTTTCGATTGATAGTAAAACTTAGTTTTACGGAAATGTTTTATAATTACTATGATTATCATCATTATTACTGGACGTATGTCCACAGCAAGAAGTGACATTTATCTCAAAACATATGTAATGTCAAAACAACATTTTTCACAAATTTTATTCACATTGAAAGTAACATGTTGGCATAATAAGTTTGCAATATATAGATGTTTATAAAAAGGATTATGCTAAAAATTATTATTCCTATGAATTAGTTGCAACCCAAAACTATATGCATGATAATAACGAAAACTCTGGGCTTCGACATAAATATGAAATTGGTTGAAAGTGTTACATTTTACATGTACATGACAAGTAGGGAAAGTTTTCTAATACGTTGTTTAAGAAGGGATCAGAAAATTAGTAGGTTATATAAGAATCAAACAAATGATAGATTGCTTTAAAACGTCAAACATTAGTATCACAGCAAGCACACTACGATAGCATTGCAACCATTTCGTTAACCCACACGTGTCTCTACATAAAATGTCTGTTTAATAGTTTATTTCCATAAATAATTTCCATTAATATAAACAAATAGCTATTCTAAATGATTAATCAATAAACTGTTGGTTATTTCTAAAGGTCATTCAGTTTGTCAAGGCTATCAGCTTTATATTAATGATAGATAAGAACATTTTAATTAAGAAATACTATCAATTAATTTGTGCTACCTTCAAAAGCATTTAATTTGTAAAATTATCGTATTCATTATGACGTAAAATAATCTGCTCATTTTAAAAGTTTATAGTCTAGTTGTATGATAAGTAAATCTCTATTGAATTGTGTTGCATACAACACTTGTGACAGCCAATGACTTTAATAACACTTCAAAGACCAATATTCACTTCTCTGTAACTCAATTTACTCGAAAATACTAATCTACTAAAGAGACGACCACCCACCGGTTGAGTTCATTTAGATGATTAGCAATTAAATTTTGGCGACTATGAAATGACCACACTGTAAATATTTATCTGATCAATATTAAAATCATTTAAAATACCACCTAAATATTTACATTGAACAATCAAGTTTAATGGATGTATTAGTACAAATTAATGTTTTACTGAAAGTAAACATTTTTTTAATAAAAAAAATAGTACTAAATTGAACATACACTAAATTGAATGAAAATCACATTTTGACAATCAATATGCAATTATGCAGTTTATTTCATCCTGTGTTAAATAAATTAGATTTTTTTTGGGAGGGGATTAGAGGCAGACATTATATCGCCTAATCAATCACACATGTAGTTAGTCTATTTTTTTATCAATGTACATAATAAAATACATATGTTTAAATCAGATTTTCGAAAAATATGATAAATAATTGTCTTAGAAAATTAAAGTACAGTAATTTTCGCCCTTTACAGCTTTCACGAAGAGCTGTCGACATATGCAAATTTTAAATGAAAAGAAAACTCAAAGACAAAGTTTTTCTTACTCTACTATTTTCGCCCCAAATAAGCAAGGATTCATCAGTAAAAACTGTGCATAATACTATTCGATGAAAATCAATGATTAAATCATATATGATTTGTTTTATGTAACACCCTAGTCCATAATACACATCATTGATTCGCACTATTTTAAACATATCATAAATTAGCTTAAAACCTAAATGGAACCTCATTTACAGCTAATTACGATAGAGGTAGTGAACTCTGACAATAGTTATTTTTAAATGTTAACAGTATTTCCTAGTTCCTTCTCTTTTTCCCCTTTCACTCTAAATGAACCAATATTAGTTTAAACATTCTGCCAATATCAAATGAAACATGAATTAACACGAAACGTTTTACATCAAATTTGTAGCAGAGAAACACTGTGGAGTTGGTATGACAAACTTATTTTGTAAATAGTTTTTGATGTTATTTGTATTTATTCTGTTAATTTTCACAGCCTGTACATTTACTATGAAATGGTTGTACATTTTGTTTTAAGTGTGTGTCCTGGGATACCAGGCGCTTTGACTACTGTACGTTTCCGTTCTGTTGTACACATAGCATGACACTCACTGTCTTCTCCCAACAAATACACTTTATACACATGTCTCATGTTCTCCATTATTCATTAATGCGTTAACTGGATTCTAATATATATATATATATATATATATATATATATATATATATATATATATATATATATATATATATGTATATATATATATATATATATATAAACTTGAACGTTGAATTAGTGTTGTGGTGGACCAAACTTTGTTTATACATTGACAGAGCAACAACCATTTGTACTATACAGTCACAAAATTCATGTACCGCAACAAATCAAATACCACCTAGTAATAGAATGATTATGTAAAACAGAAAAATCAAAAGTGCATTGATGTTTATATTATTGAAAAAGAAATAGTTAATAGTACTAGTAGTACTAGTAGTGACAGAGACATCATCAAATGAAATACTAGTATTTTTACTTAGTTGTGAAACACACACACATGTGCACTTATGCACACCAGTGAGACTGAATACATTCACTGTCTGCATTCACATTACCAACCAGAAGCATATATGATAAAGTTAATCTATAAACAGTATACATTAATAAATTTATATATTCATATATTTATTTATTTATTTATCGACATACCTACACACTCATAAATACCGTGTCATAATACATACATACTATTGGTACACAGAGTATGTATTGTTATTCATAATTACACTAAAAAATAATAATCGATTAATTATTGTTCATTATTAAAATAAAAATATAAAAAATAGACACTTTTATGTTATAATCATTTTGCTTTTGAAGTAAAATAAAATGATAAATAAAATGATTATATATATATATATATATATATATATATCACTAGCTAAGGAGAACGATTGTAGTAGTTATCGGTTTTGGCCAAGATAATGATTAGCATACATTTATCACCTTCATAATTCAGCTTGCAAATAAGATGTAAATATTAAGTGGTTGGAGGTATCCGTTAGAAAAATTGGTACCTAGGTAGCTTTCGTCAACAAAATGTACCGGTAATTCTGAGGGAACTGAGAACTTATGGGTGAGTCAAGTCAGGGCCCTTACACCCTCATAGTTTTCGACACTAAAACTGAGCTGTTCAAGGCTTAATCAACCTCTTGTAGATCAGTGGTCTCATTGCAACTGGAACAATAAACGGAGGCCAGCGCTTAAGGACTCGACAAACATGATATTGACCATTATTCAGGGATTAAACAACTGATAAGTATAAGCCTGAATCATAAAAAATATTTTCTACCATTCTGAATACCTTGACTAGGATTACATTTGGAAAAAAATAAGGCAATGTAAAACTAATGAATATATATTTGTCAAAAGTAAATATATTACAAATTAAAATTAAAATTTCTTATTTTAAGATCTTTTTCATCGTGAATTGAATTCAGCCAGAGAACCATCGGGAACCAAGTGATTAAACAGTCGCTTTTATAGTGGAGGATTTTGACCACCGTAGAGTTCAGTAGTTTAAGTTACAATCTCATCCTAATTTTGATAAGTGTTGAAGAAAGGGGAACACTGAACAACTGTTC